CTCGTTTCGGGCTGTCGGACATTGCTCAGAGAAAGGGGAAAGATTCAAACTCTGGGGTTTAGGGTTCATGGTGTTCGGCGATGGTAACCCATCTAGGGTGTAAGACCGGTGGATAAAGTATCGTTCCCCCGGAAGGTGAGGAGAGAGGATGGAGGGGGAAGGATGAAGCATGGATGGATACTTTCACACCTCAAACCGCCCCTTCGGGGTGGAAGAAGGCAAATTCCCCCTTAGTGGTTCTAGACCGTTTTGTACCCGACTAGGAACACCTCGAAACGTTTTGTTGAAATAGCCATGTGGACTTTCTCCGAGGAGCGAGAAGCCGGTTGTTGGGGGGGGGGGAGTGAGCTCGGGCACCAGAATAACATAAACAGGCAAACGCCACCACCACGCAGAATGTCAGCTCTTTGACGCCTCCTTCGTCCCGCAACTCGTGCCGGCTTTGTTGTGAACCTGAGGCTTTTTCTGCCCCACGTGCTGTCTTTCCTGAAGGAGATTTAACTATTGGTTTGGCTACACCGAAGTGTGAGGGTATGGATGGTTCCGAGTGGCGATGGAGACTTGTGGCGTCTTGACGAGCAACACAAAGGGGCTCATGAAGGGTAGTTTACCGAGACTAAAAAACGACGACGGGGTTCTTCATTTGTAATCAGACTGCTGATGGCTTTTTACCGGATGATCTGAGGAGGACCTCATGGAATGGATGAGAATCGAAAACACTGTAGAACCCCGTAGTGGATCTCTAGCCTCAGAGATAGGACTACTAGGTTATTGGGAACAGCTTCCTCTGGAGCTTTAGACCCAATGACTTTCCAGCTCGAGTTGTGACCTCCTTCGAAGGTTGGACTTGAACGCTACAATCTGTATAGCATTTGACCTATGATCTAGATATCGCTGAGCGCGAGTTTAGTCAGTTACCGTATGCCGAGGTATGAGACGAACTATAGCAAAGCATCGAACGATTTTCGGGAAGAAGTTTGCATCTAGAGCTTCAGAAGGACTAAACTATCCTCGTCCTCCGATGGAAAAAGAAAAACGCCCCCGAGTCTAGAGACGAAAGCCCGGCAAGGTCTTCGCCAGCTCAACCCGACTGCTCCATCTCCGAAGTAGGAAAACGTCATAGGTCAGAATGAGGTCAGAGCCCCCAACGCTTTGGTCCCCGTCGCGTGTTTTGTTACGCCTTTGCGTGGTGCTAAGAAAAAGATGTAAAACCTTGATAGAATAGAAAAAGCTTCTCGCGTGAGTCACTTTTAGACAAAGGTGAGGTGAATGTGCGCAACACGAGTCGGATGAACTACCTGCCTTGGAAATGATTTAAGTTTCGTCTAACTTGGGGTATTGATGGGGACACTTTAACCTGTTCGGGAGAGCAGAGCCCAGTGTAGCTTTGAAGGGGATTTGATGCCTGGCGGAAGTTTAACGCTGGGATTCGTGTAAGTGGTTTAATAATTGATCCCTCGGAAGCAAGGAGGTCAAATGGGACCATGGGTATCGTCAGCTTGGTTCTCTAGTGAACTCTGTCGAGGATCTATTTGACGAGAAGCCTGAGAGAGGGATCCGGCTTCGGAGGAGTTCTGAAGGTTCTGGAGAACCAAGTCGCAATTCGCAATTCATAGTTCGGACCCGGGGGATTGTCCCGTCCCGGCAGGTCAAGGAGATCAGATCATGCAATCGAACCGCTGGGCGACGTAACCCCGGCTTTCCGGGGTTTGATGGGTTCGCAAGTTTCGTTACACCACATCCTACGGGTGCCCTCCTTCGCTGGCAGCCAATGAAACTATTAAAGGATGGTGCAAGTGCTGGCCGGCCAACGGTCGAGAGAGATGCAAAAATACAAAGATGCAGCGAGAACCAAGCAAAATATCATCGTTCGCTGTGAACGAAACCCTTATCGCGTTTCAAGGACCCTTTTTTTTATCCCCTTGAATATGCTTCTATAATTGTCTCGCGAAGAAGTTAAGAAGTGTCATGATATCGAGGACCCTTTGACTGGGCGGCAAGAGAGACAAAATCACGTCATGACGAGAACCAATCGATCATGGGGCGGGTTCAGGGCAGGAGACATGCCTGCACTGCCCGGCACGGCCGGGATCGATGGGCGCCTGTGGATCGGTGCCTACCGGAGAATTTTAAGGCGCTGACGACGTGAGAGATCGATGATGTGCGTGCGAATCAATGGACTGGCTTGGCGGGTTAGAGTGCTGAGGATTCTTCGAGCTCAAGTGCTTGCAGCCTGCAGGTCGGGCTCTGTAAGGGCGGCCTTGGCTGGTCAGGCCGGGAGGTTCAGCGCGCTGACGAAGTAGCCAGTGTTCGAGGCACTATACTGATGTGGTTCTAGCATCCTTCGACGTGGTCGAGGTCTAAGCTGTATCCAGTTGATAGTGTCTCTTTTGCGAGTGATGAATTGATGTTCTGTATTGATGTTCAATCTTTCAGCTTTCCACGTTCTGATGCTATTCGCAACTAGAGCAAGAGCGAACCTTCTCTACCTTTAACATCTCCAAGTCTCAGTTGGTGGTGGATCAATGATATCATCTGTCATATCTGTTTACGCCTACATGTAAAAATATTTGCACGGAGTACAAAAGTACAGCCGCAAAGTACCTCTGGTCTCTCTGGTTTGATTCTCTCGTTTGGTTCTCTGGGTGGTCGTTGCCCAAAATGGCCCCTCGTTACCCCACCACCAGCTGATCACCGGGGCAAAAAAAGCACAATGGCAGCAGTCGACGACGTAACACCACCTTCCGCTTCGTCCACTGAGCAACCGCCCGTCGCAAAAGATTCGCGGCAGGTACACTCTAGTGACCTTTCCCTCCCCGCGAATCCACAGCAACGGTGGAGGTACTTGTACATTGGCGATCATCAATTCTCGTCAAGCTCAATTATTTTCTTTTTTACTTCGTCGTCGCCAGACCATCGTTTGAGTCCAAGTCTAGTTTCTTCCCGCTGTTCGCCGAAAAAGACTGCCAAGTTCCAAGTTCGTGAAACGAACGTTGAACCTCAGCTCTTTTCACAAAAAGTATCTCTCTCCTAGTATAACTAGGATAGTTTTGAAGCCCTACTGTCGCAAGGTATATTTGATCCCACCCAATCCTTTTGCTGGCGCATGTTACTGAAAGCATTGAAAGCTTTAAAATAGGCAGCTGCTATTAGCCATCGACTGTTTATCTCGAGCTTTCCCTCCACTCCCCTCCAACTTCTGGAATTCTCCAAGCAATTACTCGTCTTATATCCAACAGACGCTACAGTATCCACGCACACATACTTCGCATACACTTCTATCCGCCAGACACTTCTGAGCAAACCGAGTATCCATCGACAAGAACCTGTTTACTCGATCTGCTCCTGGTTCCGCAATCGCAATCGCAAACCACTTAGACGAGCTTCCTCAAGTTTCACCAAGCAAACAAAACACAACCGCAACCGCCAACTCACTCCACCCACTCCCGGGGACAAATCCATCCTCGCAACCAAAAAATGGAGCTCGGCATCTTGCAGACGGCCAACCGCGGCCTCCAATTCCTCCTCTGTCTCCTCATCACCGCCCTCATCGGCAACGTCATAGCCAGCACCATCAATGCCTCCGGCTCCGCCACCGCCGCCGTCAACTTCTCCTTGTTCGTCGCCGTGCTCTCCTGGATCGCCGCCATCTACGGCCTCATGGCCCGCTTCGTCCCCGCCCTCGAGATCTACATGGTCCAGCTGCCCCTTGACGCCGCCGCTACCCTGTTCACCTTCATCGACGCCATCGTGCTCGCCGCCAAGATCCGCGCCGTCAACTGCGGCAACCTCAACCACGATAAGCTGCCCAAGAACTACATCGCTTGGGGTTCCGCCAACGACGAGAAGAGGTGTCGCGAGATTCAGGCGAGTACCGTCTTCATGTGGTTCCTATTCGCTAGCTTTGCTGGCTCGTTGTTCTTCACTTGGAAGAATGGCAGGAGGGGTTACAGTGGGAGCTATGGCGGGGGCAGCTCTTTCATTTCCTCGCGGCCTAGCATGGCGCAGGTCGGTGTTTAGAGGTCCGACTCGTCTGTGTGCTGAGCGGAGCAGTTCAGGAGTTCCTTCTTCTTCCTTTTACATTTTTCTTCTTCTTTTTTTAACTTCTTTCATTGCTCGCTGGCCGCGCGGACTGGGAATGAGGGTCTATGATGTGTACATGCGAGATATGGGAGCCCGCTAAGAAAGGGTTATGTCTCAGTCTGAAACAGGGATACGATTTATGGTTGGAATACGAAAGACCCCCAGGTAACTGGCGTCTTCGGTGGTAATAATAGGTGTTGGAATCCCCCTTTTTGGTATTCCTCTTTCACCTCGGTCTTTGGTTCTGGTTGGCCCTTGTTGTTTTTGATTCTACGCGTTTGGTCTGTGTTTGTTCTAGGGCTGTCTCTTTCACCAGCTAACGTGGAATGAAAGGAATGGTCTTGTCAGGGAGGAATATGAATAGAGAAGCATGGGTTTCGGGGAAGAAGAAAAGGGACAAGAGGAGGAAAGAGGAAGAAAGGGATGCTGGGGATCTGGAATGGATGTCTTGTTTTGAATGGAGAGCTGTACAGTACTGTTTCTTATGCCGCGCCTATGCTGCCGGTAGTATACGTCTTGTGTGGGCATTACGAGTTAAGATATAGTGAATGTTTAAACGACTCCATAGCCTTTGTATTTTCCTTCTCTAATCGATGTGCCACCCTGGGAATATTAACAAAAAAATGAAGCTGAGAATACTACGTGATCATAACCTTCGTTGGCAGACTCCTCAGGCGAGGGTTGCATGGACATGGACTTCTAGAACCATTAGAATCTGACGGTCATGACTGGCCCTTCTATTGACCTAATTTTTTAAAACATTTGGCCCTGCCGTCTATGTATATCCGTTCTTGAAGTAGTATAACAGTATCAATCATATTTCTTTTGCATCCCGTCACAGGAGGCAGGTCATTCCCAGGCCCTGGTAGCTCGGATCCCCTTAGATCAACATCGACAAGTACAATAGATTGACGAAATCATAGTGTCATGGCAGCCTCGGCGGCGCCAGCAGCATTGAAAGCCCTCTTATTTGTCCACCGAATTTCGACATCGTGGGCCCACTCCATATATCTTCCCCAGCCTAAGAAGCGTCGTCAGCATCATAAGTCTCGCGCATCGACAGCGGTAAACCTCGCGAGGTGGTAAAAAGAAGGCAAAACAAAATTGCCCGGTGCTTTACAAAACTTACTCCAGTATGCAAACTTCCGCCCGAGGAACTTGCCAGCGAAGGGTATTATGATCATGGTGAGAAGCATCTGGAGCTGCTCCAGGCTCCTGTCCCACTCTTCCTGCGCGTCATCGTCCGAGTCCAAGGCGCTGCTTGATATCGAGGGGAGGCTGTCGACTTCGTCCTTCTCGGACGGAGAGGGTTCGTGGATGATGTAGGATTCGGACGCCATCTTGGTCGTGAGGAAACGAGCTCGGTATATACCAGGGTGGTAGGGGGAGAAGAAAAGCCGGCTTTGGAGTATCTATTGAAGGCCTAGTTTGCGCACCTCCGGTAGAGTGTTCGGGAACTAATTGTAGGCGTGCCCGGCCAAGTGATTTTGCGTCTCCAATCTCTAGATCCGACGCCGGTGATGGTTCTCCTCGGCAATCAAGCTCCAGAAACCCGGCTCCTCTCAGTAGCAGGTAATTCCGGGAATTCGATGAGGTTCGGGCGAGTCGGGAGCCTGCGAGACTAGCGATGGGGGGATCAGGTACAGCGAGCGAGGTCACAGCTGTTCGGCACTGACTCCATCACCACGAGGCGTTGATGCTGGTGACGTCGAGCTTGAAGCGAAGCAATTCCGAGGAACGAGGTGGGATTAGGTAAGCGGAGGTCGGGGTTGCGGGATCAATGTTTGTTCATTCCCAAGGTTGGAGCGACGACGACGACAGTGGGGACGAGGGGCGCCACAGCGCCAATGGCGGTGGCTGGTGGTGGGGCGGACCCAAACATCACTGAAGCTGAGGCTTGTGGTACAGATGGCTTTCCGATTCTCGAGACCGACCACTTGATGGGGGACAATGAAGGAGACAATCTAAAAGGGTTTCTGTCTACTAGAGTACAGAGCGTAGTTTAGATTATTTTCACCTTTATCGATTTAACCAAAATTTCTCATCCCGTATCCAGTCAGGCTTGCAGCCTCCAGAGTACCACTGCTCAAGGAACAGTCACCTGACTTGCCACCAGACCAGCGTCGTGAGATGACGACGGTGCCTTCTCGAATTGGAATCCCCAGTGGCAAGCCGTGGGCAGATGCTTTAGAACAAGCTAATTATTGTTCCAACCTTGACGAGTTCCCGTCTGCCACGATCCTACTTATTTAACATTATCGACGGTGCCGTCGCAGGTTTTGCCATAGTGTCATTTCCTTCTCGAGCATCGATTCTCAAGCCAGGCCATTCACCCCGCGTTTTGTCCATCAAAGACAAAGACATCCATCAACCAGACCAAGCTGTTTTCTCTTTCCAGCATCTGCATAGTAACACGCAACATTCGATACCCCCAGGAGGCATAAGAGACAAGACGAAGATACGATCAAGCAAACAGGTCCTTCGGATTCCGCCATTGCGTTTTATTACAGAGAACCCCCCCAGAAAGTCCCGTCTCTTAGCGGCATCAAAAGAGCTCACTAAAACCTCGCCGTTCCACATCTTCTGTCCCGCTTTCTTCCCCAGTCTCCCATTAGCTCCCGACCCAGGGTTCAGTGGCTTACAATATGTCTTCAGTGGTGAGTTCGACATGTTTGCTTTTCCTACAGTGTTTTCTTCGATCACTTCGGCCAAGGCGAAGAGCAAGCTCCAGACGGATGGATCTCTTTGGACTTCATGTTTGTTTTTTGCTTTCCCGGTCTCGAGGCCAAGGGTTCCCCGACCTGTCCAACAGCTCCAGCTGCTCCATAGTCTGTGGTGCTTCGAGCTTGTCGTCTCTTTTTCCCACTATCCCCGTGGTACCGTCCTAGCCTTGTCATCTCATTGCCCCTCTCACTACTTCTACTTGCCCTCCACTAGTAGTAGTACAGCCCTCGTGAGGTGAGCCGAGCCCCCCTGTGCAACGAGTCCAGGGGCGTCTCCCGCATGGGATGGTGCCGCGAGCAGGGTACACTACAGGTACGCTCCATCCACTACACTCTACACTACAGTGACTACACTGGCGTTAGTGTGAGCTTGATGGAGACGCCTTGCCACTTGTACTCTGTCGCAACTGGGCTGGACTCTTCTCTTTTTTGCCCCTCCATTCCTCACTTCATTTTCAATTCAACCCCGCTACGCACATATCCACATTCACACATTCACACATGCACACACACATCATTGAGATCAACCAACCACAAAACCCCCTCCCCCTCCTCCCTCCCCTTCACTGCCTTGATCCTCGCCTACTTGCCTACTTGCATATTGGAGCACCACCCGCACCAAGACGCTTCCACACTTTCACACTGAATTCACTGTGTCAGGTTGACTCACCTGTTCCTGACGACAACACAAAAAATTCCCACGAGCATTTTCTTGTTGTCCCATTTTAACCAAAACTCCACTCCACGACTTCCTCCAATCCCAACCAAATCTGTTCTTCTCCACAAAGAAGCAGCAAGTTAACCGCTCATCCATTTCGCATCCAAATAGGAGACTTTACACCCCGCCGAGCGCAAATCTCGAAAGTCTGTTAGTTTTACGAGGGAACAATTGGTAGTCGATCCCGACGGCTCTGTGACTCTGGTCAACGCGACCGACGATTCTAAGGACACCGCTATGTCTCATACTCCCCACACCCCGCCGCTCTCCGCGGCCCTCGAGTCCTTTAACCACTCGGCCAAGCCCGAGGCTGATGCCGCTGCCGCCGCCAACGGTGACGTTCCCGACGATGTTGGCCTGGACCTTTCCCTGATGAAGAAGAAAAAGAAGAAGAAGACCAAGGAGGCCGGCGACGAGGCCGGCGACGAGGCTGCCGCTGAAGACGGTGGTCTTGATCTGTCGATGAAGAAAAAGAAGAAGAAGAAGGTCAAGGAAGGTGACGAAGACGAGTTCGCCGCCAAGCTCAAGGCCCTCGATATCGAAGGCAAGGAAGAAGCCGCCGAGGCCCCCGAGGCTGCTGTGCAAGAAGGAGACATGGATGCCGGCACCGGCATCTGGGCTCACGACGACACTAGGATCATCTCGTACAACCCCCTCCTCAAGCGATTCTTCGCCCTCCTCGCCCAGAAGAACCCCGACCACGCTCTCAGCGGCACCAAGAGCTACAAGATCCCCCCTCCTCAGTGCATGCGTGAAGGCAACAAGAAGACCATCTTCGCCAACATTGCTGAGATTTGCAAGCGTATGAAGCGAACCGACGAGCACGTTACCGCCTATCTGTTCGCCGAATTGGGAACAAGCGGTTCCGTCGATGGCAGCAGGCGGTTGGTTATCAAGGGTCGTTTCCAACAAAAACAGATTGAAAACGTGTTGAGGAAATATATCAGTGAGCCTTATCCCCTCTCTCTCTCACACACACACACACACACCACCCTCCCTTATTCTCCTTCTCTTGCTAACCATGTTAACCCGCGACAGTCGAATACGTCACTTGCAAGACTTGCAAGTCTCCCGACACCGAGCTCAGCAAGGGAGAGAACCGTCTTTACTTTATCACATGTAACTCGTGTGGATCGCGTCGCAGTGTCACTGCCATCAAGACTGGTTTCTCGGCCCAGGTCGGAAAGAGGAAGAAGCTCCCGTAAAGCTATTCTCTCTTTTTCGCCGCGCCACCCCTTCGGCGGAGTCCATATCGAACCCAGCCGGCGGGGTAGCGATAACGGCTATCATGGAGCTGAGGAAGCCGAGGGTTCCCTTCTTCTTGCCTTTCACTCTTACTCTATCGCATACCTGTTTCCTAAGACGATTACAGACTGGATTAGGATGATGTTACGATTTCGGCTACCCTGACATGCACATGAGGGTTACGGATAAACGGAATGGAGGGATGGGTTTGTTCATCGACCTTGGCCCTCTAACGAACGGCATATAAGTGAAGACAAGAGCGTTTTGGGGAAAAAAAATCATCTTTAGCTTTGCCTTTTGTTTTCCTTCCTTCCTCTCTATGTCCCTCTCTTTTTTATTCCCCTTCCCCCTACAAGAGGGTTCCATTTTGTTTGCGCAGCTATACCGGTCATTTGTAAATGAGTGCGGGAGCAAAGGGGGGCTCATAAAAAAAGAAGCGGGCAGATAGCATTAGGGGCGTTTTTTTAATCGCCGGTAGAGGGAAAAATGGGAATTTAATGACTTTGTCGTGTCTAGAACTTGAAGGGGTGAAGTCTTCTGTGATTTTGTAGAGAGGTGATCTCGACGAGTCTCTCTTGATGCTTTGGTCAGTGCCGTAGGAGGAACGGAGCACTCGAGCTTTGCCGTTTGGCTTATCTATGCCTCGAACCATGTGACGACAAACCCCTCCATAGTTTGCATCGAGAATCTCCGCAGGATCAACAGGGAACAATAAGAGACAACGCTCTCGGAAACCTCATGTTCCATCCCACCTCATATATCAAGTTCAATTTTTTAAACTGACCTTTATTTTATTTCCTAAGCCAAAAAAGAAAAAAAATAGAAAAAAAAAATGACAGGCTTCACCCTCCAAAACAACCAAGCCGACCTCCCCTCTCAAAAACCCACAGCATCCTACTGGCACCGCAGCCCGTCGCAGACCCTCCTCGGCCACCGCACGACGGCCGAGCTCCCCGAGAGGGCGGACGTCATCATCGTAGGGGCGGGGCTCACGGGGGCGTTTGCGGCGAGGGAGGCGGTGGGGAGAGGGTTGGGGAGGGTGCTTGTGCTTGAGGCGAGGGAGGTGGGGTGGGGTGCTACGGGGAGAGTAAGTTTCACACCTGCCTGGTGGATAAAGAAAAGAAGAGGGAGGGTTGAAGCCTTCTTGTAGAGGTGGGGGAATATCGTGCTGAGACTTTCTTTAGAATGGAGGACACTGCCAGCCCTTCGTGTACGGCCAACAACCGCACATCGCAGCCTTCGAGCTGAGAAACTACGCCTTCCTCAAGGACTTTGTACAGAAGAACGAAGTCCCCTGCGATTGGGTCACGACCTCCGGCGTTCATGGGCTGTACACGGAGGACCTTGTCGAGGTTGCCGCGAGGAACATTAAGAAGCTGAAGCAGCTCGCCCCGGGACTTGCCTCGGTCGTCCAGCTCGTCAAAGCGGCGCCTAACAGCAGCAGTGATGGAGATCCCCTGGAGAGCCTTGGGTTATCTGGCGCGAAAGGCGCCGTGGTGCAGAAGAACGCAGCCTCGCTGTGGCCCTACCGCCTCGTGGCATGGATCTTCGAGCAACTCCTCGCGGAATCCACAAGCGGCGATAGCAACTCGTTCAACCTCCAGACTGGAACACCCGTGCTCGATATCCAGCGCTTCAAACACTCGTGGATAGTCCACACCCCGCGCGGCCAAGTAGCCACCCCGACCGTCCTCGTAGCGAGTAACGGGTACATCTCGCGCATCCTTCCCGAGTTCACGGGGCTCGTTGTGCCTGTTCGGGGACAAGTTGCGTCTTTGTACCCCGGGGAAAGGACAGGCGATGAGGCGCTGAGGCATACGTATGTGTTTTTGGCGGCGAAGAGGGAGGGTGAATCTGCGATGGATGATTACCTTGTGCAGGCGAGGGGGGGTGAGAGGGAACTCGTATATGGAGGGGGGCGGGTCCGTGGTGTTGATAAGGGATGGGGGACTTCTCGTGATGACGAAATAGATCCCGTGGTGTCGAACCATCTACGGAGAAACTTACACCGCGTCCTTGCTACTCCCTCGTCCCGGGACTCAAGTGATGAGAATAAGGCGACATCACAACAACCCGAAGCCGTCGACAACGCGAAACCAATGCCCGCGTCCTTCGAATGGACCGGCATCATGGGCTACTCCGCCGACGGCTACCCCTGGGTAGGCCAAGTCCCCCCCACCCTCGGCGGCGGCAAGGGCCTTTGGGTCTGCGGCGGATATACAGGCCACGGAATGCCCCTGGCCGCCCTATGCGCGAAGGCCGTCGTCGAGTTGATAGGCGGGACGAAAGATGATGCGGTGGACTTGCCTGCGGAGTTCCGGGTCTCGGAGGAGAGGGCTGGAAGGGTGAGGGTAAGAGGTCCGATTGGGATGGAGAGCGCGGAGGAGCTCATAGGCTACGTTTGAGTTGGGTACGAGAAAGCGCATAGATAAACCTGAATCGCACTTTTGAACACGGCAGTTTGCCTCCTTGACATATAGAGAAAGGGTCCCGATTCAGCGGGTAGGTAGAATGCGTTGTTCTTCGAGCTCAGTTGATATTGCTTGGGTCATCCAGCTAAGCAGAGCCACCACCAATCTTCCAGTTACATCATCACATTAGAATTCACACTCAAATCCACCCGTGTGTACCCCGGCCGCTTTCGTTACAGACTCCAAGAGAAGCGATAGCCGCGTCCCCCCTTTCTTTCCGATCATCATCCATTCTGGAAACAGGACAGACTCCTTCGCCAATCCCCCGAGACAGAAGAATAATCTTCTGCCATGTAGAAACAGCCCAGTTTTCCTTCCATCTGCACCCAGACGAGGCCCTCTAAATTCTCCTTGGGTATGTCTATATCAACTTAGTATGCTAAATGAAAAACCATGCAAAATCCGCCAAACCGGAGGAGGATCATCGGTGCTTGTCCCCCCTCCACTAGAATTCGGGGACAAATCAACAAAAACAAATTATAATGGCCGACCACAAAATACCTAGGCCAAGGATGTTCAGACCTCTATCTAGATGGCCAGCATCTTTGGGGCGATATGAACCGCAAAGGCCAGCCTTCAATAGAATCGAATAGAAATAGGCTTAAGTTGTCGAAGTTGATGATAAGCTGGGGGGACGGGCCTTAGTCACCGGATTCGGCGAGTTGCATTATCAAACGAGCAGCCATGTCCAGGAACGGGAAAGGACTCATAACCTCTTTGTCGTCCAGAAGTCTCCTGTCATGTGTCTCGTATCCGGAGCACTTGAAGTCGACCAAGAATCCGGAGGGCTCCATGTCGTATATCTGAATGTCAAGGTGCATAGCCACGAAGGCTCCCGGATCTCGCGCACTTTCTTGGTCATCCGTCCTAGGGAACGCACTTTTCCCGAGGGCTAGATCAAAGGAGATGGTTAGTATGATGTCTCTAAGTAGCAAAGGCTAGAGAAGAAAAGGTACGCTCGGAAATAAACTCGACTTACTGCCTGTTTCCCAGCGAACTTTGATCCGCCATGGATCGGCTGGCAGCTTATATCGCCGTGAGGGATCCGTGCTGCTCGCCGAATGATCGTATCTCCGTAGAGGAGCTCCATTGTAGTCGTCAGCGAAGCTCCCATCCGCGCTTTGCAAACTCTCACCATCCGCCCGATCATCCTCGCTTTCTTGCGCATGGACTTTGTCATAGTCCTCATCGGGCAGATACGTCGCGCCGAGCTTGTGGAGAGCCTTGTGGATGCAAAGCAGTGCTTCCCACGGCGCACTACGCGATCGGATGCCGAACTGCCACCGCACCGGCTTCTGCTTCTTGGGAGGATTGACGGGGGTGAGGCTGTGTGGCCGCCCGCTCGCCTCCTCAAGGCGAATCTGACTGGTTCGTGAATGTGGGTTGAGACGTCGGGCCGTCTCCTCCTTGACGTTCTCCGGGCGAGCTCTCGATGGTTCCTCGAGTTTATCAGGTGGGGAAGGACTGTCGTCTACTCCTGCCTTTGCTCTCTCGATGAAGTCCTTGTGGTAAGCTGGCAAGCTACTCGGCAAGATACCAACTTTGTTGGTATAGGGTCTGGGCGTCGGGACAGATGAGGCTGTTGAGCGGGCAGATGACATCGAGGGCAAGGGGCTGGTTGCGGTTTCTGTCGCCGTACTTAAAGGTGTTATTCCTTCTGCGAGGAGGGGGGGGGGGGGGGGGTGAACATATGTTAGCGCGCTTCAACGGCTGGGGCAGAAATAATATCGCCAAAGATAGGAAGAGTTCGCCGAACGACTTACGATTCACTTCCATCAGCTTGTTCTCACGAATAATCATGTAGGCATCCTTGATGGTCGACGGCTCCTCAGACTCCAGGGCCTCCTCGACATCCTTCTTCCCGTAGCCCATGGTCTTGCTGATTTTGTTGGTGACCTCCTCGTGGAGCATTTCCTGGACCTTAGGGGGAGCACCGGGCGCGATATCGCTCTTCTTAATAGCCTTGTTCGGATCGACACCGGTGTTCAGGAACTCTTCGACCGTGGGCTGAAGATATTGAGGGAGATCCGTCATGAACCACGGGTCTTCTCTGATCTGCTCGATGGTGATTCGTTGGACAGGGTTGACGACCAACATCCTCTTGATGAGATTGACGGCACCGGGTGCCATCCACTGGGGTATCGTATAGGATCCCTTTGCGATCTTAGCAAAGAGGCTTGGGATATGGTCGTCGTCGAAAGGTAACCGTCCGGCGAGCAAAACGTAGAGAATCACACCGCAACTCCAGACGTCCACTTCGGGTCCGGCGTAGAGCTTTCCACCGATAACTTCTGGTGCAGCATAATTGGGACTTCCACAACTAGTCTTTAGGAAATTCCCGTCTGTCATAATGTTGCTGAGACCGAAATCGGCAATTTTGACGTTGAGATTGTCGTCGAGCAAGAGGTTCTCCGGTTTCAGATCTCGGTGGACGATCTTGTGGCGATGGCAATACTCGACAGCACATATCATCTGCTGGAAGAAGCGTCTCGCCTCAGCCTCTTTCATGCGGCCATTCTGCACAATGTAATCAAACAATTCGCCGCCGGCGTACTCTAACACCATGACGATCTCGGTCGGGGTCTTGATGACTGTGTATCTAAACCGGGCAAGGTCGTGGTGTCAGCGACAGAGAGGTCAAAGCATAGCAAGGCACTCTACGTATGATATAGAGGATAGAGGACTTCATACAGTTTGATGATGTGGGGATGGCGCAGAAGTTGGAGATATTCGATCTCTCGCTCGACCCGCCCAGCCATATCCCTGCTGATGAGCTTCTTCCGGGCAATGATCTTGAGAGCGACCTGCTGACCAGTGTGTATGTGGACGGCGAGTTTGACTTTTCCGAAGGACCCCTCTCCAAGGGTCCTGATGGGCCTGTAGGCGCCGATGCGTTGCTCGGTCTTAATCTTTTCGCGAAGGGGACCTCTAGGGCTGTTGGTCCTCCGTGGCTGGGCATGCGGATCTGTACCGTCGTGGTCGTGAGACCTTCCGGTACCGGTGTGTTTTCGGCGAACTTGGGATGAGAGTGACATTGTCAACTCCTCATCCTCGAATCCTCTGGGAGCCATGGTTGCTTTATGGGCTATCGACGATGACGACGTTTATGGGCTGTTTGGTTTGGGAGAGGAGGGTTCAATTGTTGGACGGTGACGGCGCCCCTCTGCCCTTTGGCGACGTTGGCTGACAAGTCACAACACTGGGAAGGAGGGGATGTGGAGTGGGTGTGGGCGGGTCCTGCTTTCCCACAGTGTCTGATATCGCACAGGCGGGTTGTGACGACACAACTGCACTGCGACTTCCTTCAAATATTAGCCCCTAATCCCTTGTAAGCATTCAGTAATCGACCCGACAACTCGGCTTTTTAGCGCTGAGAAGCCCTACTACGGACACACGCACATTGAGCTATTATCTCTTCCGTTGGGGATAGTGCGTAGCATCGATCAATGCGCTAGACTCGAACAGCCCATCCACAGTTAAATACTGCGTCCATTAGAGCCCTTAATCTTAGAATTGCCCCCATGAGCCCTTCATGAGCACGACTTGGAAGACAGCATGACCCCACCTTCCTGTCAAATATTACCGAGCACCATTGATGAAGCTTCCAGACTTTCGACCCTCACGAACCAACGCCCATAGTTTAGCCGAACCGAGCCACAAAGTTCCTCTCAACACAATTCACAATCTACTTGGTACTTTCATTATCTCAACATCCCTCTTCTAAGAGCTGGTTGACTGATTCAGTTCATCGATTCCCCAGGTATCTTATCTCGTCTGTAGACACCCGGGAGAAAAGAAAGGAGAGGGCAAAAAGAACGAAAAAGATGGGGGGACACAGCGTCCGTCACCTCTATCGATGAAGCTCTGAAAGATTCGCTTGCCATCGACACATATCGACTTCGTCCTGCCCGCCTCCTAAACCCAAACGTGCCAGCCGCGCCAATTCTGTCGATCCGCCCTCCCAAATGAGCTGCTCGCCCAGATCTCGAAGCAATTTCTTAATATATTCCCTTCGCCAGATAGGTGCAGAAGATGAGCTGTGGTGCGATCTAGCATTAAGAGACTCGGCGAGAACGTCCCGTGTAATAAGCAGCGGTAATTTCCGCTGAGTAACACCGGATACGGAGAACTTGATGCTGTAAGAAGCAAATAGGTGATTGTCCATCTGCTAACGGGAAGTATATCTTGAAGTCGCCAAAGCGGCTATCATACCATCGGCCGAGTGAAATCTAGGGTCCTTTGAGAAGATGAACAAGGTCAGAATCGAACATATCAAGGATTGCTAGCGCTGGTTCCTTCAGGTTATATGTGAACTGGACAAGACTGGGCAATAAACGAACACTTGTGAAAAGAAACAAAAGAGAAGGAAGTCCCGCGTCAGTGCTCGCCTCAACTTCATCATTGCGAAACGAAAACGGTGATTCGATAGGATTCCCGTCATCGTCTCCAAAAATCTCATTTCCATATCTCTGAGCCGGTTCTTCTAATCGACTCATGTGAAATGCACATAAGATGAGCCAGCGTGCCGGTCTCGAAGTGGACATATACCCCAGAGGGCAGAATGTCGATTTGGCGATCCAGCGATATCCCCCTGAGCTCCTTGGACCATGAGAAGGGCGGAGTGATACGTAGGCGTTGTTTGTAGTGGTTTACAAGAGCTGGCTCTCACCACATGGACGCTGGGGGGGACGAAGAGGAGCAAAGGATAAGGATATTGCCCCTCGGACATCTCACTCTCTTCCAGGAAGGATAAGGATCTAATCTGGCCCTTCCAGCAATTTGCTGTCTACATTGAGATATTGCCATGAGGCAAGTACGGCCAGCCTATGATTTCAAGGTTGACTCTTGATGTTTACCTCGCGAATTGGAGTGACGATGCTGCTCAGCTTCTCTCTGTCGTCACTTGTCAGGACCTGAAATTATCAGGCCCATGTCGTGAGCCTGGAATTAGGCTGCAACATCGTGGCGGTTGCCTGGAATCCATTCTCCCACCAACACCAACAACAAATGCACGTGATGTACCTTGATCGATGCCTATAAATTCCCCTCCAACCCTCCAGCATCTTTGGACTTTTTCTTCCCTTTTCTCTTCTTCATACTTACCTTGTCCAGCACTCGCCGCGCTCAAGAATGCGGTAGTGCAAGAAGGAGGACCTGCATTGCACATCGCGGAGTCGGCCTTTTTCGATTGTCCTTCATGGGCCGTCGGGGGCGCAATTTTTGATTTTCTTCATCTTTTCATCGTGTTGGCTGCCTGGAGCAGCTGCCCGAAGAAGAGGGGCACCATGGGACTTGTCCCACAGTGTCGCGAGAAGCGTAACCTCCATGGCAAGAAATAAATACCCTGGTCGTAGAGGTTGAACGACTTCTCGGAAATTTCTCAGGATAGATCAAAGTACGGAAGTAGAGCTCAAGGGAATCGATGTGAAAATGTAGTTTAGAACCGCCCGCAAAGTTGCTCATATACATACACCCAAAGAAAAGACGTCGCTGCCCGTATCATGGACTCCCATGCCGTTTCCTTCCCATTTTTTCCGGTAATTTTGGACAGGTCCAAGAACCCCTATCCTTCAAACATCTCCAAGCCCTCACATTCATTACATGCTCCCTTTGCAGGCTCAGTGCTCATTCAGTGCTTCGCTGTGATGTTTTAAGATCCGCTAGCAAGTTGCCAAGTCAGTTGCATCGAGACGCTAAGCTCTAGCTGAGAGGTTATCTCCACGAATGGGAGCACCAACCCAATTCGGGCTACAGCTAATAAATTGTGAGCTTGGCAGGAGTCGCAGGACACGAGAAACCATCCAGAAAGAGCCTTCAGGGGAAGCCATCGCTGTGTTCGACCATAATAATTCGTATAGTCCCTATACAGAGTGATCCGGTTTTTTTTTTTTTTTTTTTTTTTTTTTTTTTTTTCAGCAATTGTTTGTGTCGTAGCAGCGGCATCGCTCCCTTGCTTTGTATGTATTGAGAATCACCAAGCCCACAACTCTCTAATTACCGCGTACGAAGCTAGAGATTGAGGGTTTGCTTCGTAATTATAAGCATTAAAAGGGGCAAATGGAATGCTGGAGGCTCAGAAATTGATAGTGGATCTGCAAGGGACTCCATCGCCCCCATTTAACGGCATACAATCCGGGACTCGCCCTGAACCCCCAATGGAAGCTAGACAACCCACTTACGAAGTACTTCGTTCTTCGTAGCAAAGCGGCATTATTATATGCTAGATGCGCTGGGCATCAACCTTGGCTGCGCACTCGCAGCCTCTCAGGCGCATCTTGAGATCCACGCTCATGTCGTTAGCGGCGGGATTGTGCGCACAGTTGGGGAAGGTCTCCACTACTGAAGCCACCAGCTGAAGACATTGGCTGTGAAAGCAAAAGCCTCAATGAAATGTTTGTGCTTGTCCCAAAGCGTGCTGGGCTCGACCAGTTTGCATACAAGTTCCAAGTCCCGAAATCAGATGGCATGTAAAGTTGTAAAGTATCAGAGGTTCGATGAGTTCAAAATCAGTTGTTGCCTCGATATGTAACGTTCCGGTTTGGTTTGGGATTTGTGTTCGGCGCATTGAGCAGAGGTAATATAAGGTGAGGGGGCGGCCTCCCGTGTTTGAGCTCTCGACTGGCTATTGACGGCGTCCGCCATAGTGGTTCAGGCCCGCCTTTAATCTCGTACCAGGCAAGCGCCCTGCTCGTACCACCCTGGTCAGAGTGGGGTATTGAACGAATTTGGCAGGGAGAACCAATGGGATTGGCGACCCGAGTGCCATTGATCGCTCCCAGTAATTAGTTGCAGATTAGCTCCTGCTCTGGACTACCAAGGCCGTTGTTGCTGCGAAGTACCAGATAACCCTGATGACTTCGTGCAAGTACCTACCCTGAACCTGCTTCCCTCCCCGTGCTGAGATTGCTGGTTGCGCACCCTTGTCAGAGTACCTCGTTATCTTCCGAAGCTCTGTGTTACTTGTCGCCCCTCAACCATTTCCAAAAGAACATCTGAATCCTTTTTTTTGCACTTTCCACCTTCCACCTTCCACCAGTTCGAGGGGCAAAGCCGGATTGGACTGGGCCTTTCCTGACTGCGTAATGCTTGACTCGGGTGGAAATTAGTTTGCTTGGTCGTTGAAAGACAGCATTTCCCAGGCTGGGAACCTGTTATATAATAATATTCGTCCATTGATCAATTGATCCATTGCCACTCTTGCCATCATCTGTTGTCCTTGATCCATATCCGCAATCGCATCCAGGATTGATTCCTTTCTTCTTCCCCTCATCATCTATTAATTTCCTTATCATACACTACATACTTGTAGCTCGTTGAATCAGGCATATCAATTGGTCCCTCGAGCGAATAGCTCGTATCTCCATCCGCTGCAGCAATCCATCCACGACGCTCCTGCGGTCTACACCTACTTTATTCCCACTTTCTGATAATAGCACCCAGTCACGTCACTTTCCGGTCACCCTTCAAACCTGACGTCGCAGCTCTCCGAGCCTACTCCGCATCGAACGACAGACTCCTGCAACACGAACCCTGCCGCCCATCTGTTCGAGATCATTTATACTGCCCGTGCCCAGGGACCTCTACTCCGGACTCTCCACTGATCGAGACCGCTCAGCTCAAACTAGCACGGAAAAATATTCTTGTCACCCTCTTTGACAGCTTTTGAAAGGACAATTGGCTCATCATCCTTGCTCTGCATATGCGGCCCTATTGTGCAATAGCTTCTCTGCAACCAACGCTGCAAGCCGACTTATTTGTCCTACACAGTAGGATACGCTCGAGACCACCTTAAAAAGGTTGCTAGAATCCGTCATCGGTCTCGCCATCGCAATTACTACGTAAAGTTCGGCATGGGTTCCCACGATCTCTCTTTGCCATAAAGCTCATTTATACTACATGACACCTCGCCCCCGGTCTGGTACCAATTTCCCGGTCCTCCATCGCCCATTTCGTCGAAACATCCCTTTATTTCGGACTCTCAACTTTAATTTCCCCCCTTTGACAACTTCAAACCACGAAGTACTATAAACCAATCCCCTTGGCACACACACAGCCGTTCGGGCAGAAACTTTTGAGCAACATCACGATGGGATTGACAGCAGAAGTCCACAACATGGACACTACCGACTACAAGAACATGGCTTATCAAGAATATCTCCGCCTCAACAGTCAACATGACAGGATACGGGAAAGCTTGGACCTGATCCGCGGCAGCTCTACATTGGGCGATTCTACCACTACGTCCCCGTCTCTATCTCCGACCCGAAGCGCCGGTCGCCACCGGTTCGCCTCTCCACCCGTCAGCCGCCGCGATAACCGAACTCTTGAAACTATCCTTGACGAAGCTACTCTTTGCGAGATTGCCACACGAGAACAGCAGCTGCTCGATGTTAACGAGGGCATCAAGCGCGCATTAACCGAACTGCTCAATTGCGACCTTGTCCGCGCCGATAAGCCCTTTCGCACATGGGTGCAGAGCCGCCTCTTAGAAACCGAGAAGGAGCTCAGGTCAAGGCGCCGGAGGAGATGTGCCATATAACCCACGGACACCCAGAAAGACTGCGAACGAAAGAAGAGGGTATATCGAGAGGGCTGTTATTGTTACCGTCACGGCCATACACTACTGCCATTGTGCATAATGATATTGTTAATCACTTCCTTTGGGGCATTGGAGTTTCTGGCACGGCGGCATAGGCCGGATTGGTGGTTCAAGGCGTCATTCGATTCTCAAGCATGTTTATATTTTTCATGACCCAGTTTCTTGTTCTTTATTTTCTTATTCTCGTTATTAATTCTCTTTTTCCCTTTTCCAATTCCTACTTTCTACATTCTACGCTTCATTTGGACAGAGGATAGCATTCGGTCTAGGATATACCTCCGGTTGGATTATTGATGGACACGACGTTGAATTGGCGATTCCTTCTTGGGGCCGGATGCACACTCATGTTTTTTTTGGGCAAAAGATAGAAACAGGGAAATACATAATACCCACCCAGCACACGCTTGGGGTGTTGAATTCGCCTTTTGGTCAAGAGAGTATCTGAGACCCCATCCAATAGCAGTTGTCTTTTGGGACACACATTATCGTGAAACGCATCTAGCAGGTAAAGTCGTACGCATAAGAAACCTCCTAAAGCTTCACCGCCTGCTTCGAGTGCATCTGAGCTCTTTAGCTCGTACTGGCCTAGGCCTCCTTCCACACGACCTGCTCCACTTTGGAACAGGAAAAGAAAAGAAAATTGTCAGGCAAGTATGAAATGGCCAAATCACGAGATGGGAGGGATTGGGCAGCATTATTATCAGCTTGCATGCACGTATACGCATTTATACACATACATCTTACGAAGTCTGGAAGGGGAGGGGTGGGACCGCAGATGGGTTCCCCGGTTTTGTCGTGTCTGCATTTCGACGAATTCAACCTCCTTCAACTTTTCTTTTTAAGACGGTGGTCAATATTGCAAACGTCGAAGAGGGGAGAAGTGAAGGAGGGGCTGGTTGCGGAATCATGCGGCTTTGCTTCGTACGCCCTTTGCTTATCTTCTCTTGGTGTCTGGGGTTGTATTATTAGTTGACTGCGTCGGTTGCGCTGGCGATATCGGATGGGCGAGAGGCAGTTCCACTATCTTTGATCGATGAAACGGGGTCGCGGATTACCTTGCCCTGCGTTGGGGATGGATAGCGGCGGGTTTCTTGGTTGTCTAAGTCGTCTGGATCGGTTGGAGAATTACTACTTCCTATGTCCGTAGCTTTTGACTCGGGGATTTGGTATTATTACGATTGGATCGATAGCAAGAGCTTGGTTGTTCTAGCTCGGTGGGTTTATTCCGGGTTCTCTTCCGGTGCTGACGCCTTTATCGGAAAAGCCGATGGATCAATGGAGTCTCCCTTCAACTAGCAACACCCAAGTCTTGAAGTTCGCTCTACCTTCTCTCCTAAGACCAATCTGCCAGCTCCGCTCCATGGAGCTGCTGCTGTGTGGTAGGAAACTTGCCATAAAACCGACCGTAAAGACGTCGTAGTTTCCACTCTGTCGTGATCAATTGATGTTATCATTAAGCTGCGTGATGGTGGAATTCTCGCGAGGGGCTTATTAATTGAGCGCAACCAACAAGGACCCATCAAGGTCTGCCAACTGTGAGCAAGTTTGAGAACCAAGACCCCATCCAGCCGAAGCATCGGAAGACAACTACAATTATTAATCGTTGATGGGGTCAATATCGGATCCGGGTAGCTTCATCGGTTGGCAACGGGCTCCCCCAAACATTCCCACACGACAATTAAAGGGCGTAGAAGGGCATACTAGATTTACTTCATAAACTACAAAAGAGTCACCCCACTTACAACTCGAGACTCCCCCTCTTTCCAACAAAATTGAAGTTAACAACGATCCCTTCATCACACCACCGAATACGAAACCACGAGTAGAGTAGTAGTATAGTCTCAGGGCCTAGGGGAAAACAGAAACCATGACCTCATTCAAACCCTCGCGGATCCTGATCTTCGGTGCTACAGGGCAAATCGGATACTTCATCACCGAGGCCATCCTGTCTGCGAACCCCGCCTTCCCCCACGTCACCATCTTCACGAGCGAGAACACGGCCTCGACCAAGGCCGACCTCCTCAAGAACTGGACCTCCCGCGGCGCCTCCGTCATCACGGGAGACGTCACGGACAAGAACCAAGTCCTCGCCGCCTACAAGGACATCGACACGGTGGTTTCGGCCGTCGGCCGCAACGTCCTCGACCACCAGACGAATCTGCTGCAGTGGGCCGACGAGCAGGAGAATGGCAGCGTCAAGTGGTTCTTCCCGTCCGAGTACGGCACGGATATCGAGTATGGGCCCAAGAGCGCGACGGAGAAGCCGCATCAGCTGAAGCTGAAGGTGAGGAAGTTTGCGAGGGAGCAGCTGAAGAGGGTTAAGCCCACTTACCTCGTCACGGGGCCTTATGTGGATATGTACTTTACGCTGCCCGGCTTCAATGAGAGGATTGGAGGGTTCGATGTGAAGAATAAGAGGGCCATCTTGGTCGAGGATGGGAATGGCAAGGTGGGGTTCACCACCATGAGAGAGTAAGTCTTACGCAACCCATCTCTTCGCCTACGAAGCACAATTGCTGCATCCCCACGGAAAAGAAACAAGACCAAAAAAAGGAAAGGAAAAGAAAGGCAATAATCTAACACGTTTCCTTTTTCTACAGTGTTGGGAAGGGTGTGGTCGCGGCTCTGAAACATCCTGAGGCATCATTCGACCGAGCCGTCAAGATCCAGTCGTTTGTGGTAACACCCAAGGAGATCCTGGCTGAGTTCGAGAAGCAGACGGGTGGCCAGCCGTGGAAGGTGGAATACACTTCCCTCGACGACCTACGCAAGCTCGAGGACGATGCTTGGAAGGAAGGAAAGGGTTGGGCTACCCTAGCTACCCTTCGAAGGATATGGGCTGAGGGCGGCACGTTGTACGATAAGACGGACAACGAGGCTATTGATTTGCGGGATGAGGATTTGGAGAACCTTGAGACGACCGTGCAGAGGGAAATTGCAAAGAGCGCCTGAGCTGGAATTGAGCAGAAAACTTGAGCTGGTGTGGCCTTTATCTCGCATTTATAGCGCCGAATACCTCAAGTACCCATGGAATTATTGGATTGGGTATCGACCGTTTTCAGACATTTTGCTTTTGCGTTGAGTTGTCTTGAGAATAGACTATTTGGGCCGCTGCATACTTCGTACCTGTGTATTACTTGGTAATAACCTTGAAGCTGGTTAACCAACAAAGTCCAGTTGTCTTGGAAGAGGAGCTTCCAGGATCCCCATGTGATAGGGAATGCGCTGGGCAGTACTTGTAAAATACACAGGTAGGTACTTCGTACTTCGTACTTAGAGGTCAATTGAAGCAAGCTCTCCACAGTGTCTTCGACGCCCCGCGTCACCGTGTAATCAGCTTCATCGTGGTACGGTTGTACCTCGTGCTGTCTGACAATCCTCCAGTCTGCACTGGACAGACCACTGGTCAATGACCAGGGCTCCTCGTTCAGCTCAGCTCCCCCATCCAACACCAAGGAGGAGAGACCTGACGACCCAGCATTTTCATCCTCGCATCGTCCATCCCTCAAGTAATACCACTGCAATCATGTCGACCTCCTTGAGACAGTGCATTCGGGAGGTGAGCGTATACCTCATCCTCTTGGTCTTCATCTCGACTCTTGGACCCCTCCAATTCGGATATCACCTGGTACGTATGACCTTCCCCGTGAAGTCCCATGCAAGCGAAAGGCCTCCTCCCCGGATACACACGCTTTAGAAATCTAAATGCTGATGTGTTTTCTAACCTAACTCTCCAGGCCGAGCTCAACGCGCCGCAAGATGTCGTCACCTGCCAAAAGAAGTCCATCGGAGTCGCTCTCCTAGCGAGAGCCGCCAACTGGTTCGCCTCCGTCAAGCCCTCGCATAACAAGCAGGCCAGCTCCCAATCACCCTGGTTCCCCGACTGTATCCCCATGTCCGATGCCACCTTCGCGACCATATCCTCCGTCTTCACCATTGGCGGTCTCATCGGAGCCCTCTCCGCCGGCCCGATATCGTCGAAGAAAGGTCGCCTCCCTGCTATGCGGTTGACGGCTCTGTCCTATTTCATTGGTTCTCTTCTCGAAACCGTTGCCGGGGGCGTTTTCGTACTGGGCTCGGGACGCTTTATTACGGGCCTTGGAGCTGGTGCTTCGACCGTGATTGTTCCGCTTTATATTAGCGAGGTCGCACCACCCAAGGAGCGCGGCATCTTTGGTGCCATGACGCAAGTCTCCATCAATGTCGGCATTCTGGCTACTCAGACGCTGGGTTACTTCCTGAGCTACGGAAACGCTTGGAGATGGATCCTTGCTATCGGCTTGTTCCTGTCGACGGCTCAGGCGTTCGGTTTGGTGATAGTCCCTGAGAGCCCGGCTTGGCTTGCGGCTCATGGAAAGAGTGCCAAGGCGAGGAAGACGCTGCAGCGCATTCGAGGCAAGACCTTTGATATCAGCGAGGAGGTAGAGGGTTGGGCCAAGGATGACAACGACGATGATGATGTGGCGGCGGCTGAGGATGCACGCCTGCTCAGTCAAGCTGGCTCGGATCTTCCAACTACACCTACGATTGGCAGCAGACTTGCTGGGGGTCCTGTAGGACATCTGGGCTTCATTCAGGTCGTCCGGGACCCGCTCTACAGACCCGCCATCATCGCATGTGTAGGAATCATGTTCGCCCAGCAACTCTGCGGCATCAACTCCATCATTGTGTATTCAGTATCGCTGCTTGCCGACTTGCTCCCCATAAGCTCAGCCCTACTAACTATTGCCATTTCCTGCGTCAACCTCTTTATGACCATCGTCTGCTCCCCGCTCCCCGACCGCATCGGCCGCAAGACCTGCCTCCTCATCTCCATCATCGGCCAAGGATCTAGTTCCCTAGCCCTAGCCCTCTCGATCACCTTTGGCGCCAAGATCCTCTCAGCGCTTGCCGTGCTCTTCTTTGTCGGCTTCTTCGCCGTCGGCCTCGGCCCCGTGCCCTTCATCATGGCGTCGGAGCTCGTGGGGCAGGAGGCCGTGGGCGCCACGCAGTCGTGGTGCCTCGCGTCCAATTACACGGCGACTTTCTTGGTTGTGCAGTTCTTCCCCATTGTCAACAATTGGCTGAATGGCTGGTTGGGTGGCGCGGGGTGGGTCTACTTTGTCTTTGCAGGGTTTGCCCTGGGTTCGGCGGTGTTTGTATCTTGGAGGGTGCCGGAGACGTTGGGGAGAAAGGATGCTGATGAGGTTTGGGGCAGGACCAGGAGGATTGACTGAAGGGTTGATTGCGTGGACCTCCCCCTCTTGAGGGCCAATGGATAGTCATGCCGTGTTTCTTTTGCTTTTACTAGTTTTGGGCGTTTTTATGCAATGGGTTAATAGGCAGCGCAGGTTTGTCCTTGCTTGTTTGGTACTTGTTTGGTACTCTCGCTTACAGGCACGTTATGTTGGGCAGCTGCAGGGAATCTCTTTTGAGTGGGAGAATGATTGAAAGTGGCAGTGCCGTTGACATTCTTCGTGATCTTGGGGCGAGATGGGCCGTTTTGAAGGCAACCTCAGTCTTTCATGGCCGGTATATCGGATACCGAGCGTCCGCTGAGGAGCAGACACGACACATCGTGGAGGCGCAGCAAGTGGCTTCATGTACGTCCCCAATGTGATTGAGAGCCAAGTCTTAATTGGCCACTCGGGCCTGACTCTGGAAAGGTGAGGATCGAGCGGCAGCAATGGAGCACAATCCAGATGAACTATATCTGTTAGATGGCCTTTGTCCCTTTTGGTATTGCCACACGGGTCGTTGCCCGAGTCGAGAGTGTCCCTTACATGCATGATATTCCCTGTAGTAGTGGCAAAGGTTTCCCTTCGGAGCCTGTAGTGGCAGGGCATGGCGTGGAGAAGCTTGAACACCTCGGACTTTACTTCATTCCTGATATGCTCAGGGGTTGACTCGCCCGTGGCCTTCTTTTTGTGTTACAGTACCTTTGAAGCAAGCAACATTTCTGGGGGTTGGATGCTTGAACGTCTGGGCTGCAGGTAAGTCCAGACATACGAAGAATTCCAACCGATCAAGCCGGTCCAAGAAAAGGAATCGAACGTGCAATGCAGCGAACGATTAACCGGCTTCGTTATACTTCTTTATCGTCTGCCAACCGGAACTTCAAGCAGCCTCGGAGCAGCAGAAACATTCCAGCCGCCTCCAACGACGGCGAGAGTCGTGTGCTCGGGTTGTGCAAGGGGCGAATATCGGCGCCAATGACATCAAAGGAGCAGGCATCATCTCGTCGTTAACCGTGGGGGAAGAACGCAGACGAAAGGTTTCCGTCGATTTGGCTTCTTTGTACCACGATGCCGACTAGATTGCTCTCTCCTCTTTAGCTTTGTCGGTCATTGACCCATCATCAATGGACAGGGAGTGTCCAGGCAGGGCCGGGCAGTTACGAGACACGTACCCGGCTTCCATAAAGCCAGTATGAGGGGAATATGATGGCCTCTGTTAGTTTATAAAAACCAAGGACATGTCCTGTCGAAGGATGGTTGTTTTCGATGCAGTGGACGGGATGTCCGTTCTTACTAGCATTCACCTCTAGATTTCCCCGGGGAATTGTGCTGTTTCGTTTCGAACCGCTGTTCAAAATGCTCCGAAAACTAGCCCTTGCCATCCTCGCATGCTCGGTAGTCTTCGCTCTCCCACGGCCTCAAGGAGAGGTTGGCCAAGTGAGCCTTCCTGAACATGACGTGCCAACTGTAAGTAGGTTCCCCCCACGACCAACCCCCTGCTCCGTCTCTCTCCCTCTCCCCTAAAAGAAGAGAGCTATTGACTCTCAAACAGCGTCTGGATAAGTGGGATGAGTTCCGGGTCGGTCTGTGCCGGTTCGAGCGGCACTGCCACCCCAGGTTCAAGCACAAGGACGTCAACTGGTACGATTTCCAAACCGCTGAGGGCGGGGTGTACGATATAATGTCACAAGTGTGCGAGAAAGCGCCGCTCAAGATGTCGTGGACCGGCGAGAATACATTCACCAAGGAATTCGGGAACGGGCCGCGGTATGCGAAAACCTCCTTCAAAATCGAGTGGATTCCGAATTGCGTGACGAAGGTGGAGGAGATGGAACCCAGGTTACCGCTTGGAGTGGACCATATGGACATCAACTGCTCGCACTTGCTCCGGGATAATTATAATCAATGTAAGCCCCACGTTTCCCGGTCCTGGAGAGAAAAGAAAAAGATCAGAACTCTTCCTAACTTCTTGTTGTTGGTTGTTAGGCGACAACGGTGGAGCCGGTGGCTGGACGGATGTTGGATGCTTGAGATATACGTTCCAACCGAAATGAGATACCACCGACGCAGTTTCCGCCGTCTCCCACTCCGACTGCTCTTCTCATCCATATTCCTCCCATTTCTCGGTCAACCAAGAGAGTTCTTTTGTTTTCGTCGATGCGAATTCGAAGTTCAAAATTTGAATTTCGTTCCTAATTTTATTTCAGTTCTTTTGCACATAAGCTCTGTTCGTCCAAGAAAGTCCAACAAGACTGGAGGTCATATATAGTTATAATTAGATAGCAACAACATCGACGATGTCTCTGGGTAGATCTGGATTGTTAACCCTGCGTGTGACAACAGGGAACTAAGGTAGAGAGATAGGGGTCGATCAGTGACTGTTGAAGGAGTGTGAATAGTCCATCCATGGCCAACCTCAGGCGTCATATAAGTCCACACTTTAGAAGAAGTCACGGTGAATAGTTTCCAACACAACCCGAAAGGCCGACCGAAGAGCAACGAGGCGTAGGTTAAGGGGGTGGAAACAGCTAGGGCCAAACGGGATCTTGAGAGGAGAGGGAAGGGAAGGGAAGGGATGGGATGGGATGGGATGGGATGGGATGACATGGGTACGGTTTCTCTCAATGTGAAGGTGCTTGTAGATATCGTGACTTGGAGTTTAGGCACGAGGAACGTGAGATACTTTGTGACTTTTGTTCCTGGACCAGCTTATATAACCGTTCAAGATACAATTATACCTTTATAATCTCTATTCGAACCTCAAACGCTGGTGAATGCTACCGAGTTTCTTTCTTTTCTCTCGTCCGCCTTTCCCTTGAAACAATGGACTTTCTATCTAGTTCGGCGTCCAATGTTGGTTACGAAATACCTTGACCGAGGTCGAGGGCGACTTGGGGCAACGATGGGGGAGATGATGGCCATGTGCTCCTTCGGTCCCGATCGCACTGCTGTTGACAGTGCATTCGACCTCTCGCAATGCATCTGCCAGCATCAGTATCAAATCTTTATCTGCAAAAGGATTCATATAAAAACACTGGTGTTTGCCGCATTGGCACATTGAAGGGTTCGTGATTATGGGATGGTCTTGGGACCCCGACGGCTGAGCAGACATCGGTCGATTTTCCAAGATGGTCAACATTCGATCGGAGATCCTAATGTCACTACCAAGGGAGGGCAGAACGAGGTCGAAGATCCCTTCTCACGATGCATGATGGGTGTTGTTGAATGGAGGATGGAGGATGAAGTGGGGTTTCTTGGCCTCCAATAATTGATCCGCTGCCAGGATGCTTCAGTCAGATTCAGCAAATCTGGCTCCGACCTGCAGGAGTTTTTCCACTTTATTCCAAGATCCCCACGTCTGTTTCTGCTTGTGCTTCGACTTCGGCGCATTATTACGAGGTTCAGCATATTATTGACGTAGTGCATTGCTCGCAAAGAGCGATGGAGGTTGATCCTAGTTGATAACAGCCAGCAGGCGTGCTTGAGGCACTCGAACCCCGCCAAGCCAGAGGTAACGAACCAGACAAGGGTCGAATCCCTGTAAGAGACTCTGAGACGACGGCACCTCCGTCAGAACCCCTCATCAGATCGAGAGCAATCAAAGCTGATTGATCCATTCATCGATCCCCCTCCCCCACCCTCTCTGGCTCTGCCCAGCTCTGGCTCCCTCTCCATCCCTCCAAGCTCCCGCGCTCGCGCTGGTGCTGGGCTTAAACTTGCATCACACTACTTCGTAAACCCAGACTTTGTGCAGCCCGATCCTTCGGCCTGACTTTGATCAATGTACGCGGGTGATTGCGCGAGGAATCCTGTGATTTTTCAGACTCTGCATACGATCCCTCCCATTCTAGTGGCCGGTTCTTCCCAATTCTTCCCAATCAACTCGTCCCCGTTCCCAGTCCCGTCCAGTCCCAACCAGTAGAAGAAAAAAGACTAGTGTATGCATCGTATCAAAAACCGCCGAGCAGTAGAGACGTCCTTGGATGGCACTGCCCCTCAACCGCTCAGCTGGACCAAGGCCATCATCGTGGAGATCCCGAACCATCCTTGACGCATTTCCACCCTCCTCTCTTATTATTCCTCCATCCCTGCGCGCCAGTGAGCCGTTTCTGCTTCCTTCGCCTAGAACCTTACGGACGTACGCTCTACCCTCCAGGTGCTTAAATACCCATCTTATTCGTCCTCTTAGAGAGCGGTTTAGTCCCCGCTCTCCATCTCTCACTGTACCTGTTGCCAGGCCATTAGATCTTCTACGCTATAGTTCTGAGAGACGTTATCATCGTGATACCATGGGGAACCCTGTCGAGACTAGTCAGCCTGGTGCTGAGGCCGCCGCTGAAGTTGCTGTGCCCGCGGGCGCTAACGAAGGTGGGAATGCCGTGAACGAGCCTAAACAGCCCGTCGAGGAATCCAAAAAGGGTACGTGACAGGTTCGCACCCTCCACCCCCAAATGTTTTGACACTCACGATTCCCAACAGGTGGCCAAGATGAAGACATTGAGTTCAAACTCGATGTTGAGAAGACTCTTGAGAGGCTCCTCGAACAGGAAGACACGGATAAAGACATGCAAATCACCAAGGCAGACGGAGGGCCAATGGTAAGCTTCATACGAAGGGGACAGGCAGATCAGCGATAGACTTCTACTCACATGGGAGTGACTTTGAACCCACTAGTCCGTAGAACTGCCCACAGCAACGCCAGACGGACCCGGCACTTATACCCTCACCGGCCATTACAACGTCTCCAACCTCCTTCAGGAATTGACCATTGCCAAAGATGACGGCCTCAAGGAACTTACCATAAGCCTAAGCCGTCTCAACGAAAATCCCGTCCACCGGCTCGCAAGACGCATCCGCGAGGACTTCTGGGACAAGCTCACTAGGAGAATCGATGCCTCCACCGTCGAGATCGCCGCCGTCGACCCCAAGGACTGGACCGACGACCCGAGGCCGAGGATCTACGTGCCGCACGGCGAGCCGAAGCAGTACGAGTTTTACAAAAAGGTCGCCGCCGATCGGCCCGAGATCCGCCTCGATGTGCAGATGCTTCCCGAGAAGATCACACCCGAGCTCCTCCGCGATCTCAACCTCAGGCCTGGCCTTCTTACCGTCGCCATGGAAGAGGTGACAGACCCCAAGTCAGGGGAGAAGACCCTCCGAGGCGTTCCGTTTGTGGTCCCCGGCGGACGGTTCAACGAATTCTACGGCTGGGACTCGTACTTTGAGAGTCTCGGTCTTCTCGTCAACGACCGCGTCGACCTCGCCAAGGGCATGGTTGACAATTTCTGCTTCTGCATCAAAAACTACGGCAAGATCCTCAACGCTACCAGGTCGTACTACCTCTGCCGATCCCAGCCGCCCTTCCTTACCGACATGACCCTCCGCGTCTACGAACGGATCAAGGACGACGAGGGCTCCAAGGAGTGGCTACGCCTGGCACTTCTCGCCGCCATCAAGGAGTACTCGAGCGTTTGGACGGCCGAGCCGCGCTACGATGCCGGGACCGGCCTCTCCCGCTACTTGCCGGAGGGTCTTGGCGTTCCGCCCGAGACGGAGCCGGGTCACTTCAGTACCGTCCTCACGCCGTATGCCGAGAAACACGGCATGACCTACGATGAGTTTGTCGAGGCGTATACTTGGGGTAAAGTAAAGGAGCCCGAGCTCGATACCTACTTTGAACATGACCGAGGTTAGATTTACTCCGCTCGCTCGCCTCCTGCCAGATCCTTCCACCACCTCCCCCTTCCCAACAAGCATGTCATGTACACTTACGTAAACTAACACGGGAATACAGCCATCAGAGAATCGGGCCACGACACGAGTTACCGCCTAGAGAATCGATGTGCTGATCTCGTGACTGTCGACCTCAATTGCCTTCTTTACAAGTACGAGACGGACATTGTCAAGGCCATCCGCACCTATTTCGACGACAGCCTCGTCGTACCCGAGGAATACTCCGCGGGCAGCAACCTCCAGCCCGGCGAGATACTCACATCGGCTCTCTGGGAGGAGCGCGCCGAGAAGCGAAAGCAGGCGATCCAAAAGTACTGCTGGGACGAGGAGAAGGGCTGGTTCTTCGACTACGATATCGCCAAGAAGGAGCAGACGGGATACGAGAGCGCCACGACGCTGTGGACTCTCTGGGCCGGCGTCGCAACGAAGGAGCAGGCGGAGAGGCTCGTCAAGAAGACTGCGGTCCCCAAGCTCGAGGCCTACGGCGGACTCACGTCGACGACGGAGGCATCGAGGGGCGAGCTCGGGCCGGACAGGCCTCAGCGGCAGTGGGATTACCCGTACGGATGGGCGCCGCAGCAGATGCTCGCGTGGGAGGGCCTTCGGCGCTACGGGTACGAAAATGAGGCATGCCGGTTGGCCTACAAGTGGCTGTACATGATGGCAACGGCGGCTAGGGACTATAATGGTGTGGTGGTGGAAAAGTACGACGTTACTCGCAAGTCGGAACCGCACCGAGTCGATGCCGAGTATGGAAACCAGGGCCTAGGCTTCAAGGGTGTTGCCAAGGAAGGGTGAGTACATAAAATTCCGAACCCTGGGCGTAAGGGACCAAGACGCGGCTAACACATTGACCAATGGGACAGATTCGGATGGGTGAACGCTAGCTTTGTTGTGGGCCTCCAGTACTTGGACCCCAACCATGAACTTGGGTTGGAGAAGATGCTGCCCTGGGAAAATTCGTTAGATCCTCTCTCCACATAAGTTAGGGAGACAAGGAGAAGGGACAGCGAAAATCCGGGGGGGAAGAGAAGGGTACTCGTCTCAATGCCTAGTTTAGTAGGTGTTTCTGGTGTGAAAAATCAAATGAAACGAACAAACTCTAGTGGGACGATTCTTAGGATGCTGAGCAAGACCGAGAGAGAGTGAGAGACGAGCTCACTCATGCATGATGTGAGACGAGTAAATACCCCACATGGGCAATGAAGGGCAATGAATGGACAATGTTGTGGTTGGTCTGGGCGGTCTCGGTATTTGCACGCCCCCCCACCTGGCTGGCACTGGCACCTGCCACATCCCACCTTCATGAACCCATGTCGACTTTCACATGGAATTTTATGAAGCATGTCAAGGTAAACCATCAAACGCCCGTCATCGATTCGCGCAATTGTACTTCGTAGTAGTTCTCATGTTCTCACGGACATGCCATGCCCCAGCGCTCGTGACTTCCTGGATATGTGTCGGGGATGCCAGGTGAAAAACATGTGGAAAGGTGGCGGCGGCGAGGGGCAAGGTACGGGACACGAAGTACACAACACTCGCTCTGCCACCCAGGCAAGATGATCCTGCTCTATTGACGATCTTTGAGTTGACATCACATGCTAAGCCATTGCCCCCGGTACACTAGCCGCAAGTGCTCTTTCCAACAGTTCTCCAGCTTTCTTCTTGCCCAAGCTTATAGGAATGTACCGAGTACTTTTCTTGCCAACTTCCCTCTAGCCGGAGCCATCAATCGCTGAAAATGGGAAGGAACATTGAAGAGTCACAGTCTGCTTGCTGCATAAGGCGGGCCGAGTATAATCCTCAGTCCCGGATGTCTTTAGATAGTGTGACTCAGAACCAAATCGAGAGAGTTACTCTGCAATTGCAGAATCTAGATGCGGCTTGCGGCTTGCGGCTTGACAACCTCTGCGGCTTCTTGTACTTTGCGCACTAATTTCTGCGAGTACTACTTCGCACGAAGGAGGTAGAGTAGCAAGAGGCGATCCACATGGGAAACTTTGATGCAAGGAGTTCCTACCTCCTAATGCCTGCAAAAAAGACAGTAGCGCCTGCGTCTGAAGAAGTAACTTATCATGGCGAAAGGGCTCTATGACTCTTCCAGCTCGGAGACCGACTTATCTCCATTCTTCGATCTAGATCAATAAGATGACGGAGCAAATCATACATGGTTGCTGCATTCGAATCTCGGCTTCTTTTAACCCTTTCGAAGCGAATGACTTTCGTACCTGCAAAATGTGGGATCCAATGTGGGCGCGTGTGTTTTTTTTTTCCACCGGCGGAGGTCTGGAGCCTGTGCGAAAAGGTCGGTAGCCTCGGCCAATGCCGGGCGAAACGCCTCGGTGCGGGAGCCGAGTGACCTTCGATAGCCACTTGCTGCCTTTATTTTCTTTTTTTCTTTTTTTCTTTTTCTCCCCGTTTTCTTTTTTTTTTCCTTTTTTCTTTTTTTTTTCTCTTCTGTCCAATTCTCCACGCACGCCTCCGTCCCACCCACCCCCTTTGAGCCGAAGGGATCGTCAGCTCGGTGGTCTGGAAACTAGTGTTGTGTAATATAGTGTGCACTAGAAGTAGGAAAGCCCAGTGAAGCTACTGCCCCTCCAATTTGATTGACCAGCCGTCCGCCACTCTGATGAAGGAAAAATAAAATGGTAACGATGATGTAAATGCGCCCGGCGCAAGCAACAGCCGAACTTCATCAGTCAAAGTCACGATAATTCGAATTAATTGTCCTCGGCTACCAGCCCCCGGTTCCATTGACCATTGAAACGTGGCGGACATATTCGCGCCATTCTCTGCTCGTTGTAAACGGCCTTCAAGCTTTCCTCCCGAGGTTGTGGGGCAGAGGCTTGAAGCCGGCGGGGCGAAGGGGAGGGGTGTGAAATGTTCGTGGGCGTGTTGGTCTAGATCTTTGTAGCTGGTACGGTCCGGCTTTGCCTTGCAGAGAACCCTTTTTCTTGGTCACCGTAGAGGGTCCTCGGAGGACTACAGCTAAAAGGTTTCGTGTACACCGTGACCCGGTTTGTGTCTCCTCCACCCAGTTAGAGAGAAACCCGGAGGAGATCGCATTTGCAGTGCCACTAGGGATCGAGGAAGCATGACTGTTTCTGGGAATTGCCCGCCCGTATCGGACCCGTTGGACCGACTGGACCGAGGAAGCTGGACTAGCACTTGGGGGCGTGTGTAAGTGCTTATGACGATATGATTTAACTTTTGCTATCTCCAGTTTCTCATATGTGTAGCGAGTATTCTGCCTTTCTTAACCTTTTTTCTTTTCCCTCTTCCTCCTTGACCTCCTTGACACTCTTTCCCCTCATCCCCCACATCTCTCCATACCCTTTCTCCAACCTTAGAGAAGTAAGAAGAAGAATTTTAGCTTGTGACGATTGCCATTGCGTGTGAGACGTGCTTCTGTTCCTGATATCCTTTATACACACCTTTCCATACATCCTACAACCTACATACGCACACACATTCACAATGGCGGCCAACAACATGCTTAACCCCGCCGCGGACTTCGACCAGGAGGATAGGGCCTTCGCCGCGGAAGTCGAGCAGGTCAAGAAGTGGTGGAGCGACTCTCGATGGAGGTACACGAAGCGACCCTTCACCGCCGAGCAGATTGTGTCCAAGCGTGGCAACCTCAAGATCGAATACCCCGGAAACCAGCAGTCCAAGAAGCTATGGAGGATCCTCGAGGGCCGATTCCAGGTAAGGCGTAGATCCGCGGTCCAACGACTGGACTGAAGACTCTTGATGTCCAGCCAGGAAAACGAAAAAGAATTAGAAAAACTAACCGGGGCAATTGGGCTCTAGAACCGCGATGCCAGCTACACCTACGGCTGTCTCGACCCTACGATGGTGACTCAGATGGCCAAGTACCTTGATACAGTCTATGTCTCCGGCTGGCAATCTTCTTCCACCGCCTCCTCCACCGATGAGCCCGGTCCCGATTTGGCCGATTACCCCTACGTAAGTTTTCCCCGCCAGAACTGAGAGGGACGGAGAGGACCAGTTCTAACGTTGCGTGCCCACACAAAAGACCACCGTCCCCAACAAGGTCGGCCACCTCTTCCAGGCCCAGCTCTTCCACGACCGCAAGCAGCGCCAGGAGCGTCTTACTACCCCCAAGAACAAGCGCGCCGGTGTCGCCAACATTGACTACCTCCGACCCATCATTGCCGACGCCGATACTGGCCATGGCGGTCTCACTGCCGTCATGAAGCTCACCAAGCTCTTCATCGAGAAGGGTGCCGCCGGTATCCACATTGAGGACCAGGCTCCCGGAACCAAGAAGTGCGGTCACATGGCCGGAAAGGTCCTTGTTCCCATTAGCGAGCACATTAACCGCCTCGTCGCCATCCGTGCTCAGGCCGATATTATGGGTATGGAATAACTAGCCCCCTCATAGAAAAAATGGATGCGAAAAGATTGGGGCAAAGAAAGATGGAGGAAAAAGTAAAAGAAAAAAGCTGCTAACCAATTTTGATCAATAGGCACCGACCTTGTCCTCGTTTGCCGAACCGACGCCGAGGCTGCTACCCTGATCTCCACCAGCATCGACCCCCGTGACCACGCCTTCATCCAGGGCACCACCAACGCCTCTCTCCAGCCCCTCGCCGACGTCATGGTTGCCGCCGAGCAGGCCGGAAAGGTCGGCGCTCAGCTCCAGGCCGTCGAGGACAACTGGATGGCCCAGGCCAAGCTCAAGACCTTCGACGAGGCCGTCGTCGAGGCTATCAACGCCGGACAGTTCTCCGACAAGAAGGGCACCATCGCCAAGTACCTCGCCGAGGCCAAGGGTAAGGGTAACGGTGAGGCCAGGGCCATCGCCAGGCGCATCACCGGCTTCGATCTCTACTTCAACTGGGACGCCGCCAGGACGAGGGAGGGCTACTTCAGGCTGAAGGGCGGATGTGAGTGCGCTATCAACAGGGCTGTTGCCTATGCGCCTTACTGCGATGCCATCTGGATGGAGAGCAAGCTTCCCGACTATGCCCAGGCTGTTGAGTTTGCCAAGGGTGTCCACGCCAAGTGGCCCGAGCAGAAGTGAGTAAAAACCCCAAAAGAAAACCTCGGCCTCTTAATTTTTTCTCCCATCTAAAGAACCTTTGATGGCTAACCCTGCAATCTAGGCTCGCCTACAACCTTTCTCCCTCCTTCAACTGGAAGGCCGCCATGCCCCGCGACGAACAGGAGACCTACATCCGCCGTCTCGCCAAGCTCGGCTACTGCTGGCAGTTCATCACCCTGGCCGGTCTCCACACCACCGCGCTCATCAGCGACCAGTTCTCCAAGGCCTACAGCCAGATCGGCATGAGGGCGTACGGCGAGCTCGTCCAGGAGCCCGAGATGGACACCGGTGTCGATGTCGTCAAGCACCAGAAGTGGAGCGGTGCCAACTACGTTGATGAGCTTCAGAAGATGATTACTGGTGGTGTTTCCAGCACGGCGGCAATGGGTGCTGGTGTGACGGAAGATCAGTTCAAATAAACGGGTGTGAAGAGCTGAGAGGTGTTGAACGCCGAGGAGAGGAATAATGTGAGAATTAAAACATTGCATGTGAAGGGAGGGGGACAATCCTGGACTTGGAAGGTGGGAAGTGGGATGTGGGATGACAAATTATCTCGATATGTACACTCTGGCTGCAATTGTCAACGAGTACCTTGTATTTGATGCTCTTGGTCTATTGATGGTTACAAAAATTCAATATTTATACTATTATAATTGTATTGTTACCACACTGCCTTGATCTTGGCATACAGGCGACAACTGTAGTTTACGAAGTAATCAGTATTCCTTGGTGATCAATTGGTCTGATGTTAACCTCGCACGGAGGTTACAACGTCTGCCGAGGGCGACCTCAACTTAAATTTCAGGTAGTCCCAGGTGGCCTGCAGAGCGAGATTAAAGTAGTTTTGGCACGCAATCTGAATTCAGCTGGCGTCAGTTGATCCAGTCACTTGATCAAACCAACCTCAGAGAAAAGAGTCTAGATGCATTCATTGAATTGATGCCATCAGTGCCATCAGTTATAGGTCGCGAGATCAACCACGTAGTTTAGGTACGGCGGAGAGTAAACCAGTTAAATCAGGATTTAATTATATCAACACTCCTGGTTTAGTAAAGAGCGTATCCATGGATAGATCTCCCTGCAGCCCAGCGGGTTAACATCCTGTTTGCAGTGCCACCACTCCGTTTCATGCATCATCGCATCGCGCCGAAGGCCCAAACCTCCCTCCTCAACCCTTCACACAACACCATGACGTCCGCGATAACCCCCGCCCACCTCGGCTTCCTCGCCATATACAACCCATCTCTCAGTTCCGCCTCCCAGGATGAAGACGCCCTCGCCCACCAGATAGTCTACTATGCCTCCGTCACAACGCTATCCCGCCGTCGCCGAAGGACGGGCCGCAAAAGGAAGGGCCGCCGTGAACGCTCACGCCTGGCCGAGGATGTGTCCCACGAGGAGCGCAATGAGCGGCTGAGGCAGATTGGGTTGGCGCAGGGGATGGTGGAGTTTAGTCGCGGCTTCTCTGGCGGAGATGCAGTAGATGTCATTGAGACGGAGAAAAGTAGGGTCGTGGTGCACGAGGTTGAGCCGGGATGGTGGATCTTAAGCGTAGGTCTCATTACAATACTTCGTCTATCCCTTACACCATCTCTGTTCCGCTTTTTGTTTACTTCTCTTCTTTTCCTGTCTTTCCCATTGTTTTTTTCTTATTTTTGTTTCACCTCCCGCCAATATGTGTACAACTTTAAGGTCTCTCATATACATACAAACGGCTCACGCATGCTCATAGTCAATCGATCTCACACGGCTACCCCTACCACCTAAACTACCTACCTCACCATCTCCCGCCCAGCGCGAAGATGTATTCGAGTACTCATCCAAAGAAGTAAAGCCGGCCGCGCTTCTCCTCCAGGACCTCCTCCGCGCTCACTCACTCTTTCTTCTCCACCATGACGTGTCTCTGTCCAGGCTATTTGATCGGCTGGGAAGAAGGCGATTTATCTCCTCGCTAACGCGCTACTGGGACCTTTTCCTATCGACCTGGAGCGTTTCAATGCACGGAAACCCTATCCGGAGCATCCTTGGAGGGATCAATATCGCTGCTTCTGGTGAGCTAGGTGTCGGTGTAGGAGAGGAGGATCGAGGGAGTGGCGAGAGGGAGGTGTTGGAGGGTTTAGTGGGAAGAATAGACGGGCTGGTTGACCTTGTCGTCTCTAAGTTTGGTGAAGCGGATGGGGGTGGTGACAAGAGCGCTGATAGAGACGTCGGAGAGGGAGTCACGGTTCCGTGGCTAGGGACTGGACAGGATCCCGATGCGGAAGATGGGGCCATCTTCCTCGGCGTCGGTGCGTTGACCAGGCGGTCATTGAAGGACGTAGTACACTGGACTGAGGATCTGTATACGTGGGGGGAGAACTCATACGGTGTCATCGGCGCTCCTTCGTCTACACCAAGTCAGAAAAAGCAGAAAGAGTCACCACCAAAATCACCGGAACCTCGGGAAGCTCACGCCCCTCAACCTAGTACTTCGCCAACTGCCAAAGACTCGCGAGGAGGAGGCGTTCGAAAGGATGGCAATGAACAAGAGGAAGCGGATAAGAAGGTAACCCATGATCCTGCCGAAGCCCTTGAGTTGCCATCCGCCCCGGAATCAGCGCAACATCCGACCAACCCCGAAACGACCGCCGCGGAACCAGAAGCTGAAGGCCACATGGACAAGTTTGTGAGCATGCTTAAACTCGGTTATGGGACATATTGGTCCCTCGGGGGCTCCGAAAGTAAACCGGGCAGTCCTGCTCCCCCAGATGCATCTCAGAGTGACAAGCCCAAGAGTCCGGCTCCCGCCGACACGCAGAAGCGAAACAACACCAAGAAAGCAGCGGACGAGTCCGAGGGCTATTTTCTGATCGGCCTTAAGGGCACCGTCGAAGAACACCCTCCTAGCGACTCATCTTCCGACGACGACGACGAGATGTCCAGAAAACCCTCTACACACACGCGAACGCTCCACGTCACAATCTCATCCGACGACGACCGGGCCCTCACACGCGCCTCTCTCCGGGCAATTGTCTATATCAATAGACCATTCATCTTCACCTTTCTTTTCCGCCCCGAAACCCCATCCCTCTCCTCCGACGCCCTCTACCGCTCCCTGCATTATCAACTCTCACCACTGCGCAAACCGCTCCTAATCTCCACGAGCTACCGACCCCCTCGTCCCGAGAACACTGGGCCGGCATCCTCGTCCTTTCAAGCTTCCTCGTCAATGTATGACCTCGTCTGGGACCCTCGACTCAACAGCATCCACTCCACCATCCCCAACATCCCCGCGGGTAAACCAACCCTCTGGACCCGCACCGAAGCCATCGCGACGCACACCCATCTCCTCGGCATCTTCTCCGCCCGCAAGGCAGGCGACGTCGAGAAGACTTTAAAGACAAATAAGGGCTGGTGGATCGTTTGGAGCAGGGTCCTCCCCTCTCGGGCGTCCGTCCCCGGCACGTCATCTCCTTCCCAGGGAGGCCGCGATCGATCTGCGTCGGTCTCGGATGCGGACGATGCTTCTGAGCATGCGAAGAATAGTGCGGATGATGGGGAGGAAGCTAGCGCGAAGGAAGTGTTCCTGCTGAGAAGGGCTGGCGATCATGCTAGGGCGTTTAGCTCGTCGCTCGCACCCAGACGGGAAAGTGTGAGTAGGCTGGCGCAGGGGATCGGTGTTGATACTAGGGGTTATGTAGAGACCCTGTTGAGTTTAGGTAGATAGGGCCCGATCATTCATAGGTTCTATGAAGACTGTGGTGTGTGTCTTATTATAATACAGAGGTGGCTTCGGACTTCGTTTACATGTGGCTGTCTCAAAACCCCAGTTAGTTCGTTACCAGGTTGAACGCGATGGAGATCATAAGATCTGCAGATCCCCCCTCATCCCGATTATGCCGATCTCCAACACTCCTAACGCTGACTATTCGATCACGATGTTTGACTCAAGAGTAACACCTTCCTCTGTCAAGTCTCATTTCTTCCCGTCTATGCCGAGGGCAGTTCAGCTTGGCGTAGTGATAATAGACTGCCTTTCTACAATTTATAGAGTCGGTATCACAGAAGGTCGTGAGAGAGCGTGCAGGCAATTTTCCAATTTGTTCTGCGTGTCATTCAAGGGCTGACCCTCTCGTAAGATGTTTCCACCAAACCACCCTTATAAAGTTGTATATACAAGAAAAAAAAATCAGGAAAGATAAATCTCTTCTATATGTTCATCGCCATAATGCGGAAAGCCCGTGCCGACCTTTCAACACGCGCCATGGGTTGTGCTCTTTTCTCCTTTTGAGCCAGTTTATTCATAAGCTCGAGAACAAATGGGTCCTGGTGGGATGAGCGCGTGTCGTGGTCGCATTGTTGCGCCGCTGGTGTCATCTTATCATCCCGAAGCCCAAAAAAAAGAAGAAAACAGACCAAAACCCTTGGGTCTTTTCCATGCCGTTAATCCGATCCCGATGCGGTATATTTCGCAGCCCTTCTTCGAAAGGACTTCCAAGATAAAACGAAGAAAAAAAAAAGCAGAGGAAGAACGTATATACATTTTCAACATTACCCTACTCTAAACATGGAGACGGGAAACATTGAAAAAAGGCACCATGACACCCTGCGCTAATCAAAAACTACCTTGCTCCCTGCGGACAGTAGCAAGGCAACCATTGGAGCTTCAGGCCACGATGACAAGCAGAATGGAAATCGGAGAGAGCAAAACAATCAAGCTCTTTAGTTTGCGTTCAAGTACCACTCGACAGGCATGCGACCGAGACCGAGGTCTCCGAAGAGATCGAGGAAGAGCTTCTCGGTACCGTCAATGTTATTGGCGGCGCAGTCGCCGCACTTATCACGGATGGTGGCAACAATGCTCTTTCCGTTAGCCATGACGGTGATGGTCCTGCCGCAGAGGGGGTTGCTGTTGGAGAGTTCACCCATAACCAAATGGGATAGGGCGACGTAGTACTCGGACCGATCCTTTCCAGCGTCGTTGAAACCGCAGGCGCCGAGACCGACGGCGAAGAAAGTCAGTTCACCGTTTCCTCCCACGGATTTGTCGTAGCTTCCAGATGAGGAAGTATCCTGAACCGCTACCGAAGGAGAAGGCTTCTGAGCGACGGGGGCGGGGGCTGGGGCCACGGGCTGGGGCTCGGGGGTTGGAGCGACAGGCTCGGGAGTAGGGGAAGGAGGAGGAGGGGGAGGAGTGTTGACAACGGGCTCCGGGGCAGCGGGGGTGGGAGTGGGTTCCACCGGGGGTTTCTGGGCCGGAGTCTCAAAGAACTGGGCGTCCTTGCCGGGCTCGGTATTGGCGTTATCGTCCTTGGCAACAGGAGTGACATCAGGCTCGACAGTGATGGTGGTGGTTCCGTCGACATATTCAGTCTGGGTCACCCAGGCGGTCTCGATAACCCATTCGGTGGTGATGGCTCGCTTCTCAAATCGGTGGGCAGCACCAGCGAACTTCTTTGCGTGGCGATGGCGGTGAATGTTATGAGGTTGCGCGAGAGCCACGGCGGCAAAGATGGCGGGAATGACGAAAGTTGGCTTCATGGTGTCCAGGTGTTGGAGGTACACTCGAAGTAGTATACTTTTTATATATATCAAAGATGAAGATGCGTGAGTAGTTCAGCGCTGCTGAGGGCTCGGTTGCTGGTCAGCTGTTCAAAGCCGATATCTTTGTGTCCGTCCTAGAAGGAGTGGCGTCGGGCCGTGTAATTGGAACGCTCTGAAAGGTTCAAGCCAGGAAGGAATGACAATCGAGATCTCTGTTAGAGAAGGAAGAGATATTCGAGAGAGCCTGTCTCCAAAGTGATCCGAAAAAAAAGAGTGGAATGGAAGGCCACAAAGTCACAAACAGCGAATGGCAAAGGGAATGAAGGAAAGCAATGGTGAGAAGGCGGAAATAAAGAAAAACCTGCATTGGAGGGAGGGCATCGGGAGTTTTTGAGCTGGCCGCACCGAGCGGAATGACATGGGGGGTGGAGGCCAAGAGGGAGGGCGGGATCCATCGAGTGAGTGTTAAGTCCCTGTCCCTGACTCCTCCCTGCGCCTGTGTCTCTGGGTCGTCCCTGGCCCATTGTTTTTGCCATGATCCCGACAAGGCCTACACTGCGATGTACGAGGTACCAGGGTACACTACTTCGTCCAAGGAGAGTGACTCTGGTTCTCCCAGGACGCTTCTATTCATGTTGGACCTAGCCAGGCACGAAGTCCACTTCTCTCCGCCGTTTGTACACGACGAAGTACCTCTGAGTTGTCCCTGAGCGAGCGAGACCAAAGGGCTGGGGTGGGTCCAGGCTAATCCGTAATAAGCCCGGTACCTGAGAACGATACATCCATGGATGTTCCGGGTATCCATATCCGTGAAAGCCCTAGAGAGTATTTTTGGACCAATAGTAATACGAAGTAAACGACTAAACCTACACTGCGAAGCATAGCCCCATCCTTGAGAGAGGAAGCCCTGAACAACACTTTAATGTTGTATATACGAAGTATCTTCAGTGAGCCTTGGGTAGGAAGGAAGAAGGATCGGTCTGTCTAGGATACACAAGTGTACCTCGGGACTGACCTGCTTGGCGAGACCGATGAAGTACGACAAACATTATGCTTGATCCATCATGAGATAATCTAATAAGCCCCGATCTTGTGGAGAGTGGATATTCCCACGAGGAAGAGACCCTCTGGTAGGTGACAACTTGGGTGACGGGATAGCCTGTGGTCTGCCGTCGTGGACTCGGACAAGGCAGTGGGGAAATAGGGTTAGGCGCTGCTGTAGTATGTTCCATCTTTCCTTGCTCTTTTCTTTGTTGGACAATAATCGTCATGTTGTGTCTATTGACCCCGCCTCAACCTTGCTTTCTCTTTCCCTCACTCATTGATCTCATGGGGGGTGGTTAAACACCGCAACGTGCTGACATCGGCTGTTTGTTTCCCCTTCTCCAGCGCCAGTGATGATGATTGGCCGGATTGGGTGAGTCGATCATGAAACGCACCAGCCCAGGACCCATCTCCTTCTCTTTCCTCGGTGTCAGGCCTCCTAACAGGGGTAGTGGTGTTGTTCAGTTTGCACATTCCTTCGTACAAGAATGTACCAGCCCGCCCGATGCAGGGTGTCCGTGGCATTCCGGGATGTCATCCTGGGTCCGCTGCAGGCTGTGTCGAAGAAGTACTTTGTACCTCGTACACTACAAAGTACCACTTGGCTCCTACGAAGTTCATCAATCGACGCTTTCGGTGTCTCTTGCTGATTCTGTCAAAGTACCTCGGTACCGACGTCCACCTGCGAGTACACTTTGTTGTCGTCAAGGTACTTTGAACAAGTCCCCTTGCAGGTGCCAGGTACGCAGCCAATCATGTCCCTGTTCCTTTTTTCAGGGCAGTGACATTGCCCCGAGGTGGTTGCCTCAGTCCCTCCATCACTTCCAAGGTCCAGGCAGGTTCCAGGCACAGCAGAATCAGTGTCGACGGTGGCAGCAGACTTTGACTCCGCCAGGTTCATCAATCCACTCAAAGCTCACCACACAACCTTGCATCAGAAATGAATCCACAATCTGCGCCTGAATTCTCTCATCCCCTAACCATCTGGTGAAAACGTTTCTTTTTCTTTCTTTTTTTCCTGACCTTTCGCCCCACTCATACATGCCATTTTCAACGTTGAGTCCATCTTCCACCGCACTCGGCTCAACTCCTCTAGTGTGCCAATCTCGCCTTTGCTTGCTCCCCGTTTTATCCATATTTAACATAAAGAGACATAAAATTGTGCTCGTAAATGCCTCTCTTGCAGAAAGCCGAAGACCTCTTGTGGCTTCATGATTAGTGTAAGTACCTGTCATAGAGCCTCATACACTTTTTTGTTACTTGGTAGGCTTCAATACGTCGAAGTTTTCCGGCTAGACCCGATATCAATTGGTATTTAGCCTTTTGGGGTGCTCTTGGGGCTCCTTAAAGGACTCTTCTACCCCTTCGCCGTACGAAGTATACAGAATTCCGTCGACGTCGGCCTGGTGTTGTCAATAGTCTGAGCAAGATGCCGGACCCTGTGTTCAATGTTGTTTCACCGACTTCCGTTCCCAGATGTCTGGAACACCCGTGGCAATGTCGATGTGCATGCTCTCCTGCGCGAGTACTGACGTTGTCTATTCTCCTCGCGCTTTTGTAAAAGCGTCATCGTCCGAAGGCGAAATAGCCCGAACATCTATCTCGACTGTCCAATCACCATCTCTCGCTCCAATTTCATCCAGTTCGCTTCACCCGGATGTCTGCAAGTTCATGTAGGACAGCAGAAAAAGAAACATGCCGTCTCTGCCAAAGGCCCGACATTCCTTTGGGTAAATGCCAGGCGAGAGTGTATCGGATACTTTAATCTCGAAGCCCCTTATGCCTCAAGAGTCCGTACATTATACATGTAGATTTACAGATTCAATTCACATCCCGTCCATGCCACGGCAGCCGAGACTCTCAAGGTCGAGCTCACCGCGATTCTTCTGGCATCCTTTCAATCTTGACATAGAGTGCCTACCCCCCCTCCTCACTTCTATCCCCGAGTGTGCTATAGGCGGCAGTGTTTTTCATGAAGCCCTCGTGAGCACGGGACAACATTTCCATCAAGTGCTATTACACCATTACATCACTACACTCTGGCCCTTCGTCCGATGACGCCCCCAAAGCAATATTCGAAAGAAGGAAATTTATTTGGCAGGTCCCTGATTCCGCCAAGTATCGGGGAGTGGTTCAAGCAGGCATCTGGGTGTGAAAGACCTGTCAACATATCACGCATTTCTTCCGAGCAGCACAGAGCAGCACCCTGCGAGCTGTCAGACGCAGAGGACCCAATGATCTACTGCCACGCCCTGTGGCGTCCGACCATGTGGGTGGACTGAGACTGGGAACCACCCTCATGAAGTTGCACTTGGAGATCGAGATTATTGTGCATTTTTTTTTTTTTTCTTCTATTTCTTTTTTTTACCCCTCTATCGGCCTTCATTCACCCCTCCAAGCTCCATTACGCTTTATGTTGTTGATCTCCGTCCCCAGGACTCCTACTCGTACCTTTGCTCGTAATAGCGTAAAGGAAGATAGACTCTCTTCTAAATACTTCACGGTCCTCATCCATCAACTCGGTAACTCGGAACTTCTTCATCGCTTTCGCCAGGAACTGCATGTCCGCTCTCCGTCGCTTCTTGAAGCAAAAGTATATGATGGCTGAGGGGTTTAGCTCCAGAAGAGACGCTAGCGTCGTCAGCAGAAGGGGAAAGGCTGGCTCGAAGTACACGCAATCGGCTGCCAACACGACGCTTGGCTTGAAGTCGATGACTTCTTTGCTGAGTGGTTCTCCCCTAAAAAGAATGGCCGGGAGTGGCGAAGGGAACAGCCCCCCTGCATTAGCACTCAAATCTCTGCGAAAAATGTGAACGAGTAGTTGTGTGACACCGAAGCAGCCTAGACAGGCGGTATTAAGGGGCTTGGAGACGAGAAAGGGATAAAGTTCACAAAGGAACCGAGTATATGATAAAAACGAAAGGTATGGGGTGGAGTTTGTTTCGAAAATCTTCAAGTTCCGCCTATTATCGATCGTAGGACAAAAGTGTTTCAAGGTGCGCCCACTCGGGAAATTTGCTGTTGAGCAGAAGTCGACATCAAATGCGGTGATCCAGCTCATGCTTCGTACGACAAAGGAACGAGAATCGACAATACCCCATGGGGGACTCTGGGAACACAGCAGCATTGTGCTCGAAACAAATGTGACGGGTTCGGAAATGCATCGGGCAGGGAAATGTAATACTACATACCAATTGAGAATCATGGGTTTTGCTTTGCTTCCGAGCCCATTCAGCTCGATGTTGTGTTCCATCAGTGACAGCATTTCAAGCTGGTCCGTCACGTACACCGGACTTTCCAGGATGCAGCCAAGGGCGACTGCAAGACCAACAAGCCCACCACCAGCGCCGAGCTCCAGGCTATAGTTGTCAGAACGCCGCAGCGCGTCAGCCAAGAATCAAGAAACAGGGATCGAAGGCCGGTGAGGTCCTGACTGGCCACAGAGACAGTCAACTTGACCAGGACATACATCCTTCGGGATATTTCCGTCGATCGAAGGGTGTTTATACATCACCGCAATATTGCAAATCTTCAAATGCCAGTGTGGCTGGCTCCCCCCCTCATTGATCACTTACATTCGTTCAGAACCAAGATCCCCTCGGTGGTACCTAAGCATATGCTTGGCAAGAACCATCCCGGCCGGCCATGTTTGACCTCCGCATCCCGAGCTGAGGTCTTCCCTCAGTTTTAACGCCGGCGAAAGCAGCCCATCGACGTCGGCCGTGGTGACGCCAGCCTCTTTGTAGACAGGGAGCGGCGCATAGGCCTGACCGACATCAAGCGGTGACAGCTCAGGCGTAGACTCTCTAGACATATTTGGTGCTGCGGCCTTTCCGGTCTAGGAGGGGCTTTGGAATTCGGAGATGATGGCGGAAGCCTTGAACCTGGGCGAAAAATCAAGGCCGATTCTCACGATGCGAGGAAGGCAGAGGGAGTTGGAGGTTTGTGGGGCTGGAGTATCGTGAGGTGTGCGGAATCGGCGGGTTTTAGAATTTCTAGAAACTTTGTGCGCCACCACCCGCCAGTGATAGTGATAGCGATAGCAACAATCAAGAAACCAATTGATGCCTTTCAGAATGCATTTTTATTTCTCTATCCGCCAGACATCGAAACTCGCGATAACTGTCTCAATCTACTTGATTAGCTCCGGCAACCTCCGTGAGGCAAGAGCTGACTGACCAACAACAGCCACCGCCGCCGCATCGCGATACCGCCCAGCTCGACAATAGAGTCATGTTGCACCTCACAAATTCCTCTTTCTTCCAGGCCGATTATGCGCAATCAGGTTGATGGGAAAGCCAGACAAAAAGCCAATGCAATTTATAATATCCTCCACCGCCAGCCAACGCCCGACTCCGAAGTCTCTCCCATCCGTGAAGAAACCGATGGCGCAAACGCTGGCAGTGAATGCCAGATATGCACCGCGTCGCAAAGGGATATATCTGCGAGCCTGATTGATTGGCCTTTTCAGTACTACACGCCCTGGAACGGCGGCTAGAACAGAGATGCCATGGAGACGAGTCTCTAAAGCGCATGTCAGCGGGCAGATGGATATTGTGCATTCCATTTTCAAGACGCGTAGCATTGCGCCCATTCGTATTCCTCTAGAACCCACGATGTTTATTCTTAGATCCAACCTGGACTCTTATCACCTGCCGTCATTCGTATAGTAACAACTCGAGTCGCGCTTCCCATCTCAGAATGATCGTCGACTGCAGTGGCCATTCTGGGTCGGGCAACTGCGCTTAAACCATTGCCTGAAGTTATGATGCTGCTGATGAAGATGAGAACAGCTCCCTTTGGCGCGTTTGTCCAGCTCCCTTCCTGCCACTGTTTCCTCCACCGTTCCCTGCTACATAGCACTCCTCTTGGGAGTCTCGCTCCTTCTTCTATTACTTTGCGTCATCGCCGGCCTAGGCTTTCTTTGAGTTGTCGCGGTCGCTGTCGTAGGCGCTAGCGGATCCTGACGCCTCTCGAGCGCTTCTTGATTATCCTTGTCTCTGCCCGTGACTAGAGCAGTAACTTTTTTCTTAGCCTTCCCAGGGCGAAGCTTCCTATCCTTCCATGTGTCTCTAATGGCATCCGATGCGCCTTTCATTGCGCTCTTAATGCTCTCCTTCCGCTTCACCTCGTTTCTCACCCCTCTTGGCTCGCTCCCTCTGCGTCCCAACCCTTTGTACCGCCGCTGCGTAATCTCCATCTTCCACGGCTTGCGATAGCTGGCTGGAACTGCTAGTCCGCCGATATGTCACACCGTTCTGGTGAGTTTCAGGGACTCTTTCAATCCTATCTAGTCGGGCTTGCGCTTCGGTAGACATGGGCGCGTCTCTGTGAAGAAGAAAGAGTCGGAAGTGTGACTCAAGGTGGTCTAAGTGCTTCGATCGTGAGGCGCACGTGGTGTATATTGTGTAAAGGGGATTAATCGATTCGCAGGTAGAGGTTTGAAGTGACAGAGAGATAGAGGTTTTGGAAGTCTCGGAAGAGCACCCATTGGCTTATTTCCAGCGGAGCGTAGAGGGAGAATGCTCGTGATTAACCATGTCTAATTCATCCATCACCAACTTACCGAATCACAAAACACAATTAGTCTATTCATTTTGGTTGTGTATATGAATCATGTACAATGAGACGGAGTGCCTTCAGAATCAGTGACACATCAGCTCCGCCTGCTCTTTCCAATTGATGGGTCTGCTAGTCCATCATATTCCTCGAAGCAAAGTGTTATCTCGCTGGTCTAACGGGAGATACCGCTCCTTCAACACTTCTGCGACGGTCTTTGTCTGTGCTGTATTCTTCTCATAACGCTGCCTCAGCGCCTTCGCGACATCCGACTCAGTCTGTATCGCCTCGTTCGCGACCGCTTCAACCTCCTTGACTGCGTTTCCAGTCGCGTTCTTTATCTCGTCCACAACATCCTTTCCTTTCGATATTCCGTTCTCAACGGCGTCTGCTAGGGCCTTCTTGGCCTCAGCCGCCCGCTCAAGTACGCCAGCCTTGGCCTTTTCGACACTTTCGTCTACTTCCGGAGCGCCGAATATCTTGTCCTCCAACTTTTCCCGTGCCCGTCCCCAATCGGCACTCTGAAGCCATTTCACTGCGCCCTCTAGGTCGGAATTCCACCTGTCCTTGGCACTGTCGACGAAGTTTGCTCTCGCAGCAGCGGCGAGCTCAGCTCTTGTTGGACGGAGTGGCACCGGTGGTCGGTCGAGGGCGGCGTCGAGAACACGTGCTTGTTGCTGGAGGAGGGAGGATTGTTGTTCGCGAGCATTTTGATGCGCAACCGAGCTCAAGTACGCGACGGCAAGTGTCAGCGTGAGACCACCGGCCTAGTGATTGGAACCAGAGAGGTTCTTGGATTAGCCTCAGCCCTTGTCGTGGGGGGTGGTGTGTGGAGAATGGGGAGACCCTACGAATCCCGTTGTAAAGCCCATTTTCTATGAATCTCGCCAATTGTGTAGTAAGAAAAGGACAATTGGAAGGAAGGCCCTTGGGCGTGCTACGTTCGCTGTGGACCGGGAAACTTTACTTTAGTGAGGGATCATGACCCGGGGGTCGAATCAGCAAATCGGAGCTGGAAATAATAACGACGATGATGTCCAGAGCCGAAACCTTCCGTGAAGAAAGGTACAAAGGGCAAGTACCTATGTACCAGAACCTGAGCTGAGTATTTGTGACCATCACGTGACTATAATGTGCGATGAGGATAGGACAAGAAATTCAATATCATGAAACCAAGAACTTCAGTGATAGTAGAGGAGAAAGTTGTTTGCATTGGTGTCCATCTAGATCAGTTGAGCCGTACACTCTGAGAAAATCAGAGCTAGAGACCGTCAATTAGTCCTGAGCCGAGTACAGTGTCTGATGTTTACCATGTCCATCATGGATGGACTTGAATCAAATTGATGACTAATCACATCCATTCATCTGGATGCTTCGATAAATTTCAATTGCTTGAGACTACTCAAAAAACCTCTGGAGATCTGGATCAAGCTCTCCTCCCCACCCCAGCCCACGCTGTCCACTCTCCTCACAAATCGCGAAAATGGCCGGCGGACTCGTCAAGTACCGGCATCTTAGCCGGAAGTCCTCTGCGCGGAAGGCCCTGCTGCGCAGTCAGGTCACCGCCCTCGTGATGCATGAGCACATACAAACGACATATGCCAAGGCGAAGGAATCACAGCGGCTGGCGGAGAAACTGATCACTCTGGCGAAGCGGAATACTGTTACGAGTAGGAAACAGGTGCAAGGAATGCTTTATGTACGATGCCCCCCTCCCGGACTCTCTGCTCTGTCGCCCTTTAGTCGTTTTGTCCAGCCCGGAGCCAAACTCCCAGAGACAAGGACAAGGAGGCGGAAGGAATTGGCACCCAATTATCAACCGTTATTGAGGTTTCCTGGGCTGACTAGATGGATCTTAGACCCCCCACGCCTTACTGCCCCGAGTATTCGGCGAACTTGCGAACCGCTACAAGGACCGCGCCGGCGGCTACACGCGCGTGACCCGAACCGAACCTGCCAACATCTACGACCAGGCTGAGTACGCCATTCTCGAATTCGTCGACGGACCCCGCGACTCGCGATTCATGATGACGGCCATGGCGGTGGCGCGCGACCGCGCACGTGGCGTCGAATCCACCGACATCACTAAGAAGAACGTCGAGAAAGTTACGAGACTTAGGGGAACGGAGGAGTTTGAGAAGATGGTGAACAGGTTGAAGCGTAGATGGGGCAGTGCGTTGGCTGAGAACTGGGAGGCCGATCCCCCTCACATCGCGGCGAAGAAATAATTGGATATATCATGAGGAAAACGTGTAAGGCGAGTGGTGGATGGAACAGCTAAGACCTGTGTACAAACTTGTAAGATCATGCAACGGGAAATGGAATTGGCATTTAGACAAACTAGCGATGTTATTTGCTGCGTGAGCGGAGCATCAGTCTAAGGAACAAGAAACACGTGTTGTGTGAAGTGTCATGGTATCTGTGTCTATCTGTCGTATTATAGGTGTAGTTCCATTTTCCACCTTTCTCAAATCATTTAAACTTGCCAGGGCTCGCTATGATCCTTAAAGCTGCCACTCTCGATAATATTACACGAAATCAAAGGTATCGCCCCTTTCCGCCAGCATCTTTCCAACCCTCTGGCTTCCTACCACCCGCTCCAACTTCATCGCATCATACTTCGAAAACATAACTCTGACGGACCCCTGCCCAGCCTCCAGGCTCATGTCTTGCTCACTCTTAGCAAGATATCCTCCGGCAATTTCGCGGTAAAACAATGGATTGTCCGGAAGAGCATACATGATTATGCTCTTGACGCCCTTGATCTGGTTCCGTCGGAAATGATGCGCTCGCTCAGTGTATAGAAGGACTCTGTGCCGGCCATTGAGGAAGTGAGACCTAGCTCGAGAAGCCTCTGGAACATCCGCATACTCGGATATTGTGCCAAAAGTAATGTTTGCGAGGGAAGGAGACGTCGCAAAGAAGTTTCTAACGCGGACAAAGTCGAGGTAGGAGGGAATAAAGATTAAGACGCCGGTAATGTCCTTTGCTCTCTTCACGAGATATGGGACAATCGCGGCGACGAAGTAGGAAAACCTCGCATCCGGATCCGTATCAACCGATGGCGAATCAAATCGAGAGAAGGTCTGCTTAACTTTGACCCCGAGGCGTTGGATTTCGCCCGAGTACTCGGGCTGTAGTCTAAGCTTTCCGGCCCAGTTCTGGCAATGCGACCTCATCAACTCTGAGAGTTCGGGGGTATTGTATGCTGACAGGACGATGGTCTGCCTGAAGTGTTTGGACAAGTTCTCAAGATACCAGTTCCGAACACGGCCGATGTCATAATCGTGGGCCTCTCGGGGATGGAGATTGAGATGCTCAAATATAAATTCGACATGTTCCCAGTTTTGCATCAACAGAGCATCCGCTTGATCCATGACGATCAACTCGATGGAACTTAAAAAGTCAAAGTCCATCTTCTTTTTACCCTTTTCCTCTTCGGAACCGATTGCCATCCTGAGACCGAGAGGACTGGCAAATATGATGTCTGATCGGTAGAAAGGCGCAAAGTATTTCAGTGTTTTCCTCGTAAACATCAACCCCAGGCGGAACATGTCATCGTCGTTCCCCTCGAAAAGTTCCTTGAAATCGGCGGGCTTATCCTTTCCAAATGCAGGATCCTTCTCGATGAAGCTCTCTTCGAAGCGCTTTCTGTTCTCCTGCTGCTCCGGTTGGCAAAGTTCCACGAGGCTACTAACTACCTTGGCACAGGATTGACGTGTAGGTAAAAGGAATAGAACTTTTGGTCGCGTAAAGCCTTGGTCTCTCAGCTCCAGCTCTGTGTCCTCGCCTTCCTTCGCAAGCCTTGCATTATTTTTCAAGACACGATCTCGAGTCCTGGAAAATAGATGAATTAGTACCAGAATCACAGGAATTGTTAAGTAGGGATATCTCACTTGAAAACGTGGTTGAGAACATGGAGCGACACGAGTTTCCGAAGGCTTTCAGAGTTATCGACCGTGCGTTGGCAGTAGAAGACGTCTTGATAGTTGAAAACCATTGGTGCAAGCTGCATCTGAACCTCATCAAAGTTGGGCATCACGCTCGTAGAGCTAAGTTTTAGCCTTTGCTTAAGCTTGACTGACGAAGGTCCGGCGATTGATGTAGATGACGGAAACTCTTTAGAGTTACCGTCCTCCGGGTGCATAAACACCACTCGGGACCGATTAGTGACTGCGCGTTTGAGCCTCCACTGATTCCGCTGTACAGCCTCGACCTTCCCAGATATGGCCGCCTCGTCCGCGTTAGAGAAATGTGAGTCAAACGGATCGGAAGGGTCCTCTTCGTCATCGTCGACGGGGGCTTCCGGGATCTCATTAGTTCCTTCCTCACTTTCACTTTCGTCTTCAATTGCCAAGTCGACATCCTTAGGCTCAGCTTCGTCGGAATCATCAGTCTCATGATAACCACCTCCAGACACCTCGTCACTATGGCTCAGTTTCCGCCTCTTAGCCTTCGGCATAGAAGACTCTGATAAACTATGTAAAAGAGCCATATAAGGCTTCACCTCTGGCTCGGGTTCCTCATCGGACTGAAGGTCGTCGAAATGATCTTCGTCGAGATCATTTTCCTGACCAGAAATACTCCCAGAATCGCTGCAGAATGTTAGCAATAAAGCACTGAATGTATGTGGGTTCTGAAAGTAGTACATACTTGACGTCGTGGTCTGCAAGGCGTTGTGTGTGAAAGCGAGGGCCACTCCGACCGCCTCGTCCCCCTCTACCTCCCCTTCCCCTTCCACCACGCCCTCTCGATGATCCCCGGTTACCAGGGGCGGCTCTACGCTTTTGAGCCATATGGGAGCTAGTGCACTGAGGAAAAAAGCCGAATTAATTCATTGGTTTAGAAACAGACGTGGGAATAAAAAAAAAATGAATGAAACTGAGGACAACTTCTATAATTCTTGAAGTCCCAGATAGTTCATTGACGAAAAAAAGATAAAGAAAAAAAAATGCAGCCACAGCCACAGCCACACACAGAGGGGCAGCCCCGCCACGTTTCTTATCGTTATCGAAGCCCTCACTGCATCACGGATGGCAAAGCACAAATTTTGCCCGCCAAAATCAACCACATCCCACTCGCCGAATCGATCCCCTCGGAGCCTGAACCTGGAAACCTACCCCCATACCACTCGACGCCCCCCTTCTACCAAGTCGTCGGTCACCGAGCGCTTTATTTTCGCCCTCCCCTCGACATCTCTAGGCCCTCCTACTATCCTACCGGGGAAAATATTTCAAGATGGCGGTAGAAGTGACCAACTTTCTCCACTTGGCCAGGCCGCTGGCCCCCGCTGCGGTCGGCATGAACATATCCCTCTCGCCCGTCGCCGTCAACATTCAACCGCAAGTCATCCTTTCGATCCTTGATCATGCCGTACGCCGCGATACTCGCGACACTCAATCGCAGCGCGTCATCGGAGCCCTCGTGGGAGTGCGCTCGGAAGACGGAACCGAAGTCGAGGTGCGGTCGTGTTTCGCGATCCCCCACACGGAGAACGAGGACCAGGTCGAAGTCGACGTCGACTACCAGAAGAACATGCTTGCCCTCACCCTCAAGGCTAGCCCCAGGGAGAGCCTTCTCGGCTGGTACACCACCTCGCTCGAGCTCAACTCCTTCTCGGCCCTTATCCAAAACTTTTTCGCCAGCCCCGAGACGGGTACTTTCCCTCACCCCGCCGTCCACCTAACCATCTCGACCGACCCGGGCGCTGCCATCGATACTAGGTGCTATATCTCTGCTCCCGTAGCAGTAAATGCTGAGAGTGCTGCTTCGTCCTGCCTCTTCATTCAGGTCCCCCATAAGGTTCTCTACGGCGACTCTGAGCGCGCTGCGCTTGAGGCCATCTCCGCTGCTAAGGATACTGAGGCACGCTCCGCTCCGCTTGTATCCGATGTTGAGGCTCTTGCCCGTTCCCTTCAGTCGACCGTTGGCTTGCTTGATAGCGTCTCGGAGTGGATCAACCGAGTCCTCGATGAGGAGGATGAGCCCAACAACGCCCTCGGCCAGTTCCTCATGAACGCCCTTTCACTCACCCCCAAGGTCGACCCTGCCCAGATTGACCGCGACTTCAACAACCACATCCAAGACGTGCTCATGGTCGCTTATCTCGCCAACACCATCCGCACACAGATCGAGCTCTCTCAGCGTCTAGCCACCTCAGCTCTCACTGGCGGAGATAAAGATGCCGAAGGCAAGACCGGTGAGGGAGGTGAGAAGGAGAACCAGCGTGGAGGCCAGAGGGGCGGTAAGAAGGGCGGCAGGGGAGGTAGGGGAGGCGGTGGAGGCCAGCACAGGGAACCCCGAGAGCCTCGCGAGAACGCCGACTAGAGGCAGCGTGGCTAGCGAGTGAGGGAGTCTATGGAACCGCCTGAGCCCCCCATGCCCTTTAGAAAAATCCCGGTTCCTTCCGCTCCCCCTACTCTTTTAATCCCTTTTTTTTTCCTCTGTTCTGTGATGATTTCTGGCTTGGGAGTAGGTAGGCCAGGTGGATGGCGCCAGCGCGCAGAGAAGCAAAAGAGAGACGAAAAAAAAATAAGAGGACAGGGTCTAAAAATCATTCATGTCATTATGGGCGTTTACAGGGCTGCCGGGTTATTTTCACTGTCTCATGATAATTGTTTCTCTTGTTCTCTTCCTCAATATTTAGATGATTGTCTCATTGTATAGGCAACGAGTTTGGAATGACGGCAACGTCCAATTTCTGACCGCTATGTGACGTGGAGAGCAGCCGTTGCTATCGACCGATCCTAATCAACAGATCGCCCAAATCTCCGATATTTGCTCAGAATTCTACACCGCGATTGCGTACGTGATATTCTCGAGAATGAACAAAATGGGTCCAATCCCTCGACGCTTGGAACTACAGAGGAGAAAAAAAAGAGCCGATTTGGAGACAGATAGTAGATGAACAACATAATTAAGTAAATGGAAATGAAGCAAAAGAAAAGGGTTAACAAAAAAGGTGAGTGGACTTAATATCCCACCTGCCGTCCATTCCTCAAACGCCTAAATGCTCTTGTATCCGTTTCCCTAGACTCCGTACTTTAAGTAGTGCTCATGATTTTGACTCCTAGTCCTTAACACCAGCACATGCGTGAATCGTCTTTCCCCCATCCTTCTCTCATCATCCTCAAAAAATCAGTCATCAATTCTATGTATCCCCAGCATCGCAATTTCATATGTACCAAGGGCCGGGGTTACGTCGGCTTCTGAGGCAATGTGGAAGGGTTACCATAATGTGGCGGAAGGTGGCTGAACGCCTGCCCTGCTATCAACGGAACTGGAGCGGTAGCGGGCTTATTAGGTGGTTGTGCGAGATGATTTGGCGGCATATGCTGTGCCATCGCCGGGTGCGGTACCTGGGAAAGGGGGGGCGGGTGCTGCACATGTTGAGGTGGATGATGAAATGCCATCATCGAGTTGTTGGAACCCTGTCGGGCCATAGCATACCCATCGCCGTAAGGCTGCTGCGGACCGGGAGGTGGGCCGGCAATGGGGATCTGGTACGGAGAACCGGCATAGGCTAGGTGGGGAGATCCCACTTGCGGACTCCCGTGGTGCGAGCCACCAGGGGCATATGGCGGTATCTGTCCTTGCATGGGGGCCATACCGGTATTCGGAACGAAAGATTGCGTTTTAGGGTTAAAGGCGTGTCGATTGTAGCTCCCGGGGATGGGATGCTGACTCTTCGGGTCATTAGGGTTGGCGTTTGCAGGAAGCTGCCCATAGAGATAAGGGATGCCCACGGACGCTGATCCCATTTGGCTAGGTGCCGGAGGCGCACTAGGGACGTTTACTCGCTGAGAAAATGATCCTGGTGGCGGGTTAAAGGATGGGGACTGCCAGCTCTGGGTCGGCGGAGACTGACCCGGGGGGGCCGCAGGTCCGTACACACCGGGAGCGGTGTTTCCAGGAGGTGGGTAGCGGTGAGCATTCGGTTGAGGTGGATACTGGAAGTGAAGAACAATGAGTCAGCGCGTACGAAGACAAGCTGGGGACAGAAGACGGAAGTGCATACCTGGGGCATGTTCGTATAAGTCGGAGGGTAGCCAGTATTCGGCATCATGGTCGGGAAACTCTGCCCAGGTGGGATATAGACAGGCACGGCTTGATTCGGGAACGGCGGTTGGACTTGCCCGTTGAATGGAGGCGTTGCGACGTGGATATACTGTGGCTGAGCTGCCCATGGGGACTGCTGGGGTGGAGGGTAGTAGACGGCGTACTGAGCGCGAGATTCAAAGCTACCTGAATCGCGCCTACGTCTCTCGTTCCTCCCTCTCCTTCCGCCAATAGATTTGTCTTTCCCAGAAACAGAGCTTGCTCGCGATACTCCATTATCATTATCTAGAAATATCATGCGTCAGCATCCGATAAGCCGCTTCACTTGATCGGTAGCCCTTAAAGGGGTCGGGCTTGTGTGATTTACCTTGCGGAGACTCGCCGTTCTTTTCAGAGCTGCCAAAGATGCGCTCTCTTGCGCGGTTGTATGCCTCCTCTCGCTCTTCCTGAGTCATTCTGCACAAAAACACACATGTCTGTTAGAAACCGATAGGTCATCGGTCAGAGGGGACATGATAAAACTACTCACTTCTCCTTTAGTTGCGCGGCCTTCTCCTTGGCATCACTGCCAGCCTCAGAAGTCGGTTTCGAAGGACCAGCACTGGATACTGCCTTATCACCACTATCCTCTCGTCGCATAATCTTACGGGGAATAACCACCGGGGGCGGAGTGTTGGCAGCCGAGGTAGATTCCGCGATGCTAGCGAGGGACTGCGGCACACGGCAGAAGGGGGTTCTAAAGATTCTCACGGCGCCAATACTCGGTTCATAGGAATGCGTCATATGGTAGTAGTCAGCCAGCTTATGAGTGAGCATCCTACAAAAGGAATTGCACGGCGGAAGGTCCATGTAAGGCTCCCTAACGGTACTCGTCAGTAAAAGCGAAAAAGACGTCCTAACACATAGAGGGCGCCAAACGCAAGAAAGGAGAAGCGCAAGATAGAAAAAGAAGGGAAAAAAAAAAATCATACTTCGAATCCCGGACGAAATCAATGACGTCTTTTTCGAGACGTAAAAGGAAAATCCGGTCCTTTGGAGATTGCATAGCCTCGAGAAGCTTTTCATCAGGAGCCTTTCTATATATAATGTTCAACGCATCTGTGGGGATGCTGGGGCCGGCAGGAGTTGGCGGCCCTGCTGGGCCTTGAGGAACAACAGCACCCGGCGCTCCCACATTGTGCTGAGAAGTACGCCTGTCGGTATGTTCTTCGAGCTGAATGCGACGGCCAGCAATGTCGGACCCCATGCGAGAACCGGCAAGAAGAGAGCCGCGGATAGAGAAAGCGTCATCGTCCTCAACGGCTGCCGCCTTAACACTAGCACTATCATCAGGCCGCAATGATTCCTTTTCGTCCAGAGCAAAGGTCGTCCCTGACGTGATACTCTTGCCATCGAGGCTCGGCGGCTTCGTCCCGAGGTCGGAAGTTGAATCGGCCTTTTGCGAATCGTCGGGACTCGAGTCCCCGCCAGATGCTGTCTTTAACTTGTCGGGTAAGGAACTGCCACTTCCATTAACGACAAGGCTAGGGGCTCGAGGGTCCAGCGTCGCATTTCTTATCCCAGTTACGAGATCGCCCACCAAGTCCACCATGTTCCCACCATTATGGCCCGTAGCCTTGGAGGATGTAGCCCCCCCCAGGTGAGGAAAGCCGGGCCGGGGGCGCATATAGTTGGTCGCTCCGTTGGCGATGACTGGCATTATAGCTTGCGGAATAGAAACCGGGCCTGGAGGAGAAGTGACTTGGCGCGAAGATACAACCAGGGGGGGATCCTTCGATGCAGAGGCGGCAACCTGTCGGGAAAGAGCAGTTTTCAAGTTAATTTACGTCTTGTCATCTCAGTGGACCTCACGGAGGGCGCGTTGGAGGGACGGGTCCGAGAGGCGAGGGAAGACTGCGACCGCGAAGCAGGAAAGGGGAGGGAGGAGAGGGGTTACCTTTGCGAAAGACGGCTTTGGGACACCGGATGGACTCTTGGTCGTGGCCATTTTGATGCCGCGGACAGAACTCAGTCCGATGATGGGAGAGTGCCAGGACTTGGAACAGACAACTAGGAATAGGCCAGAAGCTTAGGGCTCTACCTCTAGTTCGACTATGTACCACACGCGTGATAAGGGTAACTTGAGATAAAAAAAGAAAAATGTAGAAAGGAATCGTAATGCGAAACACTGGGCGACGAGACGCAACTAGATCAAGACGGACGGGCAAGAGCAGAAAGGTTCGCAAGTAATCATGGTTGTTCTCGGACAGCCATCGTTGTCGTTTTTCGGTGTCGTTACGCCGCTACGTTCTTATCGTCTCGCCGTTGATGAAAGTGGGAATGGTATTCCAAGGCTGGCTTTCCCTAGATGAGGGAGGGAGAGATGAGGTAGTGGGGAGTTGGACGAAATAGGGTTGCTGAGAGGGCAAAAGGGGAAAAAAGAGCAGCCGCCGACGAGAAATCGTAGACGAGGGACAGTCGAAGGTACGATTCGTCTAAAGTTCACAAAGAGGCATGATGCAACGAAGGGTATGGCATATTGTGCAGCTCCAAAGAACGGCGACTCAAATGATGCGATGCGATGAATTGAGTGTGGATGGCGCCCATCAAGTCTACGGGAGCAAGAACGTAAGGTGGGATAAAATTTGGGATGGGGTTCAGCCGTTCAGGCATAAGAGGATTAGCAGGGCGGCTCACTATTCGTAGAAGCGAGGGAGCGGATTGGAGGATAAGGGAGGCAGAAAAAGGCAGAAAAAGGCGGCAGGAACGAACGAAAAAGCAGGCAGAGAAAAGAAAGCAGCGAAAAAAAAAAAAAAAAAAAAAAAAAAGAGAGACGTAAAATTGTGTGAGGAAACAACGCCCAAACGCACTCTTCATACTGTGTGTCTGTGTGTACCTTTGTACTCAAGTACTAATATGCTAATATATTCGTACATCCCCCACACTTCGAGTCGTCTAGGAGTTTGCATGATCTTTGCAAATCGATGCATTGTACTTCGTAACATTGTACCGATTCCAGTTTACGCGTAAAACGCCCACACTACCATTCTTGGTCGAACGTAAATATGAGACTTCTCTGTAATGGAGAAAATAGCCTCCACTGCGTTGTGAAGTATCTCGGGAACAACATCATTAAATTGATCTGACAAGATAGATGCCAAGCTGACTGCCTGAAAGCTCATGCCACACAATCTCCTGGCAATTGAGGTAGATGTATGATTAGATAAGCCCCGTTAGAGGACTCATACAAGGTATGCGCATAGTAGCACCCGGAAAACACACCCCGATATTGACTTTACTTGGCAACCACGAGTTTCCGTTCAACACGTCTTGTTGATGTCAATGTAAGAACCTCGATGATACACAACATTCTTATTTCAGTCCTACCATCGGAAACTCATCAACAACAGCTAGTCTATTCACTCCGATACACACATAGCAACACCCAATGTTCGTCTACCGCGGCCGAGGAGGGCCGCGAAAGCCCACTCCTGGAAACGTCCAGTGTCAGCGATGCCTGAAAAGAGATAAGTCTCACTCGCCCCAAGTTATCTGCCAACACTTCTCTTTTGATCTATAGTATTAACATCCTTTGAACGGCACTACTCATATGAGTGTAAAACCCCAGTCCAGGAACGGCCGTACGTGCCCCGGCCGTCAAGGACTCAGCAGCTTCGAAACCCGAAGCTCATGCCAAAACTCACCAATGACTCTCTAGATGCTGCCGAGAGAAGGTCTGTTCGCTCTAGTTCACAGCACGACTTGCATCTTCACTCACTGCTAAAGCGGCGAAGTTGTATTTGAAATTTTTTTTTTTTTTTTTTTTTTTTTTTGGCTAACCTACCTTCTGCTATCCAGAAAGGGTCTAGCTGATGCGGAGCTAGCAAAGAGGGAGGCGGAAAGGGCGAAGAAACAAGAAGAGGAGGAACGTGAAGAAGATATAATAAAACAGTCCGAGGCGCGTAGGGCCCAGTCAAGGTCTCCGTCTGAGGAGTCTGTTTCTACCATTTCCACTAATGCCTCCCGCGAGTCTCCGCGGAGAAGAGAGTACTTGCGGTCCCCACAAGATAACAAAATATCGGCGGATGATCGCTCTCGCGATTCTCGGAACTCTTCGGTCGTCGCCAGAAGTCCCGACCGCAGTCCAAGCCGAGAGAGAAGCAGGAGCAGGAGCAGAGGCCGCGATCGAAGCCGGAGCCGGAGCTATAGTCAAAGTCCGGTTCGCGGCCGCGGTGGGAATCGGAGCTTGACTCGGAGCTTGAGTCGGAGTATCAGCTATGAACGCGCTTCTAGTCGCAGTCGCAGTCGTAGCCGGAGCCGGAGCCGGAGCCGGAGCTACGGTGGAAGTCCGAGCCCGAACCGCAGCCGGGGCTCGAGTCATGACAACCGACCAAGTCGCGGCGCTCCTCGTCGTCGTCGGAGTCCAGCTAGCCAGCGAAGCATCTCCCCGCGAATTGAAGAATCACGGAACTACCGCACAAGGGATCTCGGTTCTCCGCGACGTCAACGCCAGAACCGTGACTGGTCCGGCCCTTCTCGAGATCGTGGCGTGCAGATGAATAGAGGGAGGGACGGATACGGAGATGGAAAAGACTCTCGATCGGCGCGAGCTCAGGGCCCGCCCCACGGTAGAGCCCAAACCCAGCAGAGAGAGAGGAGTCTAAGCCCATTCAGCAAGAGGTTGGCGATGACACGAGCAATGCAACAGGGCCGGTAATTTCGATACCTGTTTAAAGCCATTTATTGGGACAGCTTTCATGCATTGTTGCCAGCGCACCCTCCCGAGGTCTCACCAGGTCCTGCGAATTACAACGGGGTGTGTGTGTGTATCCACAGGCGCTGCTAGGGGCAACAGTGGGCGGTCTGCTGGTTCCGGTCGTTGATACCATGTACGAGCTGCATATCCAGCTCATCCTAACATGTATTAGTAGTCTCCAGGACAAGCGCGGTTTAGATACACGCGTTAAAATGGCGTATAAAGTAATATCAAGTCATGGAGAAGCTATTCCATGAAACTTCGTCACGGCATAGCAACCTTCCAGTCACAAACAACAACCCAATCCCCCAACCCATCCAGAGTGATTCTCCATCTCAATCCCTCAGCTTGTATCACAGAGCCTTCTTTCACTGCTACTCGATGCCCTAACCCCGTCATCTCACCTTGCCCAGCAAGCATTACGGCGATTTCATGTCCCCCAGATTGTCCACCTACTCCGTCTTCACGGCCATCTCCGACCGTCCGGCCTCGTACGAGGCACATACGCCCATCTTTATTCATCTCCTCAACCCTAAATCTCAGCACTCCATCCACCTCGCTCCGCGACCCTTTGATGTGCGACAGCCATCTCTGGACCTCGGCAGCTAGACCGCCGGCGACGTATTTGGCACCTTTCCTTTGCGGTGAGAAGACTGAGGGTAAACCTTCCAGAAAGGTGTTCTCCTCCGTATCTGGTACTTTGAATCGCGGTGGGGGCTGGAATAACGGTTGGCGAGCGGTCACTGAGGGGTTCTCTCGCGGAAGGTCCAGGGAACTTCGGACGCTTGATGGCGAGTCTTGTGCTTCACTGTCGGTCTTCATAATCGTGGGCGGGGAATTACCCTCGTCATCATCCACCGGGCTGCTGGGGAGGATTTCTCTGTACCTCTCGGGACCACTCGGCGTATCGAACAGTCGCCTCCTCTTAACTTCCCTGTCCACCGGCGCCGCCGCTATACTGCTCCCGTTATCCTCACCCACATCGCTTACATCGCTCACGATGGTTTCCTGATCCTGATCAACGGCCCGTCCTCCGGAGGACCTAACGGACGAAGGAGGCGAGCTCTCAATCTCATCCCGTGCCCGAGCCCGGCCCGTAGACTGCACGAACAGCTGAGACGGCCTAAGGGCGGGTGTCGATGCTGCCGTCGCTGAGGGTATTGAGAATCTCGGCGTTGTGAACCGTGGGGACGCCACGCCGGTACGTGATGTCTGGCCACCCTGCCCCGGCGTCTTGAAGATGAATTTTGGTGCTGGCGTCTACAGCGGACATTAGGGACGGAGAACGGTAGTAGGCCGAAAATGAGGGAAAGAAGGCCAGGGTGGATTAAGCATGAGCTTCGAGAGTCAAGTAGACTTACAGATGGAGGAGGTGCCATGACGGTGTGGGCGTTTGACAATAGAGGATGAGCCCGGTCGGCGATGCTGATGGAGATGATAGGTAATGATAGAGTCGAGAGATAGAAACGAGACCTGGGAACTTCTTAATTTTTTTTTTTTTTTAAAGTTATCTTCTTTACATTCTTAGATAGGAATAGGAATCGAGCATACAGAACGTTATGTTTTTTTTTTCTTGTTCTGTTAATCGATTGAAATGCCCACAAGCGAAGTCTCGGATGACACAGATTATTTCATCAAAATTAATGACGAATTGTTCCGAACCAACTTCCAACAATACTTACTTCACTTGTGCCAAAACTAGCAGTGCAGAAACCACATTCAATACAACATCACACCAATTACATATTAAGCACTAAGGCAAGGTCACGTTGTGATAAATATAAAATATCCGATAGCGACAGCGTATATTTAACCATAGCTAGCTTGGGGCTGTTAAAATATCCTCCCCATCCCTTTCCTTGTCCAAAACATCCAAAAGTGAGCGGCAGGTCAGACTTGGTTTGTAAGTTGAAAACCAACTAGAAAAAAGTCCAACCAAGATAGCACGTCGGTTCAAGAATGGCAACGAGTTTGAAGGCAGCATCCGAGCCTTCGTGGTCAAGAGAAGACCTAGAAGAGCTTGTGCTCGAGAGTCATCTCGGACTCGGGCTGGAGACCGACACAGGCACGGAAAATGTTGGTCAAAGCGGCACGCTGCTTAGCCAGGGCGTTGATAACAGGGGTGCCAGGAGGGGTCAGGGGAGCCTTGAGCATGTAGCTGAGGATGCTGAGGACGGGGTGGAAGCCCTTGTAGTCGGCAGTGACGGCACCGTCAGACGAAGCAGCCTTCCACTGGATGCGGGTCATGAGCTCAGTAATGACGACGAGATCGATGATCAACGGAGCGGCAAGGAGGGAGTCCTCGCAGACGTTGAAGATCCTAGAAATCAGGGTGTTAATAGAGTCTACAATAACCAAGTATCTGGGTGATACTCACGAGATAGTCTGGTGGCCACCCATGAAAATGTCGGCATAGTACTCATCGAGAGCACGCTTGTTGTCACCAACAGCGGGCATGTACTTGATAACAACGGTGTGGTCGGGGTGCTCGTGGGGCTGGTACAGGACAGAGTTGGCCTCGACCATGTCATCAACGACGTTGGACTTGGAGATCTCCTTGGATCGGAACTGCTTGTGGGAGCTCAAGTTCTTTCCGTCGTTGTTTCCGAGATGGTTGTAGCTGGCAATGGAAGTGAGCTTGATACCGGCATTGATGAGGAAGTCAACCAAGGCAGACTTCATCTTAGTCTGGCCCGACTTGAAATCGTCACCGCCGATGTACGACTTGTGCTTCTCGGCAAGCTCAACGCATCCAGGAACGAAGGTGTTCTGGGGAGAACCGTTGATGAAGGGAACGCCGTCAAGGATACAGGCAACAGCGAAGATGGTGGAGGGCGCGACCTCCTCATGGCCGTTTTCGATGGCCTTGAGGAGGTTGTCAGCAGTGTCATTGACACCCTCGATGATGTCGGCATAACGCTCGGTGTTGGCCGTCCACTGGACAATGACCTTGTCCAAGCCATTGGCAGTCTTGAAGTCCCTATAGGTTTATGGTCAGATGTTTGTAACCCTCACGTCACCCACTTGAAATGGGTGGGGAAACGCGGTGTCAAGAAACGAGAGAACTTACTGGATCTGCTTTCGGATCTGCTCGACGTGGGCGTTGCAAGCCTTGGTACCGGGGATCAGGTTGTCAGCCCGATCTTCCTGGTTGGCGGCGATGAAGTCGGGGTAATAGATGCTGGGAAGAGGAGTCATGGTGGCCATCTCCTTCCTGATCTGGTCCTTGAGGGTGGGCTCGAGGACCTGGGCACGATCCATGGCGGCGGCAAGGTTGAGGGAGCTAATGTCCCAACCGCCAACGACGATGTCGTTGGGATGAACCATGGGAAGGATGTCGTGGAAAGGAATGTTGACGTCCTGGTTGGTCTCAGCATCGGTACCGAGCTTCATGGTAGAGCCCATGAGGATGGAACCGTAGTAGTTGGACTTCTTGGTTCCCTCGCGGGTCTGCCAGGTGAGGCCACGGCGGTTGGCAATGATACCAGCGGTAACGGTAGAACCGTTGTTTCCGCCCCAACCGACAAGCATGACACCGATCTTGGGGACCTTACGTTCGACCTTGAAGTCATAGACGGTCTCCTGGGGAGTGGCGACATACTGGCCGTTGGCGTCCTTCTTGACCTGGGTAGTGCGGTAGGTGTACTTGGACTTGATTTCCGAGTCGGTGTAGACGACGTCGGGGGAATTGACAATGAAGAGCTGCTTGGGGGCAGCGGAGGAGGAGGAAGCGGCGTGCTCGAATCCGTTCGCGGAGCTCGCGTCAATCTCAGCGTGAGGGGCCATTGTGAGAGTTTGAGGGGGCCGTTTGACGTGTTCTTGAAGATTTATGAGCAAATGAGATTGCTACGCTGGATATCTAGAGACCGATTTATTTGGTCTCAACTGAGTCCGCTGAAGCGCCGGTGGCAGAGCAGCGGGCTCCGGCGAACGGATGATGCACGCTAGATTCAACAGTGTTAGTACGCACGAAAAAAAAGAAAAAAAAAAAAGTCACAATACAGGCCATATCTGTGAGAGGCCTTTCGGAGAACGAGCAAGACTTACGAGTTAAGAAGGTTGGAGAACGTCTTGACGACTGAGGCGACCGAGGCAGCTAGTTCCTCGACCGCGATTGCTGGGCAAGAATTGGAGTTGAGGGGGTGAGATGTGAACGACGAAATGTCGAGAAGGTTGTCACCGAGCAGGTGGATAAATTGACTACTAGAAGTAGGGGTAGGGAGAAAGAAAATATCTCAAAGACTGGTGATCGGTACGGTTGATGAGCTAGAGGAGCGGTTTGTAGGAAGAAGGGGGGAGACGACGGCTCATATATACTTTGGGGGTTTGCGGATCCCCTGGCGTGAACATGTGAGCAGGAACGGATTTCGTTCGTGGCCGGTACGAAGTACGAAGCAGGCAGCACGGCGTCGGTAACGATGGAAGTAGAACTACACTACACTAGACAAGGAAAGGCGGCAACAGCCAGGAGCAGAAAAGAGTAGCATCAGGGCAACAATATCGCAGACGCACAGGAGAGGGGCCCAAGGGAAGAATCAATTGCATGAGCACGCCACGTCGGTAGTGAAGATGGCCCGCTTGGTCCAATGAAGATAGTGTAGTCAAAGTGTAGTGTAGTTGACGGAGGAGTGTCCACTGCCGCACACGATGTGATTGACGTAAACTAGCGTATATTCCAGAGATCGACTAGTTTGGGCACTCTTACTTCGCGTGGCGGTGAGGAGGTCCAGGATCGTATGTCGTTGCTCAGGCACTACGAAGTAAACTAGGAAGCAGGAACTTGACGGAGCGTAGTGTAAGTTGAGAGTGGGAACGCGAGTTGAGGAGGGGCCACTCTTTTGACCCCGCTATGGTTTGAATCCTCCACAACACAAAATGAACACACCAGACGGCACGAGAGGATCGTGTCAACAGCGACGTAGAAACTTGAACTTCAAGTTCTGCTCCGTACACGAGGCAATTGTCATACAGCCAAGTGTGCTGGAATCTACTGATCAATCATTGACTCCGAGTCTCGACTCCGAGCCCCCCTCTCCCAACAACCGATCGATTGATTGATCAATTGAACCGAGGGGGAAAGACAACAATAGAGTCTAGACCCCTCCTTGAAATTGGGAACGCCCCCATTTTTTGCCCCGCCAAAATGGAGATAACATTGAAAACAGATCGAATCACGGATCCAATTCGACCAATCCAAACGTCATAATTGAGCTTTAGTTGGCTTGGCGAAATTGGCACGGGAAACCACAACCGGGGACCGTGAGGACAATTGGAGGCAGCGCACTTTGACACACACCACACCATAATAATTGAACCCTACAGACATAAACTAAGTGTCCGAAGCACGATTTCCGAAGTACCATGAGGTAATAGTCTTTCTTGTCCTGGAAATACTACACTAGACACCAGGGACAGAGACGACCAGCACAGGCGGCATCATCATGTACTTTGTAATGTACACTGCAATCCTTCATATTCATCAATGATAGATTCGATCGCCTGGATCGTGATCTGGCCGTGTTCCATTTGCAGTACTTCGTACGTGATAATGAATAGTATTGTTAGCTGAGGAAGCTGAGACGCCAGCCGAGGTTCTATGGAAGATGATTCCGCGCTGGAAATTGACTCTCGAACTTCTGCAAGTTCTGCCCCATCCCAAGTGCAAATTCCCTCGTAGAACACACTAGTCGAAGCCTATGGATACGACTAACGGCGAGTCCCGTGTGGATGGGATGATGGTGAAGGGACAAAAGGAGCACCTTGGGGTGTGCGAAGACTGCGAAGTACGAAGCAGACGCCGATGGAGTGGTCGCTCGGGTCGCAATTAAAACCCGTCGGGCTGCGAACTTTTGTCTGGGAGTAGTGCGCAGATGGACAAGTGCTGCATGCCCTTTGTTCATCCCGCTCCATGAGGGGAGATTTCAATGAATATCCGCGATAGGCTCTTGATCTAATATTCCGCTGGTCTTCGTTCGGAGCCTTTCGCGTCCAATAGGCGCTGGCACCCGTTCCGAGGGCACAACAATCACCGAGCCATCCGAAAAAAATATGGGGCACTCCCTTACCGTTCTTCGTACAGGTAAGGGGGCGACTTCGGCCATGGCAAGGGTAGATCCCCGCTCTCTTCCGCTCGTCAGCCACTCAATTGAAGGGGCCAACTGGCTCACCACTTTCCCTGCCCTTCATTCATACTAATACACAGATTTACAACCTCAGCAGACTTGCCTTTCGGCACTGCTCCCTCAAAGGACATGATGAAGTAAAAGGCTTGGGGTCGCCCGCTATCCATCAGTTGTCCAGACTAATGGGCTTCTATCGGTCTTCCACACCTTCTAGGCACTCCCAGCCCGATGATCGGACTTGCTTTTATACCCGTGGATGTTTCCTCCGTACATATTTCGTGGCATCTTTCTCGAATAAAAGCGATCCTGCCGAGTCCCTCAGACTGTGGGGACAGAAGCAGAAGGCCACATTGCGCATTGCTTGACGTGTAGTGTCCACGACCTCAGGCTCATGCATGCACACTGTAGTAGAAGTACGAAGTAGTGGAGTGGAGAGAGGCCCTTGGCGAGTGATAAGGTGCCGCTCCTCTGCGTCCCCCGCCAAAGTCGTTGACGTGGCCGGTTAAGGCAAGCGGAGTTCGCCAACAACTTGTGCCGCGAAAACGTGGTGAATGGGAGAGAGGCATACGACGTATAAGCAGAGGTAATGAGCGGGAGGCACGGAGTTGTAGAGCGCTGGTCGCACAGAATGGCATTTTTGACAGACTCTGCTCATGCCCCCATGACGCAGGAACAAGCCACGTACGAAGTACGGATATTTCGTAGTGGTGGTGATGGTGGTGGTGGGTGGTGATGGAAAATCGGGAAGTCTTGCGCGTGACTTGAACCACATCCGGCATTGTGTCATGCTGGCGCCTCCTCTCGATATAAAGATGCCTCAATGATGCTCTCGAGTCTCGACCGACAGCCATCCGCTGTTGCCGCCGCCGGGGCCGCTTCTCATACGCTCCGCCCAACTTTGATGTTCCTGTCCAACCATCTCCTCTTACTTCTTACTTGTATGCAACCATTCTCCCACATGCCAAATTTAGCCTGTACATAATAACAAGTGTGGGTGGTGGTAACAGGGCGAGAGTCTGGAGCGGTGCAGAATGGAAACTGGTGGAAACTGTTCCTGCACAGAAGGACGCCCTCGACACTCAGATTGGTCATGCCGTCGACGAGTGTAGTAATTATAGTATCGCAAATGGCTGGCGGATCAGGAGTGCCTGCATATATTTCGCGAAGAGGACATCATAGGGAAGCCCTTCGGATAAAATGGCTTCTTGGCTCTGTGTGGAATGTGGAATGCATGGAATGGCATAATACGAGGTAGATAAAATATTTTGGCAAAAGTGACTAGAGACATCAGATCTGCTCTCCGGCGTTCCATGTCGATGATCGTCAAGACAGGTAAGAGGTAAAGTAAGAATGGGTCGGACATGCGCGAGGCAGTGCCTTTGGCAATCTCCATGATTTTCGGGGGCCGAGGGCACGGCAATGTTGCAGCTGAAGACTGGATGAATATTTCCCTGCAAAATGGTCATGGGTGGTGTCCAACTTGAGCAGCCCTGGCCTGAAGTAGAAACCCCTTACTTCATAGACATGCCCTCATGGAAGGCAGTCTCTCGCCTGCTTTGTACTTCGTAGCCTGCCCCGGACAGTCGTGTGAGATGGTGATGTTGATTGATGGATTGGAAGTAAAGAGTGGTCATCTACTTGTATGACCGCTCTTGTATAATAGCCCATCAACAGCGAAATCAACAGCATATCTATCGATCAATGTGCCTCTTTTCTTTGCGTGGATTTCATGGGTCGACACGGCAATTAAACCTATAGAATAAAGACTAAATTCAAGAGTGAGCTCGATTTGACACTTCGACCATCTCCATTCAGCCAACAAAGGGGTTTGTGCAGGTATGAAGTACAAAGCAGGCCCCCTTGCCGAAGGAAAGCGTTCTTTGCAGATCAGTTGGCATGGCTACCTCGTACTAAAAGCGCAGGGACCCCTCGGCTTCTGTATCTGTACGAAACATGAAGTATTATTGATGTGGCTTCTCTCCTGGACAGGCAGATGTGAAGTACTTTGCGGATGACGAGATACACTCGGTGGTTGGTCGCTTTGTTGCAGCGACCAACCTCGAATCTGAGAGCACGAACCTGTTCAGCCACAGATTCTGTGCCTCGTCCGGCTTAGAAGCAACGATCCAATCGATTTGATCACTTCTCGGGGCACGTCCCCGACATGGATACTACGGAGTACAGTGTACTTTAAAAAACGAAGTACGAAGGAGATGCGTAGTGTACTTCGTACTCCAGAATGCAACATGTGGACGCAGGTACTTCGTATTCCACTGTTTAAATCACATATCTCCAAGTATCTTGGTACTTGGATGTGATTGTTTCAAGCAGTTAATCCCTGTCCTGGACTCCTGGGGTACGCATACTGCGAGAAGGGACAAGGAAGTGGAAAGTACGAAGTAGACAAGTTCACTCTGACCTTGCCGTCATTGTTGGTGAGAAACGAACGCATTGCAAAGACAGCAGAGAAACATCAGTGTTTGGTGCAATGTGGAGCGAGTCCAGTGTGATTTCAAAAACGAATCCTTCATCTAGCATCTGCATTTTGGACCAAGCCCAGATTCCATCCCGCCGGAGTGTACTTCCTACAATTATGAAGGACCCCTTCATAGTTTAGATACGAAGTAATCTTAATTCATACGATTACTTCGTACAAGTGCGAATGCTACAGGTGCTAAATATACTTCGTACTTCGTCCATCATGGATAGCGCACATTTCTGCTTGTTAGTGGACAACTGATAGCAACGGACCTGGTCAGATGGCCGCTCATCGATATATCTCACCGTTGTGGCGCTCTGCAACTCTCTCCTTTGTCCATCGTCGCCTGCGTGCTAATCCCAGCCTGGTCAAGCGTTGCCCAATCACGAAGACCCCCGTTGCCAAGAGAGCATTGAAACATGGATTTTAATAATAAACTAGTCCGAAGGGTGGAGTTGCGGTCTGTCGAATACTACCAAGCACGGGGGAAATCTCGCTCCCTGTACAAAGGTTACAAAGGGATGAAGCAATTATTATAGTGTCCTGGCAATCTAAGGACGGCGAGATAATGAGAGAATGGTTGATATCCCCCAATTGATTGGAGAAACGATGCAAGCAATAAGAATCGGTGGCCGGCTGTCCCCAGGAACCGCCGGTATTGATTTCATTGCCCTGTCGTGTCTCTGAACCTCCGTCAAGCGTTTCTGGTCCGTCATTCGCTCAGAGCAGCTTCCTCGAAGAGAGTGCCTCATCTTGGATCCATCTCAGATATATTGTGAATAGGCCCTCATTTACACCAGTAAAGCCGAACGAACACAAGCAATGCCTATGGTTTCCAACAGCTCTTCATCTTACACCGTCCGATACTGAGCTTGCCCATCGAGGCATGTCGCATTCAATGTAAACAATCAGCAATGCATCAAATGTAGTATTTCCTTCGTGCAAGGTCAATCTCGAGACGTTGCACTGGCTGTACTTACTTGTATTTCTTCTACTCAAGCGACTGTGACTCTGAGTCCGTCTCCTCCCTCTGGACTCTCCCATTCACCTCCAGTCCCTCTCGAGTCTCGACGACACACAACATCCTCAGGTCACTCTGGCTGTTTCTCGTGTCGCCCTTTTCTCCACGCGCCGCCCCGCTGCCAAACTGGGCCAAGTTTTGATCTTCCATCTTCGTCCACCGGTGTCGTGTCAAATTGGTCCAACTCTCCTCCCACCTCACAGCAAGACTCCCGTTTTCCTCCTCCCATTCCCCAGACGGGCCAGACCAATTGCTCTCGTGAGACAACTTGAACCCGTTCCAAAGAATACTAATACAAATCATCTGCAAGTACTCACACTTGCGCGGAGGAATAGGGCGCAGGGTCCATCAACGCCACAGGAACATCCAGCATCCGTGCATTTCTCTAACGCACGCCCGGAGCCTGTGACCAGGGGGTTGGCCTCGACCGCACACCCTCTCCAACTTCGAGACACATCCAGTATCAGCTAGCACATCTTCTCCAGCTCTCCGCACTTCTCATCTTTACCCTCTCGGATCCCATTCTTGGAAACACGCCCAGCGCTTTTCCGGCCTCTTTTACCTGTTTATTTCCTTGGGTGATCCATTGGGGTTGGTATCAAATCTTCAGCCCTTACATATCCGCCATACGAACTCCGTCGAAGACAGCCCGTCTCCATTTCTCGTGTCAAAGTAGCTCAGTGTCTCCCAGGACTGTCGACGAAGGAAAAGATCCGTCGTCTGCAACTCTACGATATCTGGACGCCGACGTTGCCCGCTAAACTTAAACTTGTCATTTACGCTCTGTAACGAGGCCGCAATCCACGACTTACACATCCATCCCAACGAATTAATACAATCTCGATCGAAACAAACCTTCTCTTTTTTTAAGTCGCCGGGGCCTTCCCTCGCCGATGTCCCGCGTGCTCCAGCTCAAAGATTGACGCCGAGAGGACAGGATTTTCGGCAACATGGCGACGCTCCCCAGAGAATCAACATTCTTGCCTACGATAAAATGCTCGACATGTGGCCGCCAGATTGAAATCTCCCTTATGGGTGACCACTTGTGTGGTCAGCCCGAGCCCCAGAGTATGTTTTTTTTTTTTTTTTTTTTTTTTCTCCTAAGGGTTCTTTCGCCTAGATCAACTGCGAGTTCCTCTCAAGCTCACTCATTACATAGCATCCTCGCCCACTACAAATGGGTCCTGGTCGAGGTTCGGAGAGCCCATGCCAGCAAAGACCGAGAGGCTTCCTCCTCGAGTAGATACGAACGCTGCGAGTAAGCAAACTCCCGTCGGAGCTGACTAGAACTATCTATAGCCCCGGCCAAGAAGACAACTACTAACATGCCAACTAAGACGGTGGTTACATGCGTCCTGGCCAACTAACTCCAGTGAGCACGTCGAGTGGATCTCGAAGCCTTTCACCAAGGACACCCGATGGCCGATCAGTTGGTAGTCGCGGCAACGATTTCTTCGAGCCAACCATTGCTAGCGATTTCGACTCCACGTCACAGGATAATCGACGACCGGGTGGGTATGGGGGCTTCTCCGAACGAGACGACTATGATGTTGACCCGTTATACCCGCCGTCGAGCCCAAAGAGGCAGCAGCCAACCCTTTCGCAACGGATGAATACCATTGCACCTGGGCCCTTTGATGTGGCTGGCCAGAGGGGTGCCCCGCGCAATGCCTTTCCCTCGAGGGACGTCCAAGATTCGACCACTTACGGCCGTGCGGGCTCTAGCATCGATCGACCGGGCACCGCTGCTTCCAACAGATCAGGCATGTCGTCAGCGAGCAACAACAATTCCGGTGCCGGCGCCTACTCTCTAAGGGCCCCAAGGAAGAACGGGTATGGAGGTTTTGGTCCGCCGCAGGAGCAGGACTTTGAACCTGAGCCCTTCGGCACAAATAGCCGCTCGGGGACCTTTCCAAGGTCTAATAATCCCGCCGAACCCCCAACGAGAACTCCGTCCGCGCCCGGCCCGCGCCCTGATCGCTTTAGGTCACGCGGTGAAGATGGCCAATCTTCTCTGCTGGGGCCTGATACGTCCAGGCCGCCTCCACCCCGCAAAAGTCTTGTCCGACCGAGGACATCGGGCAGGGGTGGCACCCCGTCGGTGGATCTTGCTGCGGAATTCGGAATCGGAAATCCCTACCACGCACCCTCGGCATCTATCTCGTCGGCTGTTTCGAGCTACAGCCAAAACAGCACGGCCAGCCCACCCCGGACCGCCTCCAGACGGCTTCCGTCAGGAGGGCGCAAACCATCCGATACCTCTAATATCGATGACTTGATGAGCGACCTACAAGCTTCCATGTCCGAGATGCAGTCTCCACCTCGACTAGAAAGAAACCCCTCGATTGGTTCTAGGGGACGGTCCCGGGACGGCAGATATTCTAGTCGTAGCCGAAGCGCTTCGCGTCCTCGCCAACAAGGACCGGCGTCCTACGACAGACCCAATTTCGATCTTAAAGCTGAAGTCGACCGTTTTAATTACAACGCATCGAGTCGAGACCAAAGCGAACCCAGCTACGGCGGAAGTTTAAGGACTGGAGGTACTAGGAATTTGGCCGACGGGGATCGCCGTGGCCGTGAGATGCCAGGTTCCTATGGATCGTCTATGCCAAGACGTGAGCCATCCCGCGGCCCGCAACCATACCGTGGAATGTGCAAGGCATGTGGTGAGGAGATCCGGGGTAAGAGCATCTCGTCTGCTGACGGAAGGCTCACCGGAAAGTATCACAAGGCCTGCTTCGTGTGCACCACCTGTCGAGAACCTTTTACGTCTACCGAATTCTATGTTTTGAACGACAAACCGTACTGCGAATTGCACTACCACCAGCTTAACGGTAGTTTATGCGGGAGCTGCGGCAGGGGCATCGAAGGGCAATATCTCGAGGATGAATCCCTCGTCAAATACCACGTCGGGTGCTTCCGGTGCGCCGACTGCGGAATGTCGCTTTCCAACGGATACTTTGAAGTGGATGGGAAGTCGTACTGCGAACCAGACGCGTGGCGACGAGTTCAGCAGGCGCCCTCTATGGCCAACGGCTACGGATTAATGCCAGACCCGAACTTGGCAAGCCCGGTTTCCGACTATTCCCCCGCTCGTACCAATCCAATGTCGCCGATGACTCCGGCTTTCCCCCGCCCGCCGCCTGGTACCTTCCCACCCTCGCCTGCCTCGAGCCGCGGCCCCCCCACTCCCATGGGTCTACCGCAACGTCCTGGTGATAGGGGCCTCTCGGGTCCGCCGGGTCCGCCGCGACGACCGATCGGACTGCCTAGAGGACAGAGACTCCCTCCCGGAATGGGCCCGGTTCCACGGCCACGAATGAACAAACGTATGACGAGATTAGGGATGATGTAACGGCCTATGCTGCAGCCCTTCTCTTCCTTTACACTTTCATCTATCATTTTCGTGTCTTCACGATCACTTTTATTTTTTTTAATTACTCAAGTTTGGGCTCAGCAACAACTTCTACACGATTCTTGATTCCTGCTCGGTTCAGGCATACTAGTTACGACCTACCATCTTCTTTAGTTGGCTTTAATACTGTTTCCATACCATCTTTGTTTTGTATTTTCAGTCGGAAGGTCATCCTGGCGCTTGTTATGGGGGGAAGGGAGGGCGTTCATCGCAAACTATGGAGTGGTGGTTCTTCTTTGTGGCTAGGTTCCCTCATTTCAACTACTTATCGGTTCATACCCATTATAAGAGGCCGATGTCTTTTTGTTTCATTCTTGATTATACCCATATTCGGTGCTCGAAACGGGACCGTGATGGCCCGCGGCACCGACGATTCATGACTTGGTTCGCTAGATATCGGGGTTTGGTGCGTTATGATAGCTTCTCTTTCACTCTCTTTCTTCGATCCTTTTTTTTAATTATAGCCGTTGGACACGGTTTCTGGGGAATTTTAGCATCTGACATAGGATAATACAAGTTTTGTGTAGCCACTCTAATGTCTAAACTTGGCCAGGGCGCATATCATTCTTGCTTCGCTGGGCTCCGAATTATGACTGAGAAGAAGTCCAATCCTCTCATATGTTGCACCACATCATAGATAGCCAAAGCCAGAGCCCCATCCCACTCACACTCCCTTGTCCTTGCTCTCCCAGTTAGTGAGCCAGGCGAGGAAGGAAATCGGGGCAGGTTGCCAAATCGTAACAGCATTAAAAGTAAATATATTCCAAAGAATCAAAACTCCATGCGGATAACATATACATACTCCATCATGGGACCGTCCCTTCTTACATATGGCCGCCAGCACGAATGCGATCGCGCCTTGATTTTCACCGCCTATGGCGCCCTGCTCCAAAGCACACCTCTAATGTACATGATGACAAGTGAATCGTTTCTATCGGTCGGGAGGAAGGAAAGAGGGGAAGAAGGGGTCGTTGCCATTATATGTCGGGCAGGCAAACCGGAATCATTAGAAATACAAAACCCCCCAACATCGTTACGCGTCGTATCTAATGCGTCACAATTCTCACGGCCTGGAGTAAGATGCCGAACATCAATCCTCTTGCCACTTCTTCGATCTGAAGACAATCGAATACACGCCCAACTGCCTCGTTGGTCGCCGACTGACCCATAACTCCGGTAAGAGCCGCGGGGACTCCACTTTGTATAAGAAGTTTTCTCGCCTTGGCTCGCAGCTTGTCCTTTTCGTCTTGCGTCATCTCAGCTGGCCAGGCTGCTTTCTCCTCTTCAGTCGGAAGAGAATTCTCACGCAGTTTGCGTAGATGTGCCGCGATCCCAGCATCAGAAGTATTGGTGTCAATCACAGATTTCTGAAGGAGGGACTGGATTGATACTAGCGACGGGTTTCCGGGACGGAGCAGGAACGACTTGGCAGCACCTAGAAGCGTGCGCCGAATATTCCACGCTGAGGACAGAGTGTACAACTCGTTAATGACGGCAAACATGAGCTCCACGGCCACGCTGGCCTCCTGTTCAGACAATGGGGAGAACTGTTTGGGACGCCTAGCCCCGCCCACAGGTGACTGGGGCTTCTTCAGAGTAGTCATGGCAAAGGACGCTTGAATCGATAGGGCATGCAGTGTAGGGCCACCGGAGTTGCCTGGGGATAAGGCACTATCGGTTGTCTTAGATCGTTTGTGCTGCAAGGATCGATGTTCGTAATTATCCGAAATGTCGTTAGGAAGAGGTGGCAGCCTGATGCCGTCAAGGCTTGTAGACGATGGAGATCTGAGGGGAGCGCGGCTCGAACTCCTGCTGTTATTATTACTGCCCCTTGCGCTGTCTGTTCGTTCGCCGTGGGGTCGTCTGTTATCATTGACTTCACCATCCAACTCGAACTGGGAGCTAGGGCGTCGCTCCATCGGCGCAATTTTGCCCGGCTGTGTCGAAATGATGGATGATCTCTGGCTGTCCATGCTATCTCGCGTTTTTTGAGAAAGCGCGGGCGAGGGTAAGCTGTTTACTCTGGGCGGCGTCGAAATCGATAAGCGGCTTGCTCCGTTGGGCGGGGCCTCTCTCAGCGGAGACTGCGTGGACTTCCTCTGCCCCAGACCGATATTACCCAAGACTCCTGTAACACCACCAACCATAGCCTTACCTCCTTGCATGGCGCCCTTCGGCGCGATTGTAAGGACCTCTAGCACATTCTTGCTAAGGGCGTCTAGGCCAAATGATGCGCGGATGTCGTTGCTTTGAGGTAGGCCTTGGTCTTTGTCGAGAAACCGTTTCATACCCTCGCTTTCAGCAAGACTCTGGTACCAACAGGCATCTCGAATGTATCGCTCCAGCTCCCCACGGAGAGAGGACCGGGTGTGCACTTTCCATGTTGGAAGAGTGTTGTGCTGCTCTGTGAATGCAGTTGCCCCAGATATAGTGGCTATGCGACGCAGCACCTCGTGTAGCGTTTCGAAATCAGCATACTTCCTGACAATCATCCAACCCGGAAACTGTGACGAGGACGGTTCAATCTGTATAAGATAGTCCCAGGTAGGTTTGCTCCAGATTCTGCCTTTATCATTTCCAGGGTCATCGTGGATTGTAATAGTGGCATTCCGAAGAGTCAGCGCTACGCGGCGAGGTTCGTCGTTCTCATCCGAGGTGTCTTGCGCCGGGGGAACAATCTGGTCGAAGCTAGTGAACTGATATTTCCTCTTCTGATTTGGAGAAGAGTCGGCAGTTTCTGCCGAAGAGCCCTGTGTAAGTGACTGCGGCGTAGCGGGCGTGCGAGCGCCTTCCCCTTTGCTGGAATAATCGTCCGTGGATGCATCTCTCATGGAGACTTTGTCCAACGATTGGTTTGATCGAGGAGATGTATGACCTGACGAGATCGGAGCCATGTTATGGCATATAATATCATTCAACAGCGGGTCAATGGGGTTGGCAAACTCCTCGGTATCATTTGATAAATTTGCCAAATAGGAGGCTCTCTTGGCCTCTTCTGCAGCAATTATCTCATTCATACGCTTCATCTCTTCCATTGCTTCCTCCATATCCTCGTCCGCTTTGCTGAGCTGTTTTTTATGATGGCCGGGATACTCCTTTCTACCCGAGGAGGAAACCTCGAAGGAGCTAGATCTCACAACAGTTACCGCGCCAGTGTTATTATCGACGTCGGGGAAGACCGCCGTGTTAGAATCCCGACCCGTTTGCATTCCAACATCGATAGCCTGGTTGAAATCGGGCTCGCCGGCTTCAAGTAGATATACTATCCAACCATTGATCCACTCGGGTTTTGAGCAGGTCGACAGAGTGGATTCGAGAAGGACACCCGCAATGATCTCTCGAAGAAACACTCTGGTTACCTCGCAGTCATACGCCTGCCGGTCCAAAAAAGCAAGAAGGTCCTCGGCGATCATTCTAAACTTCGACGCTTGTTGTTTCTGGTTCAACAGATTGGCGAGATTGGAGTCGGGGTTGGACGCAAGATAGTTGTACACTGCATCCACGGGCGTTATGCTCGAGTCGGGGGGCAGTTCGGCGAACGCGGCAGATAGTTCGGAACAGAATACGATAATCATGGACGACGAATTTGTGAGAAAGTCCAAGAAGGCATCGGCAGGCCTTTTACGTGAGAGATGGTTGGCGACTGATATTAGAAATGACGAGAGGAGCTTTCGGCAGGCGAGGGGGAAGGATCGATCCGAGGGAACAATGGGGCTGTACCACCATCTAACATAGTCTCGAAGAACAGCATCAACGAAAGATTTTAGCGCATCGCGCGTCTCAGCCTGGAAGTCATCAAACGATCGCAGGGCAGCGGGGTCCGTATCAGGCGAATCATCGGTTGTCTTCTTCTTCTCAACCTCCCGCATCTGTTCAATCAAGCGAGCTACGACATCGGCGCCTTTCTCCCCTCGGATGGCACGAGAAACATCCGGATGGCTAGATTCGTAGGCGATATAGGCGGCAATACCTCCACAGGCGCCGATCAGAAGAAGTCCTATCTTTCCGAGCGTGAGATATATACAGAAGGAAAGGCCGATCGCCAATGCGCAAAATGTACCAGGTGTTGCAGTGGAGAGGAAGTCGAGAACTCTGGTAACAGGATCTTGAGAAGGATTCGTCGTCGTGGGCTCGGTGTCGGTCGGGGAAGTCGAGCGCTCATCGGTTGGCATCTTTTTCTCGGCAGCGCCGGTGTTCGAGATTGTGTGGAGTACTTCCTGTCCAGACCACGCGACCGACCCATCCTCCACTGGCGCTGCCATATCACGGACGAGGGTGGACTTTAAATTGGTGGGATTGTCTGCCTGTTTCGAAGCCATCGGGATCTCAATACAAATTTAAACGCTCCGGGATGTGTTTCTTGAAACGCATTGTATTATATTCGTCGTCCAGTGCGAAGAATACCGATGGGGCAGATGAACCAGCGGAGGACTCGGCGGATTGTTGCGAAACGGAACGTGAGCTCTGAGGTTTGTCGCTTGGAAGGTGTCTCCAAGAGGGCGTCAAGCGAGTAGAACAGGGAGCGAAGAGTCGGATGCGGTGTGGTTGAGCAAGGATGAGAAAAGCAAAAGCGAGTTGAGGTTGAAAGGAACAAGGAGGTCAATCTTATCACAAGCAAATCAAAAGATTTGATGACCTGGAATTACAGGTCAAGCAATACCGATTAATTGGCGTCCCTTGCCTCGCTAGTTTTGTTCGGGGGTTTTAGAGTACCATGCCAAGGACGGACCGCACGCTACTTTTCATATGTCGGCAGGCGTCGACTGCGTCCTAAATAATATTAGTGGGCAGCACAGGAAGTAATGTACTTCGTATCATGACACTTTTCTCAATTCCCATTTGATCCTTTCTGAACTACGTACTTTGTTTCGAGCTTGAGAAGATGTTTCAAGGTTCAGGTAGGGGTCGCGTGTGCGCACCATGGGATTTGAACCAGAAGTCGTCACCAATGTAGACCAATTTACCCCCTTTCCCACCCCCCCGATCCCGCACTTGGTGAGCGAAAGTCCGATATGTAACCTCGTTATCAATACTCCTTGATATCACTTACAAAGGTACTTCTTAAACCACAACAAATTAACCCAGGGTATCCCCTCCTCTCCAATTGTCAATTATAAACTTACCATCTTCAACGTTTGGTCGCATGGTGTGGTTACGTAAGATGAGTGACAGCAATTGAAGCAATTGCAATTGTACCGAGACTTCTATGATATTTCTTGTGAATTTTTTTTATGGTGCTCTTGCCTGTCTGTCCAAAATTGCGTGTACCAAGACCACACACAATCAAGGGCAAGGGTCGCGTCCATCTTTGAGTGGTCCTGACGTAATGTAATACTTCTTCCAACGCGTACATTGCCTCGCCTCTCCACCCCTCACAATCCGGTCGCGTCTTCACTTCCATTTTCGCTTCCAACCTGTGTGTTTTCCACTCTCACCACCTCACACAACCAGAACAATTTTTGTTGCTCCTATCGCTGTTCTACTATCCGAATAAAAACGCACCCGTCCCGCAAGCATTTAAGTGCAAGGCGGCCCTATTTCAAGCATGGGTCGGAACACAATGAAGCGTCGCGCCAGTATTGACGATGACAGTGGATCCGAGGTTGGTGCTCCAGTTGCGAAGAAATCGAAAAGCGGGCCGTCCTCAAGTCGCATCTCGGATATTCATAAAGACGATGACGGTAACCCATTTTGGCAGGTTTGTGGCCTTCCACCACTATATATCGTCTATGGGAGCACTGCCTCTAATTCGACCTGCACTGCAGCTGCCTAAAAGTCGCAGAGTTACTGTCTCCGAATTCAAGAAGGCCACTTATGTGAATATCCGTGAATATTATGAGAAGGATGGCAAAGTACTTCCGGGGAAGAAGGTATAGCGACCCGTTTCTAAGTGCACGGCTCGAACGACGTCTCTAACGATCATTAATCTAGGGAATATCGCTTAGCTTGGATCAATACAGAGAGTTCTTGAAAGCCATTCCATCCATTAACGCCGAACTTAGAAGAATAACCGGCCAAAGCTTCAATGATCCTGACGATAATTCCCTACCGTCTACCAAGGCGAATCGGTCATCAAAGGCACCATCAAAGTCTAACATCGAGACAACGAGCGACGAGGACGATGCCTAGCAAATTTTCCGAACTGCGGCGTAGTCCAGTGCCTAGTTTCAACGCTCTTGAAAGCCTAGAAACTGTGCCGCTGCAACCAAGCCCGCGAGGAGCTACGACAATATAAACACGCTTCCCCCGCAATATCAAGAGGCTCTCCGTGCTTCTATCCACGAATAGCAACCCGTACGTTCTCCGTACATGGCACTCCCCGGTAGGCTTAAGCTCCCCTATGATGGGCAGACTGAAGTTGTACTCTCCAAATACACGTCACCAACACTAGATCAAGCCCCCCTCGCCGCCGAATCCATCGCCCTTCCTCCCGCGCTAAGGCAGAATTTCCCCAGAGAAGTTATCCGTTAGGAGTTGTCAGTGCCTCTAGTGCTGGTTTTTTTTTCCTTCCTGTTGGACCGAACGCACCAGATGGGTTTGAGATGGAACTAGTTCTCCGACACTTCCAGTTGAGAAGTCGAGATCTTAGGATGACCTACTATAACCGCTACCCAAAGCGAAGAAACGTCTCTCATGTCAACTTGAGACGTCCCAATACTCGATGATTTCCTCCTACTCCACACGGCTCGAGCCTCCCCGGTAGCGGTCATTGCCTTGATGCATGTAGTAACGGGGGAAGTCATTTACACAATCTTGTAAGGTTTATTTTGTCACATAGTGGCATTTGATTAGGTCCGTTCGATGAGAGGAAGTCAATCGCTCAAGTGACCTGTCTGAGCTTCGTTCAGCCTCTTCAGCCTCTTCAGCCTCTTCAGCCTCTTCAGCCTACCGTCTTGTGAGATTTCTGAAGCGAGGATTCCGTGGAACCCGCCCCCAACCCCCGACCCTTGGTAACAATCCTAATATCTCAAGTAGTCCGCTCTATCCTCTGGGGGCTAGCGTGTTATGTACTCTTCGGCAATCATCTTGGGGGTGGAAAGGGGCCATCGCATATTCGCTATTATGTATTGCCGATCATATCAGTGCGTAAATGCAGCCCAGCGCCGCGGAGGATAAGGCTCCAACTCAAGCTATATTTATTGATCAGCCTCATAGAAAGTAACGTCCATCGAAAAACAACGTCGAGGGCGATTAGGGTCACATCAAAGTGGACTATACCATTTCTTCAGCCCCAGGAGAATTGAACGGACCGTTGTCGCGATGGTTCCCCTACTCTTCGTCTCCTGAATTTCCGCCTCGGATGTACATGGGATATACTCCTCTCGGCGCCCAAGTACGAAGTATGTTCCCAACTAGGCATGTATACATGCAATGATATCGTCGCCAACACCACCCACCCATTCATTGCGGGGCTGAATGATTTCACGAGGCTGTTGTATGATGCGCCTCTCATACACGATCATGCTCAGCTCTGTCAAGAGGCATAATATCATTCGATGCGCAGATGTACAACTTTCTATACGTTGCAGGCTTCCTCTAGTTTCGACAGGCCTCCTTGGTATCCCAGGGAACAACCCAAGTGCGATCCGGCCCAAGAGATTCTCCCACAGGACATATGAGATCAGGCAGGACACCACTGAGCAGCCGAAGACAAAATGCGCATATTTTACTTCATCCAAACCATGGAATGTCTCCAGATCATAAGTCCAGAAGGCCGGGAAGCTCCCCGAGCAACCGACGACCCTGCATTTTACATAGATGATTAGGTGGGAGGTCTCTGTTAGGTATTCGAGAGAAGGGACATGAGGACCCCGTAGTTGCATCTTGATCTAAAAAGAGAAGGGGGTGGACGAATAAAAGTAAGTCCTTCTTACGCGACTCGAAATAAATTTTCGAAACATGACAGCGGTAACTATGGAGAAGACTCAACACAGGACTCGGACTATTCTTTGAAGTTCATTCTTAGCCCTCTTCAATCAATAGCTGTGGGCATGACCGGTCATACAATTCCTCCAGGCCTGGGGCCGCTCGGGTTGCTTCGCAAGTTCGCATCGGTGCCAGAGACTTGTTGGTCTTGCGACCAGGTCCCGATTCTTTCCCACCATTGATACTGATCTCAAAATACTTTTTGGACATGATATTACCCAGGAGCACTCGGCAGTCCCAAGTCCTGTTCGTGCTTGGGACATGCACGGGAAAGCGCAGGATCCTCCGATCGGAAAGTTTATTTACGTCACTGCCGGTGCCTTGGTTGGTGCTCCCCCTGACAAAAGTCCGCTTCTAATCATCAGCTACGAGCTGTGGGCTGTTTTGATGGTCCGAGTGCAGTGCAACGTTATTACTGTAGCACTGTCGGGTTGTTTTACTAGCGTAAGTTTCAACCGCAATGTTGTCCACTTGCCGTGCGGGGAGTAGGGGAACCTCGTTGTTCCTTTCGACGTCGTATGAAAGTACACTACTTCGTACATCTGATTCTGTCCTCTTTCCTCCTTCCTCTTGGAGAGCAATTAGACTCTTTAAAACAACGGAAGCAACGCAGTATTCCTTCATATATCATGACCCCGCCCGGGTTGGAGCGGCCCGATCACCCTTTATCCCGCTCATCTCCCTTCCGTCTTCAATTGGGCTGGGGATCAGAGAATCAGAGGCGTTTGCTCTGCCGTCCCCATGAAAGTAATGTGCAATGGGGGTAGGCGTTTTGTTCCCGAAATTGCGAGGGTATAAGAGTCAAATAATGCGAAAGGGGCAGCAAAAGGATGGCATGGGAAAAGGGGAAGAGGAGAGGGGGGGAAGAAGGTCATCAGAAAGCGGGAGAGGTTGGAACTGTGTGACCCGCAGTCAAGTATAGCAGCGGCTGGCTTTGATATAATATTATCCTCCGCCATCCCAAATCTTCTCCCGTCTTCTCATCTAGTCGCTCTGCCGTAGCCACCACGATTTCCGCTCTTCGCTCGCCGACCCTAGGTTTCTTCGCCGCCCTCTCTCGTCGTAGTTTTGCGAGTTTGCACTCGGTCAGAGCCACGATGGCGGAACCAAGAAAACACGATGCCGATCATATCTCCCTTCCTCGTTCCGGATCTGAAGATACGCCTAACAAATCTAGTCAGGGTCTTCCTTCTCAGGCGCCTGGGAGGTTAGTAGCCCCGGAAATCATTCGAGCCATGACGCCGGAACGTCGAGCGGAGGTAGAGGCAGCCTTGGTAGCCAAATTGGATTTACGCATGAGTGTCTTGATATTGGCTTATATTACGAATTATTTGGACCGGTATGCTCTCGATTCTCGTTGCAACCATCATATTTCTCATAAACTTACACGTTCGGCAGAAACAACATTGCTGCTGCTGCCCTCGCTGGATTAAAAGATGAGCTCGACTTGAAGGGGAACCAGTTTCCGGTACGTCTCACTCGAGATAGCAAGGTATCCCCTGATAGTTGACACTAACCAGCCCGCCGAGAACCCTAGACTGCGGTTAGCATCTTGTTTGTAGGGTAAGGGGAAATAATTCTAGAGCTCCCGAGAGGCGCTTGCTGGACTAACCTCTCACCAGATATCTACTCATGCAGGTACCTTCGAATCTCTTTCTCAATAAGATTGGGAAGCCCGCCATTTACCTTCCAACGGCGGTACGTCTTTTCAATCGACCCCCTACCCAGGCCGCCTTCGAGGTGAGGTGAGCTAATTATGGTTAGATGGTAATCTGGGGGGTTATTTCAGCGGCTACCGCAGGAGTCCAAAGTTATGGGGGACTCCTCACCGTCCGTTTCTTCTTGGGCTTCGTCGAGGCTGCGTTCTTTGTACGTTCTTCTCATAGCTGCCGTCATTTTCTCTTCCACCCACCAACAGAAAACCAACCCCCCCCCCCCCCCCCCCCCCCCCTTTTTTTTTTCTTTTTATTCCCCCAGACTTGTTGTTCTTCAGGCTCATAAGTTGTAGCCTGGCTGTCTGTATTATCTTTCATGTTGGTACATTCGATCCGAACTGGGACTCCGGACGACGCTTCTCTATTCTGGCGCTCTCATTTCGGGAGCCTTCTCGGGTCTTATCTCGGCTGGGATCACAAAGAATATGGATGGGGTGCGAGGATGGCGCGCCTGGCGATGGTTGTTTCTCATAGAAGGTGTCATTACCGTCTTCATCGCCATTGGCATGTACTTTATACTGCCCAACTTCCCGCGTACGACAACCTGGCTCAGCGAAGAGGAAAAAGCGGTAGCGATCTGGCGACTGCAAGAGGATGTAGGAGAGGACGATTGGGTAAGCAGCGAAGATCAGTCACTTTGGCGAGGATTCAAACTGGCATTAGAAGATGTTAAGACGTGGGTGCTGGTAAGTTCGGTTGCCAATCGCGCTCGAAGGCAGTGGCGTTTGATTCGATAGGGCGATGTTGCTCACACATTCTACTGGTCTGCAGCTCCTCCTTGTATTTTGCATCGTTGCAAGTGGATCCATCACCAACTTCTTCCCGACGGTCGTCAAGACTCTGGGCTACGGTGATGTGCCGACTCTCCTCCTGACCAGCCCACCTTACGTCCTTTGCTTCATCGTGACGTGCCTCAACTCGTGGCATGCCGACCGCACTGGTGAAAGATATTTCCACATCGTATTGCCTCTCATGGTTGCCGTTGCCGCCTTCATCCTGGCAGCGAGTACGACGACGATGGTGCCTCGGTATATCAGCATGATGCTCATGGTATGTGTCCACTAGCAAATCCCGTCGGAAATCGGGAAGGGCAATCTGGCGGCCCCACAGCGGCGGAACTGCCGTATTCGGCGAAGGTTCACACTAAAGCTCAGCCGTGCTAACCTGAGCTATGCTTGACTAGTTGCCTGGTATTTATAGCGGATATACAACCTCACTGGCCTGGATATCGAACACACTCCCACGACCGCCGGCAAAAAGGGCAGCGGCGCTCGCGTTCATCAACGCAGTGAGCAATTGCTCGTCCATCTATGCATCATATCTGTACAAAGACGATATGGGCCCACGCTACATAGGCGCGTTTGTACACAATTGCGTCGCGTGCTTCGTGGCGGCGTGTGCGGCGACGATCCTCCGGTTGATTCTGATGAGGCTGAATAAGAAGCTGGAAAGAGGGGAGCATGTCAAGGGTGCCATCAATGCTGTTCCTGGCGAGGCGTCTGAGCACGGGTTTAGGTTTAGGCTATGATATGTTGGGGGGAACTGTAGCTTTGAGTGGGGCAAGTCCCATCAAAAAGGGGCGGAAACCTACGAAATCCACAAGTTAAAGTCTCAACTTTTTAAAAGGATCTAATCCGACTGGAGAACCCAACTTGTATGCCAAAGCGATGGAAAGGCCACAGTGCACGATACTACTAGTAGTCGTGCGGTGCTGGCTGGGCGGCGCGAGCCATGTATGGGGGTGCTCTCGCAGTTAATGCTTCAATGGTTGTGCTCTTTCCCTTTTCCCCTTCGTAATTTGGTAAAATTGATGTTTTGTTCTTCGAAAACCTCTCGCGCGTTAACTTCGCTACAATTGTACCGCGCGAGTGTGGACCGCGAGGCTTAGTGCAGTGACCACTCATCTCGAGACTTGATGAGAACGTGGATGTTCTACCGATGCATCCGAACACCGCCGATTACAACATGAAGTATCGACTTTGCCAATCCAAGGATGGCGGCTCTCTGTAGCGTGGCTAGTCCATACTTCATTCATCCTCAGTGAATGCAAGTAGCTCAGTACAGGGAACTGGGACTTTTCCCCAATGCAAAGTGATGAGCAAGGGCTTGCCAGTCTCGTGAGTGTCGCCTTCAAGATGCGCTTTAGATGCCGCGCCATTCTCTCTAATCGCATTGAGCCTGGTGATACGGGTAGGGTTGGCAACGTGGTAACCGGCCAGCCAACTCGCATTAGGCACCGAAGTTCCAAGCTGTCGCGCAGTGGTTTGGGACTGCGATGATAGCCCCTGGTTTACGAAGTACACAGGTACAGACGGTACCTTTGTACCTCTGTACAGCCACGCCACTATTAATATGAAGCGCGCCAAGTAAACTTGCACCACAAAGTACGGCGTGCGAAGTACTTGTGGCTACGAAGTACATAGCAATCAAAGCTGTTCCATCGGACTTATCGGACGCGAAGAATCAATTAAATTCTCACCGCGAAGTACAGCAATGAGAGGTAATTTTTTCTAATCAGCGGGAACAAGCCGAGGCCCAGCTTAGCACTTACGGAGGAGACCGACGACCTTGACGACCACTGGCTTTCGCGATTGACCAAGCGTTTAAATATAACTCTTGTCCCACCACTCTGATGGCTCATGTCCGTCTGCTATCCTGGTCGTTCTTTGCTCAATAGTTGAGTCTGGGTGGTAAGATATTCCTCGCCCAAGCTGTCTCCCTTTCTGCTCGGCTGAAGTTGACCATGACGAAGCCAAGCGGGCCGCCATCCAAGGCGTCGGCCTCCAAGATGTCCTTCCTTGTGCCTATTGTTGGGCCCATCATTGTTGCCTCGACTGGCTACGCTATGTGGAAGGTGCAATGGGCAACTCTTCTGAAAGCCTTCTTCACTGGCCCCGGTCGTCTCCAGCGCATCTTCTTCCTCCTCTTTGCCTTGTTTAACTGGAAGAACATGCCCTTTGCGTGGACTGTATGTAACCCTGCTCCCATACTATCCCTCCGACTTGGGCAAGCAGCAGGCTGGCTCGGCGCGCTTTGCCCACGCGAAACCGGCTCCCTGTTTGGATGTTCCGGTGGTGTTCTTCTTTACCATGCTCCCCGTTATGCTCACAAAAGATTGCAATATCTTCTAGGCCCGAGTATTTTACGCAGCTTACTACCATCATTTTATCCGCCGGGCGCCAACCCTCGGTCCTCGATCCCTCTTTGCACCGGTCATATCCCATTCTCGCGCGGCGCTCCTTGAAATCGATTACAATGTCCACAAGTCCAACTCAACCTATTTCGCCGACCTCGACGTTAGCCGCACACACCTTGTCTCCTACATATGCGGACCAGGCTTGCGCAGCGTCTACAAAAACAAGGCCACACAGCTCGTAATAGACCCTAGAACCCAAAAGCCTGCTATCGGGAAGCTGGGTATTATTCTTGGCGGTGTCCACTGTTCGTTTCACAAAGAGATATCACCGTATACAACCTTCGAGATGTGGAGCCGAGTTCTAGCTTGGGATCGGAAGTGGTTGTATATAGTTACCCACTATGTGCCAAGCGGACTGGGCAGGCCATCCGAGTGGCTGGACCCGAGATTCGGTCGGTGGAACCGCAACGCGGGCAAGGAGCCTGCCAAGGACTGGGAAAAGAAAATCTATGCTACCGCTGTGAGCAAGTACGTTTTCAAGATCGGGCGATTGACAATTCACCCAGCCCTTATACTGGGTGAGAGCGGGCTCCTCCCCGAGCGTCCAGGTGGCTGGCTAAACGATAACCCTGCCTCCGGAAACGGAGAGGTGGTACAAAATGGCGACGTAGCGGACCTTCGGGCGTATGGGGACGAGTGGGATTGGCATCAGGTTGAACAGCGACGCTTAGAAGGGATGAAGTTTGCAGAGAGGTTCCACTCCATGGACAGCCTGCAAATGGCCTTTGACGGCGGCCAAGGGCCTGTCGTAGGCCGATTCGGCCCTGGTTGACATGGCAAACTAGGGTTGGCTGGAGCATTGCTGTTACACGGCAATTTTCTCCCGAGATTTTTTCTCTCTTTCTTTTTTCTGTTTTTCTCTTTCTTTTTCTGTTTTTCTCTTTCTTTTTCGGATGCTAGACATGGCCTAGGCGCGGTAGGATAGGTAGATTTTGACCTCAGCGGTGCATAACTTGTTGCCTGTGGGTATAGAACGTATAGAATATAGGACTGGTCTTACTCACCTATGCCCACAACAAACGACCGTGCTGACTTCACATCGAGGCTTAGGCGTTCAAACGACGGTTGCGGGAGGGGGCGGCGGCGGCGCTAGCTCAGGCATAACTGCTGAGGGTTTTGGCAGCCCGCGGGACCAACTCTGACGGCGTATGCGCAGATGAGGGCCGGAAGTTTTGGGGCAGCGGGGGAGACAGGTTTCCGCTTTGCGATGATTTGTTTCGATGTTTCGATTCTTATCCACCGAAATAGGTAGGATTGGTAATAACATTAGCATCATCAACCTCCGCGATGATGATGTTGAGGGATGATGTTGGCCCGCTTCGTACAGTACTAGTGTGAAGTTTCCCTACCAAGTTGCCAGTTTAGTCAAGAGCCACAAAGTAGGAGTGGAGAAGAAGGCAACCCGAAGAACTCGCAACTTCGAGAGAGTGTTAGCGACCGATTATGGGCGATTGATTGAGCCGCCTGGAGTCTACCGAGTTCGTTACAGATAAAGGAAGTATTCACTCGGCAACCCTGAGAGACCAATGACGTCAATGTCAATTGGCCAAAGATTTTCGACTTGATTGCAATTCGGATGGTTGAATCGCTACCAGCTTCGGACTCTTAAATCATAACCTCGAACGAGTATTGAGCAGAGAGCCACTAGTGCGTCCCCAAAGGGGCATTACTGCACTCCTACTTCGGCTGTTTTGTTTGTGGATTACCAATGACTGCGATGCCCGATATCATTCAAATTGTTATCCACCACCAGGCTTCATCCCAATTCTAATCCTATCAACCAATCAACTGATTATCGTGACTCGAGACAACCATCCGGGTGTCAACTCATATATCTAGTTCTTAATCGACCTGCCACCTATTGTGCTAGTTCTAGCCGCACCTAACGGCGAGAAGTCCTCAATTCAAGTGAGAAAACGCGCCGAGATGAGCACTTTAGATTCGACCCCGCCTGACCGCGGCATCCGGATCGCCATTGACCGCGGTGGCACTTTCACTGATTGCGTTGGCGAGAGAGGTGGGGAGACTGTTATCCTTAAACTTCTCTCAGAAGACCCATCGAACTACCCGGATGCTCCTCTAGAAGGCATTCGCCGCATCATGTCGCATTTCCTTGGCCGGGACATCCCGCGAGAGGAGAGGCTAGACACGTCCCGCATAGCTTCCATTCGCATGGGAACAACAGTTGCCACGAATGCACTTCTTGAACGCAAGGGCGAGAAAATGGCCCTTGTCGTCACGAAGGGGTTCCGAGACTGCCTTCTCATTGGCAACCAGAGCCGGCCCAAGATCTTCGATCTTGCTATCAAAAAGCCCGATGTCTTGTACTCCGCCGTTGTTGAGGTTGATGAGCGTGTCACTCCCGAGGATTACGCAGAGGACCCCGAAAGAACAAGGACCGCCGCTCACACGGGGGTGGGAAGCCCCGAAGCGGACATGGAGGCCCTCGTGGAAGGTCTATCTGGCGAGACTATACGTATTCTCAAGCGACCTCGGGAGGAGGACATCCGACGGCAATTGCAGGAAGTATATGAGGCGGGGATCCGGAGCATCGCTGTGTGTCTCTTGCACGGCTATACATTTCCGAACCACGAAGCTCTCGTTGGCCGTATCGCCCGGGAAATTGGGTTCTCCCACATATCCTTGAGTCATGAGTTGATGCCAATGATAAAACTAGTATCGCGAGCCACATCGGTGTGCGCCGATGCATATCTGACCCCTGCCATCAAAAGGTACATCGCAGGGTTCCAGGAAGGTTTCGTCGGCGCATTAGGCGTCAAAGGTAGCCCGGGGGAAAAGGGTGCGAGATGTGAATTTATGCAAAGCGACGGGGGTCTTGTGGATGTTGATAGGTTCACGGGCCTAAGGGCTATACTATCGGGACCAGCCGGCGGCGTGGTAGGCTATGCTAGCACATCTTATGATGAGGAAACTAGGATTCCTGTTATCGGGTTCGATATGGTACGCTCCTTTCTCCCACTAGCTATTTCATATACTAACTTCTCTAGGGAGGTATGGCACCCAACATAAATATTCAATGGCCATGACACTAACACGCTCGCCAAGGAACGAGCACCGATGTATCTCGATATGGGGAAGGCCGCTATGAACATGTATTTGAGACGACAACGGCTGGTGTCACAATCCAGTCTCCTCAACTCGATATCAACACCGTCGCTGCTGGTGGCGGCTCAATGCTGTTCTGGAAGAACGGGCTCTTCGTAGTAGGGCCAGAAAGCGCGGGGGCGCATCCCGGCCCGGCCTGCTACCGCAAAGATGGTCCGGCAACTGTAACAGACGCAAACCTCTATCTTGGTAGACTACTTCCCGAATTCTTCCCCAAAATATTCGGTAAACATGAGAACGAGGGCCTGGACTGGGAAGCAAGCGCCAAAGCTCTTCGGGAACTAACCGACCAAGTGAATCGCGATGCTGGCAAAAACATGACCATCGACGAGGTTGCCTATGGGTTCTTGACTGTTGCTAACGAAGCGATGACACGCCCGATCCGCTCAATAACTGAAGCAAAGGGTCACGACTCCTCGAAGCATCGGCTAGCCACCTTTGGCGGGGCAGGTGGTCAGCACGCTGTTGCCATTGCTGAAGCTTTGGGTATTCGCCAGATCCTCGTTCACAGATACTCATCTGTCCTCTCTGCATATGGGATGGCCTTGGCGGATGTCGTGGACGAGAGACAGGAGCCCGAGTCATCCGTTTGGCAGGATGATGGCCTGGTAGTCGAACGCCTAAAGACTAAGATGGAAAGGCTGCGGGTGGCCTGTGTTGGATCCCTGGAAGAACAAGGGTTCAGAAGTGACGAGATCGTATTCGAGGAGTATTTGAATATGAGATACAGGGGGACCGAGTCGGCCCTGATGATCGTCAAACCGGATCCCGTGGAAGCAGCTCAGAAATATGGCGGTGCTGATTGGGCATTTGGAAAGGCCTTCGTTAACCAGCATCGATATGAATTCGGGTTCACCCTCGACGACCGCGATATTATAGTCGACGACGTCCGCATACGAGCTATTGGCCGGAGCTCTCGTCCCCGAGAAGAGACCGTTGATGAACAACTAGCTAAGGTCACGCGGCGACCGGTGGATGAGAAAAAGGTCCATGGACGACAGAGCGTATATTTCGAAGGCGGGAGACTGGAGACCCCTGTTTACAAACTACAAGACCTGGCCATTGGAGATGAGGTCCCAGGCCCCACCGTACTAGCAGACGGCACGCAAACCATCGTCGTGCCCCCGGAAGCAAGAGCACTCGTGATCGAAACCCATGTCGTCATAGACATCTGCCAGAATACAGCGAAAGATGAGTAAGTTGCCCAGCCCACCCGCACCCAACATAGCCTGCTCTGAACGACAATAGGAAAAACGCCGACGCCGAGGTTGCCGACCCAATATTGCTCAGCATATTCGGACATAGGTTCATGGCAATTGCGGAGCAAATGGGCCGGGCTCTGCAGAAGACGAGCGTGAGTACAAACGTGAAAGAACGCCTAGACTTTTCGTGTGCCATATTCGATGCAGATGGAGGCCTCGTGGCAAATGCACCGCACCTTCCGGTCCATCTTGGGTCAATGTCAACCTGTGTTAGGCGCCAGGCCGCCATATGGGAAGGGAAGCTCAAGGACGGAGATGTAATCATCACTAACCACCCCTCTTACGGTGGCACACACCTCCCCGACGTTACACTGATCATGCCCGCCTTTAATAGGCAGGGGAACAAGATACTGTTCTACGCAGCGTCGAGAGCCCACCACGCGGACATTGGCGGCATGTCGGCAGGCAGTATGCCACCTCACTCCCGCGAACTATACCAGGAAGGCGCGGCCGTTAAGTCGGAGAAGCTTGTCAGCGAAGGGAAGTTCAACGAGGAAATGATTGTCGAGCTGTTCTATCGAGAACCCGCCAAGCACCCTGGATGCAGCGGCACTCGTTGCCTTGCCGATAACATTAACGACCTCAGAGCGCAAGTCTCCGCGAACAGGAAAGGAATCTCTCTCATCGAATCTCTGATCGATGAATACGGTGAAGATATGGTGCAGTTTTATATGCGAAGCATCCAGAAAAACGCGGAGACGTGTGTGCGAAAACTCTTGAGAGAAATGCACGACAGATTCGCGGGGAAAGATTTGTCCGCCGTAGACTACATGGACGACGGAAGTCCTATCCGACTCAGAATCACAATCGATGCGGACCTCGGCGAGGCGGTGTTCGATTTCGATGGCACAGGGCCCGAGGTGTACGGGAACATCAACGCCCCAGAGGCGGTGACGTACAGTGCTATCATATATTGCCTGCGGTGCTTGATATCAGAGGACATTCCCCTCAACCAGGGGTGCCTTGCGCCTATTAAAGTCAATATTCCTCCAGGATCACTACTCTCCCCGTCGGATGGCGCGGCAGTCGTCGGGGGTAACGTTCTCACGAGCCAGCGAGTAACGGATGTCATTTTCAAAGCCTTCCAGGCTTGCGCTGCGAGTCAGGGGGATTGCAACAACCTCACGTTCGGCTTCGGAGGAAATGCCACAGGGGAGAAGGAGGTTAGGGGATTTGGGTATTATGAGACGATCGCTGGGGGGAGTGGTGCGGGGCCGGACTGGGAAGGCACAAGTGGTGTGCATACCCACATGACCAATACTCGAATTACGGACTCGGAAGTTTTCGAGAAGCGATATCCCGTTATTCTGAGGGAGTTCTCCCTGCGAAAGGGGTCCGGTGGCATCGGTCAACACGTAGGAGGAGACGGCGTAGTCCGCGATATTGAATTTCGGATCCCGGTCCAGGTATCTATTTTGAGCGAGCGGCGGGTGTTCAGACCTTATGGGCTGGCGGGTGGTGCCGATGCTCAGCCGGGATTGAACTTGTGGGTTAGGAGGCTATCGAAGCCGACCGCAGATGGGGTGGAATACGAGGAAAAGGTGTGTAACCTCGGTTCCAAGAACAGCGCGCCAATGAAGCCCGGCGAGCGCATTATAATCTGCACGCCGGGTGGTGGTGGATGGGGAGATGTGGCGAATGTGAAGGCTACCAGGGAGACCGTCGACCCGACAGCTGGGTGGAGGAAGGCTGGCCATGCGAACAGAGAGGACCTTGCCCTCCAGGCCTAACAGCCGAGAATATCCATCGTTGGCCGGCGAGATTTCGGTCATGTCGATGGCTTATCATTTGCATATTGAATGAAGAGGACAAGCCCCGGCTTGTCGGGTTCGCGGATTTGCCTGGTCTCGCCTGGCCTAAGAGCGGTGGGCAGACTTTGGGGGGATGCGGGCAATCCGCAATCCGCAGTGTCACCTCTACGGGAAAGGAGCTGGCTGCGTCTTGGAAACCAAACGTGCCATGATTTTTGGTCTACAAAGTGGGTTGAGGAGAATAACGGTTTCATAAGGATGGGCCGCCGGATTTCGCAATGGTACTACAAGGGAAGGCCATGGAATCTATCGATCACCAAATAGCGCCAAGTTATTGATGACTCCGTCAGCCGACTTTCGTTTAGGTGAATCATCATGCGTGGAAGATAAAATGAGTGCACATCAATCCTGCCCAGGGCCAAACCTCTGGGGTACTCACAATAATAAGACGTGGAGTCGTAAAAGCGGTCGCGATTGCTCGGTCAACTTCTTGGATGGCTACTTTGTGTGTTGACGATGTACGTCGTAGGTCCTCACCCTGCCCCGGTATAGAAGCCGAACCATCCGATCTCTGTTATATTCGTAGGCAGGTATCGAACGATTTCCCAACGACAATACTACCTCGCATGAGTCGCACTACTTCGTACTCGAGGACCTCCGTAGTATACCACCTGCGAGCGCCGTTATGGGATAAACCAGGAACGGGCCTGAAGCTGCTCAAAGTCATGGTACCTTCTCCTCGCGCTTATTATTAACAGTTTGGTTTCTATAAGTTGGTTAGTTTTGAAGTAACTTCGTACTACACAACACTTTAGAACCGGTAAAGGCATCCCGCAATTAATCCCCCGGATTGGACCCGTGGATGCCTCTGTTCGATGTGGATGGACACTTCTTAATCCGGTTCTAGTGTACGCTTCAATGGGAGGTGACTTGATGGTAAGTACAACATGCGCAACGCCAATCAATTCCTTCATGACCGTGTTCGTAGCCCGTTCGACAAGATTCCCCAAGCTTTGAAGTAATGAATGACTAGTAAACGCCTGACTACTCAATTTTTTTTCTTCCTTCTTTTTTATTTTCCTTCCTCATTCTCCTTCCTCTCCCATCCCCGGCATCCGTTGTTGGCCTTCCTTGATTGCTGGTATCGTGGCGTGTAATAGATTATAAATGTCACCTAAACCTGGGAGCGAAGCAGAACGGTTCCCTAGAGACATGGCTGGAGTCTTAGAATAAGACCTCTAATAAGCACTGAAGCATGCACATTGTATGTGCGTAGAGCTGGAAGGGCATGCGCTATTGGACACCAGAAGCGCATTTGTATTCCTTGATTAGGGTCGCCAGTGTTGGATGGAGAGGCTGTGCTGACCATCGGTCAAGGAGGACCTCGAAAATGCTGCAGGCCTTAATTGCTTCGTATGTAGGACCCAGCTGGACAGGGGCCTTTCGCCTGTGCCGGGGACTGCAACCGAGAGAGGTGCCCACCCAACGAGTCCTAATCGAGTATTCATCCACCCATACTCAGCTCCCGAGATCTTCAAGATTGCGAATTACTTCACGGGACTAATGTACATCAATGCAGCTGACTCTCGGGCCAGTTGTGGAGTTACGAAGTATTATTCAAAGTACCGAGGTACATGCGTGCTCCATCGAATCATGAAGAGAAAGGATAATGCGAGAGCCAAAAAGAGAGAGAAAGAAAACAAGGGCAAACCTGCCAAGTTCTATTATAAGGCTATGAGTTGAGGACCTTCGTTCGATGAAGATCCTGTAAAGTAATTGATTAACTCCACGAAGTAACCGATTAATACATGACCTTGACTCTTTCGATGTGCTTGGTATATTTATATTCTCCTGTGGAAAACGAAGTCCTAAACTTTGTACGAAGTATGTACAAGTACTAAAGTAATCGAGATGAGAAGGACGGGAGTACAAGTACATAACGCATCGATGTACTGAGGTACTTCATCGTACTTCGTACATAGATCCAACCAATCGGCCGGTGGATCCAAATATAGGAAAGGAACGTTCATTTGTCCCATGCGGTGCACAGCGCACAGTGGAACTATGGAAGCGACACTACCTTAACCACGTTGGTGGGATTGGCCGGGAAGGATCCATGCCATGGTGTGAGGTTCCGGAATTGGAAGGACGCCATCCTCTCTCCAGAAACAGGCGATCGGAGAGTGCCCAACCAATTCTAGACCAGAGACGAAGACGAGTGCTTTGAGAAGGGCACAGGCACAATCGATCATCAATCAAGAAAGACGAGGGCCTCGCTGATAATAATAGCAGCCTCACAGGTCAGGCGGACACGACTGACAAAGGGAAACATTGAAGAGGAGGGGTAACCCAAAAAAAACCACACCCCGGATGGCCATAACCTTGAGCTCTCGAATCGTAATTCGAAATTACCGACTAGCAATTGGAGAAGAATATGTCTTGGTCTTCTCCTTGAGAAGTTGGGAGAATGTAACTCGGGGATATTACTGTTGAAAAAATACATTGACAATAGATCATTTACGACAGAGGCTCTCAGCGTACTACAGTGGGGGCTTGGGAAGCCCTGGCTAGCTAATGCTGGCTCTTGGGGTCAGCCAGGCCATAGATCAATTGGGCATTAAAGTCAATTTGATCAGCATCGATCGAAAAAGGAAGAAAGGAAAAAAAACCCTCACCGATGCCAATGGCGACTACCCACGTTCAATTTTGTATGTACTTCCATGTAATGACCGCAAAATAGTGTAGTCGGTAGAATTGAGCCCTCACCTTCCAGGATGATGACCTCAGTCTGCTCCGAGTGGTCTGCAGCACTTCCATGAGAGTGATACGCTTATGTACACTGGTACTGCGAGCCCAACGACGGAGACTTGATCGATTTCTCATCTCTCCTACAGTACTATAATATGTAATGAGCCCATCTAGCTGCGAAGATAGCGGCTCGGCTTAGATCTCCTCCAGGACACCCGTTCCTGAGCCTTGAGTCTCCGGTCCGGATGTGTGTAAACAGCGGGCTCGCAAGCTCTCTCCACCCACGCCAAGATATACTTGGTACAAAATATTAGCCAGTGAGGCCTCTCTCGTGGAAATGTCAATACGCTCCTTCGTAGAGTACTTGCACGAGAGGTGTCAAGGTAAAGATGGGGTTTTCCATCAGCCCCATTGAGACGGAGACACAAAGGCGATATTCATCAATGATGTCACATATCCCGCATTTTTCATTACTCTGCTAAAACCCGGAGAGGAGGGTCGCTCATCAGTCAAGAAAGTGTAATCAATATTATCTATTACCCTTGATATAGATGGTGGGGGATGGTAACACCTCGTCTTTCACGATTGTCGAGGTTTGGATCCAACCCTGTGGCGCGGCGGCGCCAAGTGGGATCGATCGACTGATGATGGGCCAGGCCTGCTGCAACCCGGTTTCCCGCGGGAATCAATTGATCTATCAATTGAATCGAACTGATGTCTGCGAATCTCTCACCACTGTTTCTTAGGGAGCGCACCTCCATCTCGCCTCTAGTGGATGCTAGTGTGAGTATTAATAGTACTTGGTCGCGCTTTGAAAGCTTGGTTGTTGGTCATGATGCCCTTGTGCTCTTGCTCGCGCTCCACTCAGTCTCTCTCTCTCTCTCTCTCTCTCTCTCCCCCCCCCGGCCGATTTTGTTACGACAGATACTCCTGCGATGGCAGTACTGTCGATGCTAGGAAGGGGCTCTGCCAGCTGTGGCAGGTATGGAGGTCTCAATAATCACAAGTTATATATCAGTAGTTCATGATGGTAAAAGGTTGGTTCTCTCCTCTAGAGGGTGTGTGCTGGGAGCACTTCTTATATACATCAGTTGTGCCCAGGGGAGTTCTGCTCTTGGTTAGAACTGGCAGCGATCAGTTCTGGCAGGTGCCAGATCCAAGGGTTGTCAGTTCTGCTTCTTGTCACTTCTTGTTCGTGTGACAGATTTCCACCTTGATTCTTCCATTCATTCAACCATGTTCTACTTCGTACGAGGTAGAATAAAATAACACGATTAACACCACCATTCGCTGGCGGAGGAGTGACACCCACCAACGCTCCCAAGTCCCGGCCTGTCCCCGATCAATAATCGGCTACTTCGATGTTACTTACTAGATGGTACTCGAATAGTGTACACTGTACGCTGCTTCGTACTTCGTACTCTTCGCACCCTCCCCTGCCCACCTCATAGTACGAAGTACTAGAAGTAAAACGAGCACTTTAGCACCGGCACTGGACCAGGTCTCTCGACGAAGTACACTTACCCCAGCCCCAGTCAGTTGATCGTTGAAGGCCTAGCCAGGTCACATCAATTGAGATTGATCGATCGATTGATTTGATGTTCGAAGTCCCGTAATACTTCGGACATCAACGTTGAAGTTGGCCCCAGGCCTATCACAATGATTGATGATTGATACTGTACTTCGTACATTGGTCCCAATACTTTTTTTCTGTCCAGTGTTCTTTTTTTGCCCTTTTCCATTTTCGCCCCCTTCACGGTTTTTCCTATCTTTTTTTCCACCCTTTTTCCCTTCTCCACTGGCCACTGGTTTTCTAGCTTTCTGATCAATTGATGAATTCCCAGGTCGCCTCCAATTCTCCTCCACCCTCAGGGCTACTATTTCTCCTCCCTCCTACCTCAGTGCCCGCCTCTCAATTGGTAGCCACAGGTCGTCTCCTGCCATCATGACAGGGGGACCATCGTTCCCAACACCGGCTTCTTCTTGCACTATTCCCCCCCCAGCCTTTTGCCAGGTCTAACTTCAATATTACAAGTACACACCCCCCTTCACCCATCTCCTTTTCAAACCCCTTTACCCACCCACTCTTCTGCACTCAATCTTTTATTCCCGTCGCCCCCACCTCGCTTCGTTTCCAGAACACTTGCCCTTTTCTTTACTTTCCCCACTTCTTCACACACGCCGTATCAGATGTACACTACGATTCCGTCAAACTCGTCAAGATTCTGGTAGCCACTTTGCCTTCTCGGTCCCGCTATGGAAGCGGGTGATATAGGAACAAGGCCAAGGTTAGTATTGATAACTCAGCAGCTGCATCACAGCATCGACAATTATTATTTAGCTTCAGCTCGACTGGACCCGAGCCCTCAATAGGGCACTGGAGAAAAAAAAAAAAAAAAAAAAAAAAACACTCGAAGGCGAAAGGATTTAGGTCGCGTTCCGAGCTGCCACCCTGTTCGCTAACTTGGCTATAGTGGTAGTACCTCTGCCAGGAGTCCCAGTCTTTACAGCCAGGCCAGTCGGGATGGTTTACGGGAGCCACCCGAGCGACATTACGGAGAACCTCTCGCGATGGCGACGGCCGCAATCATAAGCCCAACCGCACAATACCCGCCCCCCCTTCAAACCCTCAGCTCTCGTTATCCGCATTCGACCAACGGCTCCGACATGCCAGGCATGATATCTCCAGCCGAGCCCCGACGCCATTCCGACCCGGCAGAAGTCCCGCCTCACCGGCAATCGCTTCCATCCATCTCCGAAGTCATCTCTTCTACGACTGTGAACCACCCCGGTGGCTTTTCTCAGACCCCAGCTCCCGTACCACCACCTCTATCGACATTTCCTCCGTCTTTTGCTGCATCGTCGCGCCCCTATGCTGAACCCCAGCCTGCCCTGGACAAACCATCTCCCCGCCCACCTCATCATCCTCCATCTTCGTACTCCCGACCAGAACCGTTACCTCCCTTCGCCGCCGAGTCACCCCGGCTCGCTTCCTTTAATACTCGCCCCGGCCCTGCCGCATCGGGCTCTTTCGCTCCTCATCCCAGCCCTCCCATCAAGCAGGACCAGGGCCGCGCCGACTCTGACAAGATCGTGCCTGAGCAACATCCCAATGGATCTTATTCGCACCCAAACCCTTTAACACCCTATTCGACCGTCCAGTTATCTGGGGGCCAACTTTCCCACTCTTCAACATACCCAGTATCCCCGAGACACATTGTTCCTCCTCCTCCGCTGCCGTCCCCCTACGATCCGCATCGAGCGACCAGACTCGAAGAGGCTGACCACCCCCACGCCCGACCGAGATACGATATGACACTGAATCGGCACATTGAGGCCTGGACATATCAGGAATGCCTAAGCCGGGTGAGTGCGCCACCACTGTTTTCGAAGCATCTTAGCCGACTTTTTTTTTTGGTTTCCTTCATTTTTCCCCCCTTCCTTCTCGCAAGCTAACCGCCTGAAAAGATTGCCTCTTCCTCAAGAACGATTTTTAACTTCGCCGAAGGATATGGGAAAATTGCGCAGGAACAGCACACTTCTCGGCCTATCCCCGAGAGACTTCCCACAGAGAGGGAGGTGTCTGAGATGCTCAGTAACTTGGACTATATCCGCAGGTCGTTGGAGAACGTACGGGACTTGGTACAGCAGAGTAATAGGAGTGAGCCGCCCCGGGAAAGCAAGGGCAAAGCCCCCATGGAAGATGACGATGCCCAGATGTATGACGGAGTGAGTAAACCGGCCGCCTTTGGAGCTACGGAAGTGAAAAAGAGGCGCGGGGTAAGAGTCCGTCCACCACCCAGCCAGTTGCGCGTATTTGGGAACACCCCAATTTCTTGCTAACCATGGTCGTATGTCTAGCGCGCCGCCCCTCCGGGAAGATGTCACAGCTGCAATAGGATCGATACTCCTGAATGGAGAAGAGGCCCGGATGGTGCCAGAACGCTCTGCAATGCGTGCGGGCTTCATTATGCCAAACTAGAGAGGAAACGGCAATTGGAAGCGAGGTCTATGCGGCCGAGGCAAGCAGACGAAGCAACCTGAAAACTCGCCCACTCCTCCGCGGTTGCTTTTGCCGTAGAGGCCGAACGCCTACCTAGAGATATACCCACCCCTGGTTTGGGCAACCGCATGAGGTTTTGGCGACACCGGCGCTAGAGTCTCTCACTCGTACAACAAAAGAAAAAAACGAGTTCATTTCCCAAGGGGACCTTTGGATCTCAACCACTGACGCTACAGGATCGGCAGACTCGATTTCAAGATCTTCTAAGTGGAACGACCTCGATGCGTACGGCAACCACTCTCAATACGGTTGCATGTCTACACCAGGCTTACCTCTACCTCTTCGGGCCTCGTTTTCTTCGGTTGCCGCCAACCTGATTTATGATAGACTAGACCAGACCCGGTAACCGACTCTGGCTATCTTCTTCAAGTTCAACTTGGGGGAACGCTACGGATTTTTTCCCGCATATATCTCCGACGGTATGCGGCGGGTGGCAGAGATGGTGCCACGTACCTCTCTTCTTTTCGCCTTGCCACCTCTTTAATATAGAGATAGGCATTTGGCTCGACAGATCGTGTGTTGCGAGGAGAGACAGCTTCTTTTGCTTTCCTCGCCTTCTTCCTTCTCTCAACTAGTATATAATAGAGACAGCTACGATATCACTGGGATTCGGCGGCTGGGGTTACAGGAAGTGAGTAGAAGGAAGCTTCCACCACCTGGCAAGCCCGCTAGGCGTTGTTTGCCCAGCTAGTTACGGTCTACCTTGAGAGGTTAAGGGCGGTTGGGGGGTACCGCAGCGGGATATCAAAGGTCATGCGACTTCGTTCATTCTATCCAAACGGGCGTGGGCGTCTGTTGTCTCCTATAGGCACAAAGCTAGCACTTTTAATACTGGATACCGGCCGCCCAATCACTAGTTGTACGGCGACTTTGTGCCATGTGGTCCCTACATGCTGGCCCTCCATATCTCTTGAGCAGTCCGACTGTCACATCAAGCGTACATAGAGGTGTGTAGAGTCCAACGGGACAAGCAGTGCGGCCGCGGCTGAAATTCTAGAGCCCAATATGCTTGGTGACGTGTGTTTCGCATTACCCAGTTCCTCTGCGCAAACTTGGCGGCGCTGTCCTTAGCCATCCAACCCAAGGGGACATAAAGCCACATAACCCGCTGTAGGATCCACATCAACCTCTCTGACAGTGCTAGGCTAGAAGGCGTTGTGGCAAGCTGAGTCGTAGTTCTCTGCAACTTTCTGCAATCGAGATTTTGTTTTTCACCCGCAGCCAAAGCGCACCCGCTTCCTGCTCCTGCATCTGCTCTGCCGAGGACCAGGTACGGTTGGTTTGACCCTGGAACAACGGCCTACACCTGGACTAAACTGCCAATCAGTGATCTTGGTTCACTAGTTAGGATGCGAGGCCTATGCCTCATATCAACCATCTTACGAGCGTGCTGCATTGATGCTGTCGATTCGTGAAGAACGGAACTAGCCACTGGGCGAGATTAATAACACCCCCCTCAACGCTTTGTGAAGTATACAACTCCGGGGTCTATTAGGAGTTGGATGATACGGTATCCGACCGTTGTAGTCCCGTTAACTTTGCCGTGCTCCCTTTTGCCGCCACTACACCAATGCTCCATCAACAGCTAACGCTGCTAATAACGTTCCTCTCGTGCGTCTCTATGCCGATAGTATTCATCTGGATATTACCACTGGTGGTCCGTCTGGCTGAAAGGAATCGGATCTGCTGTCTGGTTTCAATAACACCCGCTTCCCCTGTTCCCGGCCTTGAGAATGTCAACAGAGGAAAGTATGACTGTCGCGATCCCTGGTGTTGGCATGCCACGCGCGAAACGCCCCAAGGCTTCATCGCTTACCGCAGGTAGTGAGTAGTATCGACTCCTCTGGGGAGATGGAACAATGAGATGGCCAGTCAAGCCCCGGTGGAGGAGATGGCTCGCATGCCTTGGAGGCCCAGGAGACAGACATACTTCGCTAAGTATTTGTGGCAATATGTCATTGAGTTTACTATCTAGAGCGGAAATTGCCAATCAGTTTAGACAAGCCAGGCACACCAGATACGGATAACCCTTCTCCGGTCACTTCCTTGGCACCAATTGCGATGACCGCCCCAATAAGATCCTTTTGAACTTCATCACTGACAACACTGTCGTGTGCGTAGCCCCTGTGGTTATCTACAAAGTCCCGAATCCACCGAGCCGCCGTGCAGAGTTCACCGCTTGCTCTGCGGCGTACGAGGTCGATATAAGTCTCAAGTTCACACCGTGTCTTGATATCGACATTAACGCTGTCAAGATAACTTTCGACGATTGGGATAAGGCCAGGATAACCTCCGGCGGTGCCGTTTATTATCTCGTTGATTGTCATCTCCTCGTATTCCTCCTCCACTGGGCCAACGGGCGTAGGGGGTCGTGTTGACGGGAGGCTCGAAGTCGCGGATTCCAACCCGTCATCGCCTCCTCTTGTTCGGGACGGAGCCCGCGACGGTCGGGGGGGGAAAGGGTTCTTCCGGAAGAAGAACTTTTCACTCAACACAGCATCTCGACGGTGGGCACGTTCCATATTCTCATCCACCCTCTTGATGGGAATGTAAAAGTTGAGATCGAAGGAGAGTATCGCACGGGTGACTAGTACCATGAACACAGAAAACGCTGCATTTTCAAAGTCGGTGATTTGAATTTCCATGGGACGAAATTCAACGCGCCAACCAATGCTATTATCTGCCGGTGGGGGTTTAAATCTCATATGCTGCCAGTTAGTGGATTGGAGATTTTCAAAATGATCTGTTTTGGTGAGGTCGAGTTCCTGGAGATCTTCTTCGAAGATGACAATCGGATCCCTTATGAACAGGTGGGCGAAATGAGTAGCCAGCCGATTGTCCATACCTCCCGCTAGCAGTGTCGCCTTGATATCTTCATCGACTACAAGGTCCGGGTCTAAGTATTCAGGACGTAGTCTGGGGTCCGTAGAGATATACGTAGAGTTTGACGCATAGCGGGACTTGGGAATACGCCAACGAGCGTGTTCCAGGGGCTGCAAGCTGTCAGTAAAGCGAATACGGGAAGGGGAGGTGGTGGGTGGTTGTTGTTGTTGTTGTTGCTGTTGTCGTTGCAGGCAATGGCTCTTACCTTTTCCCCGAGCTCTTCGGGCGTCCTACAATCAACAGACTTGCTAATCTGGTTCCACCGTACATCTGTGTCAACGAGAAATCCTTTGTATATGGGTGTGGCGGCTGTCAAGGCTAGCAGTATAGGGCCTAGTGGGCTGAGCTGATCGTACATCTGACGCCCCTCCGTGATATTTTTGGCCTGAAAGGTTATCTGCAGACAGCAACTCCCCATGCCAAAGGCCATAGCATCCATGTGCACATAGTTCTCGGGTGCAGCACCATTCCGTACATCGTCGTCCTCAGGCCAGTTATGAAGGTTGTAGTTGACAGTGGGGTCTATCCAGTGTTCGGGGACATTTTTGTCCTTGAATATTGGCACATTAACCTGGACCTTGCGCCCACGACGGGATCGGATATTGGCGGCCAACGTTGGGAATCTAATGTGTGGGTTTGCTATTTCATCGGGGACAAACTGAGATCGGAGCTTCGGGCCGGACGGGGGGTAGTAGGGAAGCGTGAACTGCCCAGGTGTCCCGAGTCGTGGGAAAGTGGTCAGGGTAATAGGATACTCATCATCATGCATGTGTTGTTTTGCGATGCTCCTTCTGAGGACAGTATCCCGTTTAGCCCGCCAAACTCTCAGTATTATCAGAGGGGAGTATCCATACCGTAGTCTCATATCAGCCTCAACCTGGAGGAGTTCCCGGAAGCCAATGCCCCATGGCCTTCCAGGGGTTGATTCCAACATAAATCGGCCGAATTCGGGATGAAAGACCGGTCTCGGTTTAGCGCTCGAATAAAGTCAGCCATCATTCAGGAACAGGCTCATGAGACTAGGCATACTCATTCGATTCCTCATCCTGCAATGCTGGCGCCGTATGTTCATTTCCAGAGGCATCTTCGGTCTCTTGAAGTGCGTCCAGAATCTCGGCCTGTCTAAGTGACAAAAGAACCTTCGGCTTAGACGGGGAGTAATCCACGACAAGGTATTCAACCTATTGCGACACCTTTAGTCCCGGAAAAGCGCATGAAGGGCCTAGGATTGCGTCACACCTCATCACCCCAGAGCATAGCATCTCTCTCTTTGCCTTTTGCCTTCTCCCATATTTCCAAAAGTTGCTGTTCGCATATTAGCCCTGGGCAATGTTTTATGGCGAATATATTTCGCACCTTGATCCCCCAGGACCTGACTTGGTCGGCCTTTTTTTTGGCGTCCGGCCATTCCAAAGCCGTGCCCAACGCCCTACGCCGATAAATTAGCCATGAATGGACATGTTCAGAATGGAAACTTGCTTACAGGAGGCCCATATGAGAAGCTGCGGCGAACTCGGTTAGGTATACAATCCCTTGTTCATAAACCTAGAGATCAGATAGCAATCCACGACTTGTCTCCTTCCCCAATGAATCTGATGGCACTGGACGGCGATGGGGGCTAGAGCGGGGATTACGAGATTTACTAAGCCCCAAGCCCGGTGTCGGGGCCCATGGATTGCTTGCAATCACCCCAAATATTGACAATGGGGACGTCAAGCAAGGTACTCAGCGTCACAGGGCCTTACTAATCAGCCTTTTTTATTTTATTTTTTTTTAAGTAGTCTCCATCCTCTTATCTTATCAGTTATTATTTCCAGAAATCCTTGGGACCGGGGATTTTTTCGAAGGTTATCCATACCCTCAATCGCCACCCTCGCCAAGATGGCCTCGAAAATTGGTCCTCTTAAGCCAGAGAAAACCCCATCGGGTCCGTCGCCTTTAACAGCAGAGCAGCGGTATTGGAAATCCTTTAAGAATCAGCTTCTGATACCATCACCAACCAGCTTCGCCATCACTTACATCAGTCGCCCATCCAATGCATTCACTAATAACGACACCTTTGCAGTCACAAGCGGAACCAGGATACAAATCTATTCCGCGAGGACACGAAAACTCACGAAGACAATAACTCGATTCCAGGATGTTGCCCGCAGTGGAGACATCCGTAGAGATGGGCGCATTCTCGTTGCTGGGGAGGATACTGGTCGGATACAGGTTTTCGATATCGGCTCGAGGGCCGTCCTTAAGACATGGGCGGTTCACAAGCAGCCCGTATGGGTAACACGGTTCTCTCCGACTGAGTTAACTACAGTTCTCAGTGCTAGTGATGACAAGACTGTCAAACTCTGGGACCTCCCCTCGGGCGAACCCACCAACAACTTTTTTGGTCACAGCGATTATGTTCGATGCGCGGGCTTTATTCCTGCATCTACGAGTCATCTGATCGCATCTGGAAGCTACGATTCTACCGTGAAGGTGTGGGACCCTCGATCTGGATCTGCCGTCATGACATTTAAACACCCAGCACCGGTGGAAGATGTCTTACCGTTAGCGTCTGGAACCACGATTCTGGCAGCCTCGGGAAACACCATTAGCGTCATTGATATGGTCGCAGCTCGTCCGTTTCAATTGATGTCAAATCATCAGAAAACCGTCACATCCCTTAGCCTCGCTTCAAGAGGGCAACGACTCATTTCTGGGGGCCTAGATGGTCACGTCAAAGTATACGAAACAACTGGGTGGAGTGTCGTATCTACGGCAAAGTATCACTCGCCTATACTTGCGATCAGTATGATCGGATCCGGTGATGGCGTCGATTACGTTGATCGCCATCTCGTCGTGGGTATGTCGTCGGGTGTCCTCAGCATGCGGACTCGTCTTGGAGCCAAGGAGGCAGCCAGAGAAAGGCAGAGGGAGAAAACCATGGCAGCTATTGTGTCTGGAGACGCGGAACACCACGAGGCGAGACTGGCGAAACGGAAGCGAGAGAAATCAGAGAAGCAAAGGCTTGAGTTAGTGGGGGAGGGTGCAGAAATAATCCTTGGGGAAGAGTTGGGCCCGCGCCAGCAGAAGAGGGAGAGGCCTTGGCACAAGAAACTGCGTCGAGGAGCTTTCGCGTCAGCTCTGGATGACCTTCTAGACGTGAAAGGCCCAGACCACAGCCCTGCCAATATCCTCACCCTTCTGCTTGCCCTCCGTCATCGTGGGGCTATTCGCGAGGCATTATCGGGCCGTGACGAGACCTCAGTGCAACCAATTCTGAGGTGGATATGCAATCATATGTTTGACACACGCTACACTAGCATCTGCATTGAGGTTGGGCTGCACCTACTTGAGCTGTACTCAGACTACATTAGCTACTCCGCGGATTTGCGAGAAGGTTTCCGGACCCTGCACCGGAGAGTCAAGATAGAAGTTGAAAGGGCGCAGGTTGCTTGGCAGACGAGCGGCGCGATAGAGAGCCTAATGAATAGCACCGCAGAGTAAGGTGGCAACCCAACATCACCTGCTTACAATTGTGATGGAAGATGAAAGGAGCAGTGACAAACGGAAGGCGAAGAGAAAGAGCCTCACCAAACCTGGAGAATCTTGGGTATTTCGCTTAAGTAGCTTGCCTCGACTCAGGGTGTTCTCCAAGTCCAAGAGTCCAGAGGTCAATTACAATTAATGTCTGTGTTCTTCCCCCCTTGCCCTCCCCCAGTGTGACCATGAGATGACCTTGGCGTGGGAACAAACGTTGTTGACCAGGAATGGAATTTCCTAGTCGAACTAGGAGAAAACGTTGCCCTGCTTGGCGTGAGGTTCGGCAGCTCAGGCCAGCTGGCCACAGCCATCCGGGCCGCCAACACTTGGGTGTGCAGCATTTATTAGTAAGGGCTCATTACTAAGCCTCCACATTCGAGATGGACCAGGTCGTTCCCCCAACACCACTTCAAATGACTTCACGTTTCGAGTCTCTCTAAGAAATGCCCCGGCCCATGAACAAATAATCGAATTGCTAGATCCGTGCTGGGTTTATGAAATATGATTCTGTCCGTAGCCCGCCGAGCCACGCTATCGTCGACACGCATCTGTCGGTTTGGATTGGTAGGCTCGTTCAATGCATCTCTCCAGCCTTCACATTCTCATACAATTCCATTCTCAAAACTTCGCTACCATGCACATCGCGGACGAGAAGTCCACCAGCGGTCGGGTGGCCCTCGTCCATTACTCACGGTAGAGCAGCTTGGTAGAGTCGCCCGGAGCCGACACACCTATATCTTCTTTGGATCTTGCGTAGTCGGAGCAGTTGTGTTCTACTTCGCGAACGTGGAGTCGGTCCCTGTCAGTGGGCGCAAGAGGTTCAATTGCTACGGCGACGGGGTTTCCACCCTGAGCGATCAACAACTAAAAAGAATTATGTACGACATCGAAAGTCAGGGCCTCCGCGTTCTGCCAGAAAACGACTACAGGTACGGAAAAGTCGAAGTGTTCGAGAATAGAGAGAAGTAGGAACAACGATGCTTACCTGAGGGAGATAAGGTCCATTCTAGTAAAGAAAGTTATGGCTCGTCTTATACCAGTGAGTGGGCTGGACCGCTATAACTGGGAAATCTGGGTGATTGATGATCCCCGTACGGTTACCCTCCCGTGGTATCATGTTAGGAGCATTTAAACATTCTCTGAAGATGCTAATGGTATGGATAACTCTCTGTAGATAATGCAAATGCTTTTATCCTTCCCGGTGGTAAGGTCTTCGTATTCAGCGGCATCCTTCCCGTCACGCGCAACCAGGCTGGGTTAGCTGCAGTGCTAGGCCACGAGATCGCGCACAATCTTGCGCAACACCACGGCGAGCGCATGTCCGCTACCATCGGGCCGAATATCCTTCTATACGGTCTGATATTTCTAACAGCTCCTTTGCCTGGGGCATTTTTTGCTATGCAAGCCATCGGAGGCTGGTTACTCGACACACTCTTCGCTCGACCCATGAGCCGAAAGATGGAGAGCGAAGCGGATTATATTGGCCTTATGCTGATGGCAGAGGCGTGCTATGATCCTCGGGAGGCAGTTCAGTTTTGGAGGCGGATGGAAACTCTCGCAAGAGCTAATCACTCTCTCGAAATCCCAGAGTGGATGAGCACGCATCCGACGGTATGTCGGTGGGCCCAAACGACGGAGGTTGGATGTAATAGAAGCGTCACTAACGCCGAAACGGCCTTATAGAATCAGAGTCGAATCGACAAGATTATAGAATGGATGCCGAGAGCAATGGAGAAGTGGAAGTCAAGTGATTGTCATGGAACTTCACACTTTGCCGAGCATTTTAAGCAAGCATTACGAGCTGGAGTTATCTATATTGGATAATAATAGTTTACGAAGTAGATATAATTACTACTTTTTTTAATATTTTAAATATATTTTAATATAAAAGTAAATATTTACTTTTAATTTTTTAATAATTTTATATTTTTAAATTTTTATAATTTTATAAAAATTATTATAATATGTTTTTTTAAAAAAAAAAATATTATTTTTTAAAGTTTATAATTAAAAATAATAAATTAAATTTTATAAAATAATTTATGATTTTTATAAAATATTTAATAAAATATTTTTTTAATTTATTTTAAATTATTTTAAATATTTTAAATAAAATTTTTAAATTTATTTTAAATAATTTTAAATATTTTAAATAAAACATTTTTTAATTTATTTTAAATAATTTTAAAATAAATAAAAAAAATATAATTTAATTTAATTTATTTATAATTATTTAAAGAAAATTATATAATATAAAATTTTAATATTATTTTTAAAAAAAATTATAATTATAAAAATAATTTAATATTTATATATAAATTTAATTTTATTATATATTATATTAAAAAGTTTTTATAAATAAAGTTTTTATTAACTTAATTAAATATTTAAATTTTTTAAATTTTTATTAAATATTATTATTATATTACTTTAGATAATATGTAATTATAAGCTAAATAATAATTTTATATTATTATAATAGAAAAAAAAGTAATAGTAATAGAAGTAATAATATTTTTATAAGTTTATAAAAATAAAAGTAGAAAAATATTATTTTTTATAATAAACTATAAATATAATTACTTTTTTTCTTTTTAAATTTTTTTTTAATTAACTTTATTATTATTATTTTCTTATAGATTATTTTATATAATAACTTTATATAATTCTTTTATTATTTATATATTTAAATATCTTTTATTTAATATTTATATAATTTTTAGCTTTTTTCTATTTAAAAGTTTTATAAAAAGTACTATTAAAAAGGACTAGAAATATACCTAAAAGTAAGCCTTATAACTACTAAAAAAATATTATAAAAATATTATAAGGAAGTTTAGTAAAAACTTTAAATATATTATAATTAAACTAAAAATATTATTAATTTTTAAAAAAATTAATAAAATTAACTAGCTTAATTAAAAATAGAAAATAAAGTAATTATATAATTAAAAAGTAGGTCTTAGATATTT